CTTGTACAGGTGTAAGACGGCGATTTTTGGAGATAGCACCGCGTTGTGGAGGAATACCACGGGCGCGACGCGTAACCGTCTTTCTGGGCACATCGTATAGTTTCTCAACGCCTCGGAAGGATGTAATTTGGCCGGTCTTGTAGGCTTGAACGCCTAGAATAACTCTGCCTTCTTGAAAGATGGCTTCTTGTTGTTGTGGTGCTGCCATTGGGGTGGTTGTTGGACGACGCGTCGCGTGTTGAGTTGGGTGGGCCACTAGCTTGTGCGGGCCACTAACTTGTGGATTACGTTAACTAAGGTTGGGCGGCTTAGTCATCACACCTAGACGACAGCCCTGAACGTTCCCTTCTAACGATCATACCTCACTCACCCCGCCATCAGTTCCATCAGCCTGTACCGTCATGGAACCTCCTCCCCTGAAGTTTATGAACTTGGAGCCTTTTGTTGACGTGAGTACTCCAGTCTTATTCGCCGTCCTATGTGCTAATAGGACTGAAGCCCGCCGCTAGGGACCCTTCAACCAAACTTCCGCTGGATGGCATAGCCTTCGACATTTTTACGATGCCCCAAGAGACTCTTATAACCTATGGCGAAGCCGCACCAGTACTCCATTCATTCGGGGGAGTAAAGATTGTACGACTCTCTCACAACCTTGTTCTTAAGTACGGGAGAAGCGTTTTAGCCTCTGAAGGCGAAACCATGAAATACGCGGCAACGAATTTTCCAGGAGCACGGTTACCTAATGTATACCAATGCTTTAACATCGATTTTCCATCGTACTTTGGTGTCAAGGGCTCTTTAGTCATGGACTATGTAGATGGCCGTTGCTTAGACAGTTGCTGGGACCACCTTAGTCCTGAGCTCCAAAAGAACATCGCCGCCCAGCTCGCAGCAATGGTTCAAGAGCTACAGTCTGTACGCTTAAGCAGCCCAGTAGTTATTGGCGGAGGGATATCCCGCGGTGCATGGTTCAGTGATTACGGCGCAGGACCATTTATCACCAAAGAAGGTTTCGAGAAGTGGCTTAACTGGAAACTCGCCCTCAGCAAATACTGCAATTATGCGGCAATGGATGTTCCAGATATCAACTACCAGGATTTTGTCCTCATTCATGGAGATCTAAGTCCTCGGAATCTTATCTTAGATACCGATAACCAGGTGTGGCTCATCGACTGGGGTTGCGCTGGCGTTTACCCGGCTATATTTGAAGCAGCCTCTTTGAAGCACCAACCACATTTTCCGAGTTTTGCCCAGCTACTGCTGCCGCTTATTTACAATAACGCCAACGAAATGGCGCAGCTTGAAGCTTGTCAATATGGCATACACCGAGAGCCCCTCTCCCTCCCGCCTGAACGAAGGGCTCCATAGAAGCTGTCTGTTGTCCAGCGACTTTGGGTTGCTGCTATTGCGGCTTGTGGGGCGTGGTTCTGGGAGCACGGTGGGCTGGGCTGTTCCTCTTTGGTAGCTATCTATAAGTGGTGGCGTCTGTTTTGTTTACACTGTGTTCTCCATCTGCTCATCTCCTACTTCCACTCCAGAACCTGTCATGGCAAAAGAAGATCGTACGAGGCGCGATTAAAAGATCCTAACGCCAGGTAGCCGCTGCATATTCTGCTACTTAGCTCGATTTTGCCCGTTCAGCTCGTTAGCCCTGTTGGTTTCCTATGCGGCACAGTTGTTGGCCTTGAAGCAGACTCCACACCACTCTGCTACCAAGACCGATTGCCACCTTGAAGGACCAGAAAGCGAAACAACTTGATTATTCTGTGACACTTTGATTGACTGACAAGCGCGCGCAATGCCCCCGGGTTTCACAGCTTTTTGACTATTTGAGGCCCCTCGCTACACCTTGACAATTTTTGGTGGGTACATCTGAGACTGCGGACCGGAGCAGACCTGAGCCGAAGCTGAGCCGGGCTTGAGCCGAACTCAGCCACAGCGGCATAGGGTCACGTGAACAGCGGGGGTTGGGCAGTGTGCTCATTGGGGTGGTGTAACATGTAGTTTGGTATCCAGCCTATATATATACAGCTGTGGCTGTGCTGGGGTTAAAGCAAGGTCCTGGGCCGAGCCTGAGCCGCTCGTTGGAACCCAACGTGCCAGTTTTAGGCCCTGTCCGCACCGATCAGGCCGCACTCCTGGACAAACTCGTCCTGAAAACGGTGTATCTTCCAGCAGTGCAGCGTGTATTAGAGCCGGACGCCATGGACCTCCAAGACGACGATATCTTTCTTCACCTCTCGCACCGGCCACGCCACATTCTCAACGGTGTAATCTCAGTTGACGAGTCGACGGAGCTTGCATCTACAACTATCCAGCGCGACTCATTGCTAGGACGGCTTGACAAGCTACCTCTCGAAGTTCTGCACGAGTTCCTTTCATACTTGGACCTCCAGTCCCTATGGCGCCTATCTCGCGTCTTCTTACGCGGCAAAGCTGTTGTTGAATTTCTTCATGAATACAGAAAGCTCGCCAAATTTGCGGCCCATACCTTTAAGATCCTAAAGCAGGCGAGGATCGTTGGCCTTTACTCTGTTTCTACACTTTATGCAGCCTTCTATTCCAAGCGGTGCATATCATGCGGCGCATATGGAGCATTCCTATTTCTGCTCTCTGCTAAGCGGTGCTGCTTTGCATGCCTCGTAGATAACCAGTCTCTCTGGATGATCTTATTACTGTTAGTTAGGGAATGTTTTGGCCTCACAAAGCAGCAAGTGAAGGCGCTACCCGTTATGTGGAGTATTCCTGGAAAGTACTGTGTCCGACAGAACGTATCCCATTAAAAATCGATAAGGCTTAGCAGCGTAAAAGCCGCAAAAGAACTAGCTCTGAAGGTGCATCGGTTACTTGAGGAATTGGCCACAATTTACCCCTTGGACTCCTGGAACCTTCCAACTCATAAGATGGACAAATTTATATGGTATCGGCAAGCGCCTTTGGACCTACTTTCGCAGGACCCTCTTACAATACCCGATGCGAACATTAGACCCCTTGATGAATTCTGCGGTATGGGTTCTATACCCTTTCCATCACTGCTTAGTGGTAGAGGTAGCACTGAGCCAGAGCAGGGACTCTGGTGCCGAGGATGTGAATTTACCTATAAGGAGTGTGCAATTGAAGAGATGGATTACATCACGTTATCGCGTTTAGTGCCCCCCTATGTTTGCGATGTTGATCGATATCTATTAAGAATGCAGTACCGGGCTTGGTCGAAAGCAGACTTTCTCCAGCATGCGAAGCACTGTCATTCGGCAGCTGCGGTCATTTCCCAGAAATGGATAGGCTCGACGTAACATACATAGATTGATAGATTGAATCGCAATATTTCATATTCGGTGGCCTTATTTACTTCTTTTTCTTCTTGGTCTGAAATCCCTATTGCGTAGCCGCACCTGGATGAAGTGTAGACTTTTAGGCTGTTTGCGACGAAATACAGCAAACTGATTATTGCACGGCTATCGAATCGTAGTGCTCCAGCTGCGGCGAGAATTGTGCCAGATCGATTAGCCTTGTGTTTTCCGAAGATAATAGATAACTCACTCGAAACGCAGTCTCCTTGTATCGATTCATCGAGCGCCTTCCACAGCCATCATCTCCGCCCATCACACTGGCAGCGTGAACCAGCTCGGGCTTGCTGGGATAGGATACCGGTCCTGATTCATGTATCACGTGATTGGCTGCACTGCCCGTACGAAGGAGTTCGTTTTTTTTTAACACTGGGTTGGGAGTGTGCATATTGGGGTGGAATAACAGTTTGATGTGTTCTCAACCATTGCAGAGAACTGTGCGCAACCTATCACCACCGCGCCGAACGAAGAAGTAGAAATCATGTTTATTTAGATCAAAGTTTTAGATCCAACAGAGCCGTGGATCAAAGACGAGGGACGAACTCTTTATCCGCATCCGCATTTGGATTAGCGTGGTACTAAGCCAAAATAGTTATCTCCGCGGTGCTAAGTCTGGAACCACTTCAACAACTATTGCCAAAATCCGAGGAAGGCGCATTTACGTTCGCTTGCAGCCGCTCGAGATTCTTTCGGAGTTATGACAATGCTTAAAGGTAAGCTGGGAGCTGGTAATGGGAAACTTCTCATCCATTCACCAGCATAGTCTCGTCAACCAGCAACGACCGTACAGAATTTCTTTCTAAGCTATCTGCCATCCTCATCAAGCCATTATTATCCTCTTGTGCAGAGTTTCCGGTCTCACTGAGACCCCACTCGGTTACTTATCATCTTCACGAGCACTACAAGCCCGCTCGTCGACCGTTGCATCACTTTCTTTCCACAACCTTTTTCACAATGCCCATCGCCCAGTTCCTCTCGGAGTTCTTCCCTCCTAGGCCAACCTTAACCGAAGCAGACCTTCCTTCTCTGGCAGGCAAGACGTACTTCATCACGGGCGGAGCAGCTGGGATCGGAAAAGAGCTCACCCGTATCCTCTATTCGGCAAACGCCACGGTCTACATCGCCGGACGCAGCCTCACCAACATTGAAAAGGCAACTAAGGAGATCATTGAGAAGCCCAGCGAGGGTATGGCGTTCTCACAAACTAGTGGGCGCATCGTCCCTCTAATCCTTGATCTTGGCGACTTAACTACTATCAAAGCCGCGGTTCAGGAGCTTGAGAAGCAAGTCACCCAGGTTGACATGGTCTTCTTCAACGCAGGCGTCATGACTCCTCCAGTAGGAGCCAAAACAACCCAGGGTTATGAATTGCAATGGGGAACGAACGTCGTGGGCCACTTCTTGCTCCAAAAGCTGATGATGCCCCTTTTGCTAGCCTCCGCTAAACAGACCAAAGAGCCCCTGCGCATTATTTGGACGTCTTCAGATGGTAGTTTCATGTCGCCGTCTCCAGATGGCATTTACTGGGACAAGTAAGTGGTTCACTCTATTGAAGTACGGTGAAGATGGAAGCTAACTAAACGGCAGTATCAACAACGCAAATGGAAAGCTGAGCCCTTGGAATCTATACACGCAGTCCAAAGCTGGAAACGTTATCCTGGCCGCCGAAACAGCCCAGCGCTATGCTGCCAACAACATCATCACGGCCTCGCTCAATCCCGGACATCTGAAGACGGAACTGCAACGTCATTCTGGTTCCTGCGTACGCAGAATTCTCAACGCTACGCTGCTACATGATGCTCGCTATGGCGCCCTTACTGAGCTATACGCAGGGTTTTCGAGTGTTCTAACGAAGGAGAAGAGTGGTTCCTATTTCATTCCATGGGGAAGGAAGGCAATTATGGCACCGCACGTGAAAAAAGGACTGGAGAACGGAAGCGGACGTCGGCTTTGGGAGCTACTCGACAAAGAAACAGCGCAGTATCAATAGTAGCAGACGAAGGCTATGCTTTTATTTCGTTTTGTTTCTTTTATCACCATCAAGCGTTGTCCTCATAATGCCTTCAAACTTCCTTTTGTACAGTCTTTTTCTCTCAATCACCCAATAACATACATCGATTTGTGCAAGAGGACTATTTTGCGATGAAGGAAATACAAATCACGTGCATTGGTTCTTTTCCTGTGTTCCAAGGCTGTGTCCAAACATCGTTTAGCGCTAAGCTCAGTCAGCTTCTAATTGTAGCACACCCTACACCCGGGCGAAATGTACCGGCGTCAACCTCGTCCGCGCTCGGATTTTAGCATCTGCAACGATAATAACACTGCAGGTAGTAGTCACTTCTCGTCCAAAGGCATCACCACGGCGTCTTCGCCGTGTTGAACTCAATTATTGCTTCCCTGAATGCTGAACGAAGGGCGATCAACGACCGAGGACGTGCAAAAATCTGAGCGGGATACCAGGACCTACGCAATAGCTTTCACTCAATTATTACTGCATGGGCGACGATGAACAGCGCTCCGAGGCCGCGGCAGCGCCGTCGACTTATCCTGACATGTGTTGAGTGTCGGAAGAGAAAGCAGAAGGTAAACATTCTTCGTCGGGTGTCCAACCTCGAACAGTATATGATATCTTGCAAGCAATGTTGACAGGCTGCAGTGCGACCGTGGTCAGCCATGTGCTCAGTGTATAGCGCGTGGTCCTGAGAGTATATGCATCTATGAGAAATTCAAGTCGCCAAGGTAGGTCCCGTACAATCTTGCTGAGTCTTGAGCTAACCAGGTCAGCAATGCTGTAGCTCGTGCGTCTTCAAAGTCGACCGAATCGAGTCCAGGCCAAATCCAGGATCGCACATCTCCTTCAATTCTGCAAAATGCTCAAGAGTATGGGTATTCGGAATCAGATGCATTCAGCTCTATGGGAATGCTCACAAAGGTACGGTTTCCCAGGCCCTTGCATAGAGATGAAGGGTTAATACTTAGGATACAGGTCATTTCAGGCATTGATGAGATACCGCCGTCTCACAGGCCTGCTGCTCCACAGATCCGAAGCAAGCTACGGGCAGACTACTTCGGCTACGTCCGCCGACTGCCTGCTAAGACCAACTGTGATATTCTGATAGATCTGTTCTTCAAAGATGTCAATCACTTGAATGAAGCCCTTGACCAAGTCATATTTCGTGAGCAACTAGATCGCTGGTGGGCAACTGCCCACGATACAATCTTTAAGCAAGGGCCGGACGCCTTGCCCCTAGATTTATGGTATTTTCCAGCTTTGATATTTCAAGTACTAGGGGTCGCGTTGCAGTTCTTGCCCACTCCGCATGATCCGCAACTAGAGGAGCTCAAGTTCACACCCTTACAAACTTTTACCGAGCTGTCTAAAGAATACTCCGACTGTGGGGAGGGACTGTCAAATCTCGTTGGAAGACCTAGTCCAACCCTTGTCGCGATTCAGTCGAGCTTCATGAAAGATTTATGGTATGCAAATGCCGGGGATATTCTACAGGCGTGGAATCACTCTGGCCGAACCGTCAAGGAAGCCATTTCCGTCGGACTACATCTTGAACCAGAATTACCGTCGTCGAGCAAGCCCGATGAGCTTCTGGACGCTCTATGGATGAACGAACTTCGAAAGCGTACTTGGTGGAATATGTTTGTCTGGGACAGTTTTATGGCTCTCGAACTCGGGCGTCCCATGTTCATCGACATCAACAAGTGCACAGTCACTCCACCTATCGAATGCGAAATCCCACAAGATCGGCTAAAAAGGGTCCCAACACCGAGATCTGATTCGGACCGGCCTATCGCTCTCACGGAGCGCATATTGCGATTGAAAATATCCCGCCGCTTTGCTGAGATCAGAGAGCTCGAAAGCCAAGGCTCTGTCCCACAAAACCCCGAGAAGGTCAAGGAACTGCACGACTTCGCGGTGAAGTACCGAGAAGATCTGCCTACGTTTTATCGGAATATAAATCCTGACACCAGTTGGGACGAATTGTGTCCATTTGTACCGACGCATCGAGAGTTGATCTCGTTTCTGACGGATAGCTTCCTAATGGCTCTCCATAGACCGTACATATTCACACGGTCTAAGAGTCAGCGCGAGGTATACAACTGCGCACTTGCTATCCTCGATAGCCAAGACAGACTGTTCCAGTTCCACCGCTCTTCATCGACGCAATGGTTTATTGGAACGACCTTCCCCACATTTGACGCAGCGGTGCTGTTGGCCGTTGTCCTGGTCAGCAACCCGGAACGCTATCACGCAACGTTCTCTCGTCCATATCAGAGTCTTCAACGCGCTCTCGAACGGCTCCAGGCCATTGGACCAAGCCTACCACTGGCAAAGACTGGCTCGGAGATTCTACATAGCACCATTCGCCGAGTCATAGAAGCTCATGAGCGTGCCGGGCCCAGCATTATCGGCACTGAATTACAAATGCCCAGCACACTAGAAGATCAATATGAAGCTCACAGTGCTCAATTCACGAGGGTCTCTCCCGATGCCGAGCCATGGCACTTCGAGGTCAAGCCTTCTGAGATGGACTGGACGGGCCAAAATCCAGAATTGTTCGACTTTGACTTCTCGAATCTTGAGGTCCCTATGCCGTTGAAAGAATTGCTTCTAGATGAGGGAATGGCTGCGATGTCTACAGATATGGACGTGTATAATCCCTCGCTGTGGCCACAGCCACAGGGACACCTCGGTCAGACTGATATTCCCTTAGAGCAACCGGAGATGATGAATGTGGCGGATAATTCGCTTTGGAATTTCTTGGCTGGTTATCCTACTTCATTTGAGGATGGTAATCTATAGGTATTGTTGAAGGGATAAACTCTGACATGGTAAACTGATTCTCCACCGCTACCATATCACCCCTAGGTCTATTCCAGGAAGCCCATTTTCCTCCAAGCTTTCAAATAAACTCCTATCATTATGTCTTAAACTCCACCTATCTCATTAAACGCCGGCACTGCCTCTTTTGTACAACTCGCGTCTAATATAACTCCGCCTCCTGACATCCGTGGAAAATCGGCTGAGAAGAAATCCCCTAGTCTCTTCGCCGGGTTCTGCCCATCGTCATCTGGGACCTTCTGGACCCGTTCGTGCCAATCTTGAAGCGGAATGAGGGCAGACGAGAGACCGAGGTGGTCCGATATCGACTTCAAAATTTCTGTCCACGGCTGGCGGATCGGGTTCTCGATATGGTGGTATACGAGCTGCTTTTTTCCAGGCTGGGCGGAATCAGTGAGTGCAAGAGACGCAAGACTTTCTGCCGCGAGATCGATGGGGAGCCATGATGCCGTCTGTCATTAATGTTAGCTGAAGCCTGGAACATTTCCGTTAGATCAATCACCTACCCCTTGGATCTCAGGCAACGCTCCCCCCTCAAGCTCGACTTCACCAAAGCCGGGAAATGTTCTTCTTTATTCCACATGCCATGCTCTCGATCGCCAGTCTTCTGTCCCATCCGCACAATCGCCGCATCGAAAAGGCCCGCCCGACGCTCTGCTACCCTCTCGATGATTTTCTCACAAACGAACTTGCCCTCAGCATACCCAGTCTCCAGCGCACATGCAACATTCGGCATTGGAACCTCTGGAACGACGGGACCGTTGTCATCATGATGTGCAGAGTAATGCCCCACAACCGCAATTAATGACACGAAGACAAACTTCGAATTGCGCAACGTCTTTGAGGCGCAACTGGCATGCGCATCTAGCACGAAAATTAAGTAGATTACTTAGAGTCTCAAACTACGCCTCAAACGAGCCAACTCTGCGCTTGAAGTCCATCGGCCACGCATTATGCACTACATACGTGACCTCGTTGCTGAGACGCTCGTACACTTTTGCGGCGAGGCCGAGACCAGGCGCTGCGGTGTTTGTTTCCAGAACTTCGATTTTGCGCCACGCGGTTGGTGGAAGCCGGATCTTCTTGTCGTGGAGACTGCGTTTCTGGCGCTCGAGAGGGTCTTCGGTGCTGCGTCGGTTGATGCAGATTACGCGGCGGAGAACTGGGAGAGGAGGTGGGTGCCTAGACTGCCGGTTGAACCTGTCAACAGCACGACTGAGTCGGTATGGGGTTCTCTGTATAGTACTGGGTTCGAGTACTTGTCGATCAATGCTTGGACTGTGGCTTCTCGGTTCTCATGGGGGAGAGTTGTGTAATTCCCGACTCGTAGGTGTCGAGCAATTTTTGATATTGAGGGATTCGAATAGATGAGATCTGCTGGTATGCGTTTCGCTGCGATCTCCAGTCCCTTTGAATTGGCGATTGAGGAAAAGAGGATTCATCGGAGCTGGGTTGCTTGTCGGGAGTCCATTCCCAGTTCGAAAAGGTCTTGATCGTACGCATTTTCTAGATTGGCCTCAAGCGCCTTGCAACCAACCTGGTCTTGGATCAAGCGGCTGATGTTCTCTTCAAATGATATACCGTCGTTGAGATCAATATCAACGTCCACATTTTGACCTTTCAGCCTTTCGTAAATCAGCCCAATCTCTTCCTCAAATGCTTGATATGTCTCCTGTCGTACTACAGCGCCTTTATCCGACCTCGGAAACGTTTTCCCTGGCGGCAGTATCTCAATTGACGTAACTCTTGCATGCCCATCCATCCGCTCGCCAGCTCGCACCATCGTCGGCCACAACGCTTTCTTAAGCTCCTCAATCTCCTCTGGAAGCAGAGCCGACGCAGGCTCAACAAGCACCGCCACCTCATCCCTCCCCTCCCCAACCACTATCGCAGCAGCCACATCCTTCCGCTCACTCAACACCGCCTCCAGAATCCCAGGCATGACCATCTCCCCATTCAGCAGCACAATCACATTGTCGATCCTGCCCAGAGGCTTAAACTCCCTCTCCGGACATCTCGGATTACAAACAAACTCATCCTGCACCTCAAACCGCTCCGTCCACACAGGCGGGAGAATCGACAGCTTAACCCGCTGTTCGCCGTTCGGCAGCGTAGTCCTCGCAAACGTGACATCGATGTCGTCTCGTATCCGGAAATACTCTGGCGATTTCGCGGCTTCCGGGCTGGGGATGAACATGGCGTTGACGCTCCCAGCCTCCGTGGTCCCGTATGCGTTTACGGTCCTGACGCCCGCATCTACGAGTCGCTTGGTCGTGGATGGCTTCAGAGGCCCGCCGCCGCAAGCGACGTAGTGTAGTTTGCTGAGGACGCGGATGCCGCCGTCGTCTGGGAGCGTGGACATCTCTTCGAGGATAGAGGGAACGGTCATGAGGACTTTCGCGTTGGTGGACTGCCTGAGTGCGAGAGTTGAGGCGCCGGTTGGGGGGCTAGAGGCTGGGGGGATGCAGAAGGGCTTGCCGATGCTGAGGGAGTCGCTAGGCGCGAGGAGACCGTAGCCGTGGAAGAAGGGCAAGGTGGACATGGTTAGGCCTTCTACCTCGTCACGGGTCGCGAAATGGTGGGACATGGCGTTCCACAGCATGTAGCGGTGGGTCTAGGGGATTGCTTTTGGGAGTCCGGTTGTCCCGGAGGAGTTGAGGATGACGACGTTGCGGTCGGTGTCGGCGACGTAGTGGCCCTCGTGGCAGATGCTGCTTGAGGATTTGGGCATTGGTTTGTCGAGAAACTGTTGGAATGGTTCTGCGATGTGTAATCTCGGGGTTGCATTTGGTGATGTATGCAATGCTAAAGCTTCCTTCGCTGTTCTTGTCAATCTGGGCGATGCTAAGATAGCGGACGCAGAAGTCTGCATAAGCAAGCCTTCGATGGCTGTCGGACTCAGTCGTGCTGATAGAAGAAGTACCTAGGCTTTTGTGAGCCGAGTTTGAAGTATTTCCCAATCCGTCAATATACACCGGCACGCCCATTCCCATTAGGGCGAATAGGTGGAATAACAATCCCACATCGGTATCCAACAATAGGGCAACGGGCGGCCCTCGAATAAAACCACTGTCACTTCTCCGCGGTAGCTGAACCTCGCCCACATTGTGCTTCAGCCATTGCGAACAGAGGAAGACGGCATGCTTCAACTCCCGGTGGTGGGCCCAAAAGACTGGGGTCTTCGTCATGGATACTCTTCCTAGCCTGAAGACAATACAAGTCAATACAAGTGATCTGGGTTGATCCGGGCGTTGAACTCGATCAATTCGGGTATAGTGCCAGGCTGAGGAGCATCACCATTAGGAAGAGCTTGCTGAAACATGTTGAGGGACGAAGTTGTAAGTGAGAAGGTAGACTGAAGAGGTACTTGGAGTATAAGAGTCCGAGTAAGATGCTAAGTCGGGCATTGGAGGGCTGTGATAGGCAGGCGAGTCCGACGACCAATGTCAAAAATACTCCGGCTGATCAACAAGCTTAGATCCCGATTCAACAACTTTGCAGCATGCTCCGCTACGAATGCCTGCTGGACGTCAGCAGTAGCACACTGATACACTAGTCTTTCAGCCTTAAAATTGATTAGAAGCGAAGGCTCCTTGAAAGTCATAAAAATACGCCCATCAAATGCTGCAACGAGATCGATGCCCCAGAACAATGCCTTTACAGTGCCGCCACCCTGGGCTTTCTATTGAGATGCGCAAAGAGAAAAAGCAAGCTTCGGTAGTTTCTCCAAGAAAGTAGTGAGGACCAGGGAAAAAAGGACTTCGAGTATGAAGTACGAAGCGAAACCGACAGCATCACCTGTCTCTCCTACTATCACCATGACTAATCTCAATCCTTTCTTTTGTCCCCAGCCTCCACAATCTCATGCACCTTCATATCGAGTCCCACCCAGAATCTCTTGCCTCTCCACTCCACACTCACGCCCCCGAATATCGCCCACGCCCAGATCGGGAACGCGAGAACCTCCCTTCCAACCCACGCAGCGAGCCACTCCTTAAACGGCCTCCTCGTTCCTCCCCATCTTGCTCTTTTCGGTGGCCGTGCGAAGTCCGGTGTTTCGGAATCGAGTTCAATACTTTTCGCCGAATGCAACCGTCGGTACAACGTCCAGTCTACCGTCGCCCATACACCCACACTGATCGCAAAGAGGGTCCAGAATGATGCCCAGGAAGGTGGAATGCCGAACCAGCCTCTGAAGAAGGGCAGTGTTGTCACCGCAAATGCGCCGTATAGGCTGCACAATATGCTTTCTGTTCCTGGTTCGACCAGCGTTGCCAGTGCAACTGTGAATTTTCGCACGCGTAGCCAACGCACGCGGCGGGCGATGTATTCGCGGACTGACATGGATGACATTGGTTGGAAAGCTATATCGCCGAATACGAGAGCGTGCTTCCCCCATTTCTCTCGTTTCCCTCCTTTAGCAACAGCCTCTAGCTCGAATGGCTGCGGCTTTTTCCAAAGCGCGTCGCCGATCAGGTGGTCCTCGCAGATGTTGTCCGAAAAGAAGTCGATACCGGGCGCGCGAGCTGGGTTTGAGGAGGTCAAAGCGGCGAGATGGGAGCGGCGGAACATGTTCGATTTACCGACGATGCAGGGAGCGATCAGGACGGTGTTGATGGCGGTGTAGAATTTGGCATGGGAGGAGGACATGAAGAGTTCTTCGAGCCTACCACCACCAGTCTGGAGGATATGTTTTACGTCCGAATGGGAGTCGGTCGGGTTGCGGAGATCGGTGCTTGCTGTGCTTGTAGATGCAACATGAAGGGCACCATCACCCTCATCATGAACCTGTGGAGCCAACAATCCCCGCGTTTCAGAGTCCGCGGTCTCGCTGGACGTGTCCACGACTAGCGGAATCTGATGTACGAACTTGTACCTCCTCTTGCCTCCATATCCACACAGTGTGTCGACCATGCGTCCGGCGACACCTTTTCCAACCCACACATTGCAGTCAATAATCCAGACAATATCGCCCTTTGCTTCACGATACGCCCGGCTCATGTTCCTGATCTTCGGGTTCGGGCCCAGCTGCGCGTGTTCACCGACTCCATTGTCGTTATCCCCATGCTCGTTCTGGAGTCTCGCGTCTTCCTGCTCAACTAAGATAGTCACGTCGAAGCCCGGAAAGTCGCGGATGAGCCGCTCCAGGACTGGGAAGCCAGGGTCATCGCGTGAAGACACACAAAAGAAGATAGTCAGTTTGTCGCGTGGGTACGTTTGGCGGAAGGTCGCAGCGAGGCATTCGTAGAGACGTGGCTCAAGACCCTTCACCGGGCGGATGATGGTAACATGTGGGATATCTTCTGCGGGTAGAGAGGTGAGGCAGGCTGCCGGAGGGGGCGGTCGCGAGTACCAGCGATACCTACATTTCGTCAGTTGTTACATCTTGAACATTGGGCATGCTACTATACAATTGCGTATAGCCGATTGTACAGACTGGAACTATCACCAACAGATACCAGACCAGGCACACAGTGGCGACAGCCTCTGCAATCATGGAGACATTCTGGGGCTCGAAAGTCACGGCAGGAGCAGACGTCCCAGTGGAACTGACTTGAGCTCCCAGCATGCGCGGTTGTTGAGGGGTTTAGGTGGAAGTAGGGGTATAAAGATTTATTTTTGACGTTTGGAGGGGTTGAAGATGGCAGGTCGAGACGAGAGATACATTGACACGTGAATGATACTTCGCTACTTTAGCCTCGTAAAATACACTATTCAACATGAACATCGCCATGCTAGTTAAGGACCATCTTATGATTATACTGCACTCGAAATGCCGCACGGGGGGCGTTCTGGGATTTATAGTCCAAGGGGGTCACGTGACTAGTACACTGCCTCCTTGGAAATACTATGGGTAATCTTAAGATGAAATGGGAACTTAATGAATGAAGAGGAGGCAGTAAAGTCTTCTAAAAGACTCTTGGTACTCAAACATCAATAAGCCTCGATCCGACTCTCCAGTGCGACCCTCCTCCCCTCACACACTTCCAGTTTCACCCTGTTGCGAACACCAGCGGTTAAAGATTCCAAAACCGCCTCCCTCTCCCTCCAAAACAATAGATTCTAGACATATCCCCAGATCTCAGCCTCATGAAACTATGAAAGATCCCTAATCAAATCTTGTGCTCTGGTTTCAGGGCAAAGTCGGTAAACAGCCATGGGCCTGAGGCTTGCATCCTCAAGCCCCTGGAAGCGGCACAACGGCACCATAGGTTTGATATAGGCCCAGAAGGATTCGGGACCTCACGAGACATGTTGCGCGGGGCTTGGCATGGTGCTGAGGAGGAGGTCGAGGATTGTATATCTCCCGAGTAAGAGTGATAAAGCCTCTCGGTGTCTCAATTGTCTCTTTTCCAACCTCAGTCACTCTCTACACTCATTCCCTCTCTTCCAAGTTCTTCTACACCACACTCCTTCAAACCCCAATCAACCCTCCTACCCATCCCCTCTCTCCTCCCACAAGACCCAAGCCAAGCTCCCAACCATGCACTTCTCCCTCGTCCTTCTCTCCCTCCTCCCCACCCTCTCCCTCACCGCACCCACCTACGCCAACCTCCGCCTCCAAAAACGCACCGTCACCACCCTCGACCCGGCCGCCTTCGCCGAAGCCCAAGTCCGCGACCCCACCGCAACGCGCGCCTTCTCCTCCACCACCATCACCACCTCCAGCGGCCTGTGCCTCTTCGTCGACGAGCTCTCGGGCGACTTCCGCGCCAACCTGACGCCCGTGCAAGCCGCCGCGTGCGACGGCAGCGACGGGCAGAGCTGGGACGTCATCACGGCCGGCAAGCACGACGACCGGCCCGGCACCATGCTCGTCGTGAGCACCCTCGTGAGTTAACCCCCTCCCCTACCATTTTCCAATTCTGGGTTCTGGTGGGGGGTTTGCTGATTGATGGGTGCCGCAGACCCAAGCCTGCCTGAACTTCGACCCGCGGCGCGCGGCAGGCAACCAGGTGCTGCTGTTCTCGTGCGGCGGGCGGGCCGACGGCGGCGGCACGGTGACGGATTCGCAGTTGTTCGGGTTCGAGGGCGGGGCGGGCCCGTTGGCGTTGAGCCCGAAAAATGCGGCGGGGACGTGCTTGACGATTGCGAGCGGGAAGGCGTTGGATCAGGCGCCGTGTGATGCTGGAGATGTGGCGCAGAGTTTTACGTTTGGGGGGCAAGGGGCACCAGTGCCAGCGCCGGCGCCGGGGAATGGGACGGCGGCTTGTTCGTGAGGTTTCGACTGAGATGGACTGAGGATAGAGGGGGTGGATGGAAGAGATGGGGAGGAGCGGTTGAGTTACAGAGCGCGTTGAGCGCATTCATTCCTTTGACTGTACTTATAGCTGTACAAATATTTCCAGAGAAGTACATCCGACGTAAAACCAGTCCATCTAGCTGTGAGGGGTGGGCACGCACTCATATGTCCACTCGCGTGATGGCGTTTAAATAGCCTGACCCACCGTCAGACACCTGCACCCAAAGCGTGGTTGACATAAAACATCCCAATTCGCCCATAGATTCCCACCTCTTGAACGCTCCAAAATGCATAAATCGACAAAGCAGAATTTTTGGTATAGCGAAGACATGAAGAAAACGGTAAAGAGTAAGTCCTTGAACGACAGAAGCGATAGCTGCAAGAGAATGAAGATACTTGTGTTGTTCCTTCAAGGCATCATGGCAAGCATATGGCGCCCAACCCCTAGTAAGATTTCCTTCCTAGTGATATTTCCCTCTTAGTGATATTTTCCTCCTAGTAAGAATTTATGCGCGGGCTGAACAGTGCGTTGCTTTGCTGTATCATGGCTTCAATCTTGCTGGTCTCATTGACTTCCAGGCTGTGCATGAGTTCCAGCTGCTGCTGGACGTTGAGTCCCATCCCTCTGGATTCCACACTCCACTGTGGGTTGAGATAATCCACAACTGGAAAGCCGTTTTGCGCTGCGTAAGACTCGTTGTAACTTGGACTCGTTAGAGCGTGGGACACCGGCGGCAAACTGTAGGGTTCTTGGTACGGTATTGAAAAGCTAGGGCTCCATTGCGGAAGCTCGGAAAAGGTGGCGGGCATTGGATTGAATTGTGAGTTCGGGTCGTAACTCATTTGTGGGATGGCATCTTGATATTTTGGACTCGTGTCGAACGAGTGCTGAGGTGGTCCTTGTGAGGGGGATTGGTGAACGGAGAACTGGCTCTGAGGAGGAGGTGACGACTGATATAGACTAGGTTGACTTTGATGCGTTGTGAAAGGCATTGGCTGTTGAGGCGATATGTACCCGAATGGCGGTTGGGCTCTCTCAGGTGGGGTGTTCAATGACGGTGTGGATACTGTTGCTGGACTTGTTGTTCGCGACCTGTTGATGCCGTCGGTGAGACTCGAAGTCACGGAAGCGCTTTCGGATGGTGAACCAGCTGCGATAGGTATGTCCCCGTCTTTATCGTATATCCGTAAGCAAGCCGCAATGAGATTGCGATACAACTCATGAGCAGAAGCCACGCCAGGCCATCGTACGGATGCTAGATCTATGGATTCCAGGGCTACTGTTAGATGACCTTCAACTTCCTCGCGGCTATGTGTCCGGCGGATCTCGGAATAGGAGAGAGCCCAAAGTATCGTGTTGATAGTCATGAAGATGGCCTGTGTGAAGATCCACGTGAGGTCGACACTGCCTGTCTCAATCTGTTTACGAGACATGTAGATGTTATAAACGCAGGCGTCGTAGCATTTCCTAGCAGCGGGCATGTTAGGCCTCGGCACCTGCGGGCATGGTCTGAAAAGAAATACGACCATCGTGTTATATCGGCCGATAAACCTGAAAATCAATTAATACTAATGCCACGCATAAAGTTTTACAAACCTCAACGTCCTGCTATTTTCAAGGGGATTGAACACGTACCAAGCTTTATTCAGTCCTGAGCCGCCATCCATTTCGGGACTAGTGTCTCTCCAAGCTTTCATCTTTGCTTCCATCTGATGGAACCAAGGGTCTTGATCGTCTTTTGGCTCCGGTCTCTTCTTCTGATAAAGCTTCCGTCTGATCTCTAATTGGAGTAACCTCATCTTGAAGAAATGGATGGAGATCCATTTCTTTAGCGACGCCTGTGGCGCCGGTTTGATACCTTCCCTCGTGATAAACTGATCATCACACAGTTCGTACCAGCCTACGTCAATGTGGGCCTGCCGCGTAGCATAAATGCTGGGGCGGCCAAGACTATGCGACAGCCCGAAGTCCATAGTGAGAACACACCAAAACAACCTTCTCCGCATATCGAGCTCCAGCGGATCTGCGATGGCCCCGCCTGGACCACGGGTGATTGTCTTCTCTTCGTTTAGGCCCAAAGCTTGGGTCAGTCGCACGGCTAGGCCGACGATGTAGTAGACAGCGGTCCGCGTTGGGGTCAGAAGCGAGTATCCAGCAATCAAGCAAAAGCACTGAAGTGTTTTTAGATTCATTGGCTTGATCGAGTCTTGCAGATGTTTGAGTGCGGCGAGGTAGTAGCTGTCGGCGAGACCTGCGTATTGGGTGTCCATTTTCTGGAGGCTGATGGCAATGACCATGCGCACAACGAAGTTCTTGTAAGCATCAGTAGAGCCGCCGTAGACGTCTTGCACATCTTGGACCAGGGTAGGCTCATGGAACATAGGATACATAGGATGGACTAGACTGAAGTCAGCATAGGTGTCGGCGGCCTTGGCAGGGGAATACGAGCCCTTGAGGTTGAAGAGCTGGAGCAGGAGGTTCATCAGGTCCCTGTTCGGCAGCTCCTCTGCGGCCACATCACTTATCAGCGGGTACACTTTTGACGTTGGCTTCGCTTCCTCTTCCGCGAATCGTTCTTTTATGCTCCGGGCGCGCGACTGCGGCACAATGTCGGAGATGCTCTTCGAGTCGGTGAACTGCTTCGCTAGCTGCATTACAAGCCGCGTAATGGCGATGCCGCTGGACGGGCCCAGAAATTTAGACTCGTCGCTCTCCTGTATCCTGACCGAAGCAGCCCCGCGCATCACATCTTCAGGGTCTGGGTCGATATCGTCCCGCTCGAGATCCGCCAATTGCTTCTCCAGATCGCGCACTTTGCGTTGGAGGTGGACGACATAGTTCCGGGGAATCTTGGTGGCCTTGGTGGGATCGTAGTACTCGCAATGGGAATTTGTTCGCTCGCAGGGGCCGCATCGCGGCAGTCCAGGATCGCATCTGGTTTTCCTCTGCTCCAAGTCAGCGTCCCAGGAAACGAAGACCACAGGTTTCCACGGGCCAGCGACCCGCAGAGTGAAGGGCTTACTGTGCGGCACCGGCAGCAGGCTGTCAAGGTATGTGCTATGCGGGGAGAGGACTCTTCAGAGAGGCGCGCGCTGCCCTCGCGCCTGGCCTCGGGGCGCGCGGTCTGGCTCGTCGAGTCGTTGGGTTCAGTCATGGCGAATGTGGGATGGGATGGAGGCGTGGATAGCGGGCTTGTGGGTGTAAGTCGCGGGTTAGAGCGGCGGCGCACTGGTCCATTCCAGACAAGCAAACATCACGGGAGGGGCGGCGGGCAGACGGGGAGGTCGTACGGGCAGACAGTCGCACGAGCGAGGGTGGAGGAGGTGGTGCTGGGACGGGAGGTGGGCATACTGGCACTCTCTTTGAGCCGGCTCAACCTCGACGAGCTCCTGGGCGCGGGCGCTTCCAGGGCAGTTAGACGACACTGCAGCCTCGGCGAGACCAGGCCTGCAAGTGGCCTCAGAATCTAGCCCGCTTGGCCAACTGCGGCGTTTCAGCGCGTCGCCCTGTGGCAGCCCTGGGCGGGCTTGATAAGGCGCGGGGCGCTGACGTGCGAGCCTGGCTCCTGTCACTCCTTCACCGCTGGCGACGGGTGCGCTCCACGGCGACATTCACTCTCACCACCACGGCCTGCAGCCCGACATCATCGCGGGGCGCAACCACCCCTCCAGCGATCAACAGCCGGTGAGCACTTGGCCCTGAGCCCTCTGCCAGAACCCGGCCAGGCTGAACCAGAGCCGGACGCGGCTGCTGCGCCTCAGCGAGGTACCCGCCGTGCCGCCGTCTCCACCCCAGGTGAGCTGGACTTCTCTCATGCTTCCCTTCCGATGCACCCAACACCGCCACCCGCCCTGCGAGCCAGCTTGACCGCCCACCTGCACGGCGTATCCTGCGGTGCCGGCCGCTGTGACGCCGCCTCTCTTAGAATATGCTTTGTCTCGTCCGTCATTCCGTCCTGTCCGCCCCGCTGCTTCTCTGCTATGTAGCTTTCACTCCTCCGTGATTGGCTCTTTTTCCATTCTCGAGTCCACTGGGCCCTTCCATCTCAATTGAGTCTGTTCTTATATCTCCAGAATATAGCCTGCAAGTCTCCGCCAGCGGCCTCATGGTCCTCGAAACCCCGCTGCTTCGCGTGAGCAGACCGGTGGCAGCATGCTCGCGGTGTCGGGCTGCCAAGGTCAAGTGTGATGGCAAGCTGCCCGCCTGCACCGCTTGCGAGAAGTCAAACAGAGCAGCCGAGTGCTCCAGTACCAACGACCAATTCGCCCGTGGAAAGGAGAGGAGCTATGTTGCAACCCTCGAGGCTCGGGTTGAGAAGCTCGAGAAGAAAATAAACGAAGCAAGAGCCAGGAGGAAGTCGTCCGTAGCTATGCCAGACTATGAGAACTCTGCGACGCCGCGTAGGACCTCTGTTGACACGGTCAAAGCTTCGAAGCCTCTGAGCAAGCGTGCACAGAGACGGCAGGAGAACGCTGACATTGACGAGTTGGTCTCCGACTTTGGTCTCCTGTGAGTCCTTACAAAGGTACCATCCCTCTATAAAAAGCGTGATATTAACCACCACAAGCGCCGTCAATGCTACGGCAAGAGACTTCTACGGCTTCACGTCCGCTATGTCGTACGCCAAGCTCATCTTGTCCGCATCGTCAAAAGAGAGCTTGCCCTCCGGCATGAACAAAGCACTTCCGCCAAGATACGCTGCCACACCACTGATCCAACATTACCTGAACAACTTCTTCGTGCTTCTACCTATATTCGACGAGGCCAGCTTCTATGCGTCCGTCGATGCCGTGTACCACCAAGACCCAGAGATGGCCACTGCATTCGACTACTTGACAGTTCGCTTGGTGCTATCAGTTGCCTGTCTTTCCCTGTCTGAACAGCGCGGTGACACTCACTACTCTGATGCCGTAGGCCATGTGACCGCTGCACTAGAACACGCGGAAGATGTGCTACATCCTGGTTTCATCAGTAGTATTCAGGCTCTGCTACTGCTTGTTCAGTATGCCATGCTAGACCCACATCATTTCGATAGCTGGACCTTGATTGGCGCTGCTTCGAGGGCCATGGTAGATCTCGGCATCCACCAAGATCCTTCCAAGAGCGCGGCAGTATCCAAACCCAAATTAGAACTCCGCAGACGGGTGTACTGGTGTGTGTATGCTCTGGACAGGTAAGTCTCCTGGATTTTAATGCTGCGCACAGCGAACTCACGGTCTTCAGGTCGACTTCACTCGTCCAAACCAGAGCTTTCTCATTCTCTGACGATTCAGCTAATGTTTCTGTTCCATTTTCTTTAAATTCTATTTCTTCGCCGAAACAAAATTCTCCCAAAACCCATGTTTGGCTCCAGTCCTTCGACGCCGCTCTTGATCTCTTCAAGATACGACAACTTCAGTCATCTTGGTACATGGACTTATTTCAATCTGGACGTGATGCTTGGCATGATCCATATCCATATATCTGGAAGACGTATAACGAGATGACACATTGGTTCCAAGACATGCCCGCCACGACTCTCCCATCAACGAAAGCATTTTTTGAGCTCGAGCTTTTGTACAGTTATGTCTATATCCTCTCTCCTAGCTCGCGGATACCTCATATCAACGAATATGCCCAACGTCTGATTTTCGAGCACTGCATTACATACGCAACGAAACTCCTGGCCCTTATGTCAAAGCCGAACAACACGACCAAACCTCCAGTAACCTTCTACGATGCCATGCGCGCCTACATGACCGGCCGACAATTCGTCGACGTCTTAGCGAGGAACCAAGACGTCATTCTAGATCCATCCCCGCCTCTACCACCTGCCCCTTCAACGATTCAACCCGTCTCCGAAGATCCCATGGCTCCGCCCGCTGAAATCCCAGCCCCTGCCTTCCCTGTCCCTCAACCTCCAACCGGCGGCAGCATGATCGCCGACCCAACCACCAGAGCCATAAACGCAATCCACGACTTCACAACCATCCTCTCCCAATTCGGCCTTCGCTTCGGCTACGTGAGCTGGCGCGACCGCTTCCAACGCGAGAGCGCCACCCTGAGTGCCCAACTCCATCACCGCGCCTCCATCTCCCCGATCCCCAGTCCACAACACCACTCCGCCCAGCCCTCCTGGTCAGGGCTTCCACCCGCCAACACGGCATGGGGCGCCGTGCCCGGCATGCCGCCGCAGTCCACATCCACCTACTCCCAAGTCACCACACCGCCCAGCTATCCCCCAAACCAAACCAGCCCGTCAGGCTACCCCCAGCACCAGACGAGCCCATTCAGCAACGCTAGTCCCGCATACGGACACGGACATTCCCCCAACGCCGCGTACATACAACCCGCTGTGGACTGGAATGTCGCGGCGAACGGTCTCCCGCCGCCGAACCAGGAAATGCGGCGGACCGAGTACGTGTTCCCCAGCATGCCGGCGATGCCGCAGGGGAGCGCAGCCGGGGCTGGAGGAGGCGTGCCTGTGAGCGCGGCGCCGGTTGTCGGGGATCTAGGGATTGGGAGTGAGCTGGCGACGACGGGGTGGGAGACGTTGCCGGGCGGGAGTTTGAATGCACGGTTTTCGTGACGTGAGTAGAGGGGTTGGTTGTGGATGAGATGAGATGAGAGGGTTCCACGAAAGGAGTAAAGAGCGCTGGATGGTTGCTATCAGGGAGTTGGATGGTACGATTGTGGATATCTGATGCAACGGCATGTTCTCGTATTTGATAGGGGTATTTGGGCGTTGCCTGGAGTTAGCTGTAGTGGCGGAAGTAGGAGGTATGAGTACGCCATATTGTTTCACACCGTCATGCGTCCTGAAAACGTGAGGAGAAAACAGCGTGTGCCATAAGCGTCCCGCCACCGACGCTCAAAACGGATCTATCCTATCCTACCAAAAACCGTACCGAGACAAGAGGAAGGAATCAGCAACGCCAGTGTGACCACGCCATGCAGAACCAAAATGCGTACCCACACCCCGAACCCAAAAGATACATGAATCCTATTACGGATTACTAAGCGCCAAGCACGCATCAACTGCTAATCCAACCCTGCATCAATCGTTAGCACACATCCAAAACGATGGAAGAGGAAGCTGCTAGCATACCTCCCCTCCTTCAGCCTCACAACATCATCAATAACCTCCCTATCTAGCCCGGGAAACATGCCCGCCAGCGTCTCAACCACAACGCGATGCTCCTGCCGCTGAATGCGCCGCGCCTCCTCCGCCTCGGCACTCGCCTGCCGCGCCGCCGCGTCTTCAGCGCTCAGCCGCTGCGCCGCGCACTGCTGGTCCTGGCTCTTCCTCTCCTTCTCGCTCGAGCTGCGGGGCTGGTCGCTGCTTCGGCGCGGCAGCCGGGGCGCGGGGGAGAGGCGCGGCGTGCTGCCCGGCTGGGGCGTCGCCGACGGTTGGTTCGGCTTCGTGTGCGAGCTGTCCGAGTCTGAGAAGATGCGGCCGATGGTGCTGAGGGGGCGCTGGATGGTGCGGAGCAAGCCTGCGACGGCGGCATTTTCTTCCTCGGCAGGCGGTTCGGCGAGGCTGCTGCTGCCGTTTTGTTTGAGGCTTGTGGAGCGGCGAGGGGGTACGCTTTCGGCATCCAGGGAGTTGCGGGGTGTGACTTCGGGCCGGCTGAGGGCTGATTTTTCGTAGAGGTGGAGGTGGGGGGAGGGCATGCGCCGGTGTCCGGGGTGGCCTGGGGTTGTTGGGGGGTGGGCTTGGAGGAGTTTCTGCTGCTCGGCTTCTTCTTCTTCATCTTCGGCGTTGTGGCGCTCCGCGATTGCGGAGACGGCTGCTTCGACGTTGGCTTCGAAGTCTGCGTCTGAGATGGTGAGGGAGGTGCGGTCGAGGTTCTCGATGAATTGGACTGCACCCATCTAGTGATCTGTTAGAGCTGAGATGAGAGATTTGGAGTGATATCTTACGAGAGATGAAATGTAGTAGCCGGCCTCGCCTCCTAGCTTGTCTTGGTTACGGAATCGCAAAATGTATTGCACATTTGACACTAGATGGTCGGGATTCGCTTGTAGAACAGTATAGATCAGAAGAGGCACAAAGGCATCAGCTGACTGATCTGACTGTGAGGTCCGTAGAAATCCTGCAGTATGTTTAGCTTGGTCTGAGCGGCCTCGAGCGTGCACACCCACCAAAAATGACCTTGCAGCAGTTCAGAACACATATCACCTTGTCTCTTGGCGCACGGTAGCTCTTAATCTTGAGTAGCTCTGCGCAGAGTTAGCTTACAACGCCTCCGTGCTCCATACGGTAAAAATAAACAGTATGCCAACCTTGTTGAGCCAGAACTAGGAACTTCCGACCCTTGTCACCAACGGCGCCGATATCGAGATGCTCTTCCTTCACCCATTTATATATTCGTACTTTTTGGGCCAGGACCTCGTCTCTTTCGACGTCTTCTTGATGCTGGCCCCTCCTACCGTGTCCCACTTGTTCTTGTCCACGTCGTGATCTGCTTTTCCCTCCTGCAATGGGCTCAGGTGGTGCTATTGCGGGCGAGAAAGTTTGTGAATATAGGCGGTTCATAACAAGTTTCTCCATGCCTTCTCGGGCATTGTCAAACTCAGCGTCTGATACCGTCCGCCAGACCTCACATTGTGCCATCTTCTTGCTAATGAACTCCAAGAAATCTCCAATGATCTTGACTTGTTCATGAACCATCCACTGCTTCTTCCCGAACTCGAGTAGAAACGAACGGAGGAACTTAGCTACGGGGTCAGCTGACTTATGTCGTAGTTGCTCGAGAAAGCGATGGAAGTCAAAGGGCAGATCTGGTTCAGGGTCTGGTTCTGGAGGAGGTGGCTTGTGTATAGCTGGGGAGGAGGGGTTATCGTTTGTTGGAGCTTTGTTTTTTCCAGTGTTGAGGCTATAGAGAGAGGAAGTCCTGGGCGGTGGTGAGCCAAGAGCCCTGTTGGTGAGACCGGATTCTTCGGTGTTGTGAGTTATTGAAGCTGCACTCAGGGGCTCCAAACTCGATCTCCTTGGAGGGTGTATGGGAGACTCCAATACAGGTCCAGCAAATTCTAGCCGAGGAGACATGATCTCTTCCATACCGAGAGCCGCGCTCTCGTCGTCGAACTGTTCCATGATACTTTGTATCTCAGACCGCGAATCGTCCACATCCTGGACTCCTATATCCTTTTCGTTGTATTCAGCCGCATCGGCGTCCTCCGATTTCCTTCCATGGGCCTTCTCATCTTGTATTAGAGGTGACTTCGTTCGGACTGGTGCGTCTTGACCCGAAGCTAGATACTTGTCGTCCTTCGGTGGCGGTGGAGGAGGAGGCGGAGACCGCACTTCCCCCTGTTTCGAGGGCAGATCTGGAGGAGGAGTTGTAGCTCGTGTGGCCTTCTCATTCTGGGCTATCGCTTGCCCATCCGATTTCCCAGTTACTGGTGGATGCAGCTCTGGCTTTGCGCCGCCAGCCCCACTACTCTCAGTTTGAGAGCTTTCTACGAGCTCAGCTGCCAGCGAGCTAGTCTTAGCTTGTGCGGCATCCTCCTTGACTGTAGTCTCACTAGTGTTTATCTTATCCTCTTCTTCAGCACCTGCCTGCCCCGCTCCCTGACTCGGTGCATCCTGCTGTGGGTTGGAGCTCTCGGCGAGAGGCTCCTGAGGTGTTGCGACCTTCTCAGACAAGTCCAAGGGTTTCTCTCCGTGATGCCCAGCTATTTCTGTCTCGCCAGCCGCAACCTGGTCTTCGTGGGGCTCAGCAGGTGGACTCGGGGACGACATGGACCGTGGTCCGGCGGGGCGAGGGCTGTGAGTGTCAAATCTAAGTCAAAAGCCGGCCCATGGAAGAAGTGCACGCCGAGAAGCTAGAGGAAATGTGTTTGTCGGAAAGAGTGGAGAGAGTGTTTTATAGTTAGGCCTTGGAGGCACGACGCCTCCATCCATGCATCGTCGATTGATGACGCACAGGCCAGCGGCGCCTTGAAGCCGAAAGCTCCGACGCTAAATTTATCGTGCCCAACCTTGCTTTGGCTTCATGCACTTCAGCCTCACCTTCAACACCCGCTCACCCCGTCTTGGTTTACTTCCCTCGTTGCCCGCGGCTACTCTACAAGGCCGCAGCTCATGTGTGGCATCTTCTTTGCCATAAGTTGCAATGGCTACGCCACTCCAAATCCTGGAACGCGACAGTTTTTGAACAAGCGCGGACCTGATCGTGCGCAAGAGCACCAAGTGATTGTTCAAAAGTCGCCTAGCTCGCCCAAGATATACCTCAGCTTCTTTTCTACTGTGCTTTCTCTCCGAGGAGTAGACGTGGTGGCACAGCCCCTCGTTCACGACAAGTCTCAATCTGTTTTATGCTGGAACGGAGAAGCCTGGAAGATTGGATCGGAACATGTCCAAGGGAATGATTCCCAGAAGGTTTTAGAGCTTCTCGTAGAAGTCTCCTCAGGTGAAACGTCCGAAAGGAGTGCTTCCGGGGACCGCAACATTCTGGCCGCCATCTCGTCAATATCGGGACCTTTTGCGCTAGTATTCTACGATGCTCCGCGTGGCCGTGTTTACTATGGCAGAGACTGCCTTGGAAGACGCTCACTGCTGAAGAGGACTAATACTGAAGAAGGACTAACCCTTTCTAGCATCTGCAGCACCGATATCGCGGATCACTGGACTGAGGTCGAAGCAGATGGTATCTATGCTGTCGACATTCTCAATACCGAGGATGCCGACTCCGCTATCCTCAATGAAGCCGGGGCAAGACCTTTACATATCAACCATTTTCCACTGCTTCAAAAGGATGCTACCAGGGATATCGCTAACGGTCTTGTATGCAATTGTAGACATTCACATCAATGACAACTGACTGGCCCTAGATCTTACCTTTCCCAGCCTTGAACAAGACAATTCCTACCAATGCCTCGACCCTGTGTCTAGAATCTCCGTCCGTGGAACGCCTCCATAGCTTTCTTTCTCAGTCCGTTGATTTGCGGGTCCGAAACATTTGCCAAGCATGCGACGTCCGACAGAATTCAGATGCAGACGCGAAGGTCGCAATCCTATTCTCGGGGGGGCTAGATTGCACAGTTCTTGCTCGATTAGCCCACGATAGTCTTCCAATGAGCGAGAGCGTCGACTTATTAAACGTAGCATTTCAGAACCCGCGAATTCACAGGACTCAGGAATCTGGTGCTTGGGAGTCTTCCCCATATGAGCTGTGCCCAGACAGAATCACCGGGAGGAGATCCCTTGCCGAACTCCAAAGAGTATGCCCGGGCCGTTATTGGAGATTCGTCGAAATCAACGTTCCGTACACAGAGACAACAGCGCACCGTGAAGCGGTGATTGAGCTGATGCATCCTCACAACACGGAGATGGATCTCTCCATCTCATACGCTCTTTATTTTGCTTCCAGAGGCGCGGGAGCCCTGCGTGGATCAGATGATTCCGAGATGATTGAGTACACGACACCGGCACACGTCGTTCTATCAGGCCTCGGAGCCGACGAGCTCTTTGCAGGCTATCAACGGCATGCGACTGCTTTCTCTCGCCATGGATTCCCTGGCCTGGTCGACGAGCTGGAATTAGACATCAATCGTCTTGGCAAACGTAATCTCGGGCGCGATGATCGAGTGATCTCCAACTGGGGTAGGGAAGCAAGGTTTCCTTACCTTGACGAAACTCTCCTCGCTTGGGCCTTGGCCTGTCCGTTATGGGAGAAGTGTGGGTTCGGTCAACATGCCTCAGAGCAGTCATCGAACCCCGTAAGCGGGATAGAACCCGGAAAGAAAGTTCTAAGAGTACTTGCCTGGAAATTAGGCATGAAAGAAGTTGCTGTCGAGAAGAAGCGCGCAGTGAGCAATCACATAATATCAAACAAAGCCTACTGTTTTGTACTGACGACGCTTAGATCCAATTCGGCGCGCGCACAGCCAAGATGGAGACCGGAAAATCGAAAGGTACCCATCTTCTGTCATGACATCAAACCCACAATGTAAGAAACCACACTTTTCTTTTCGTTCGATTTGTTTTCCCCTTTTCGCTGTGATGACGGGCTTCGGCCCAACAGATACTTGGTAGATCCTGAGGCCCCCTGCCCTGCACTGTGGCGTGAACACAACCTGCGTTTCTGGTTCGGATCTTTCTGAATAGCAGTGAGCCGGGTTTTGGAATCGTCCCAGCGTCAGATGTAAGAGCCCTAGGATCAATGACCCTACTAAAGGCAAGTCTGAGAAGCGTTGTGTTTCTAGATTTCAGTAAAGCGACTCATGTTTCAATTGAGAGATGCTGACGCCCAAGCTTTACACAGGAAATTCGGTACTTTTATCACAAAGAATGGACTGCTATGTAATTTATAACCTTTGTTCATTGGAACATGATATTTTGTAGGCTTATTGCCAGTATTTCATGTGAACTTGCTTGACGCTGTCCATTTGGATACTGCCCATGCGACAGAATCATATGCTCCTCGTCAGATCTCCTACAATCCGGAGAACCCTGTTCGAAGTACTCCGAACCAATTCTTCTCCATGTGAACCGCTTCCATAATCCCTCTTCCCGCCCCGCAGCCTGCCAGTGACTGCCATGCCTTGCACAAGCCGATCCGGCGGAGCCCGCCAGTAGCACTATAATGCTTGGGTATCGATGCGGTCTCTAGCCTAATGTACTTGCTGTGTTTTCCCTGCTCTTCGCGGGGTGCCTCGTACTTCCTGTCAATTGAATGGCTGAATTTTGTGTCTCGTATTGTTCCTCTTCGATGTTCTGATCAACCAGCGCCGTGGTTCTCAGATCCGGTCGCAACTGCGTCCCCAAACAGCACACGGTTCAGCCTCGAGATCTCCTGGTCCAGCTTGTTCCGTTCAATCTCGAGCCGCTTCAGCCGCAACTTCATGCTCTCGCGCTCCGATTCGCTCATGATCCTAGGCGCTTCCGGTTCCACCTGGGCATTCTGCTGTTGTCCGTCCGAGCCAGGGGTGCTGCTGGCAGGCGTGATTGGGTCGCCGAGGATCTGCTGTTGGACTTGCGCCATGGGGGCCTGGAGTTGCGGGTCTAGGGTCAAGTCGAAACCGCTCAGCAATCCGCTCGCGCCCATCATGCTACTCTCGCCGGCAGTGTCGTCCACGTCCATGTCGTCATTGCCATTGGCCGTGAGATCCCCGTCAATGGCCCCGTTGCTGTGCTTTTCGCGCATGTGTTCTTCGAGTCCGAGGAGTGTGGCGAAGCCTTTGGATTTCTTGCGGCGCCAGCAGGACTTGTCCGGACAGGAGTAGACTTTGTCGCTGTGATCATGGGATTTGAGCCCGTGGACGGCTTTGCGGTGGTCCATGAGGGACTTGATGTCGGGGAAAGCGGGGGCGTCGCAGCCCTTGAAATTGCAGGTCGTGTAGGTTTTGTATTTATCCATTTGCTTTCTGAGACGGGATAAGCCATGTGAAGTGAATGGGAGATAATCTGTAGTATCTCTGAGCTCGCTAGATCGAAGTACTCACTTGACCTCTGAGATATCCTGCCCCGGATAGGCCTTCTTCAGCGCCCCGTTCATGATGTTCTGCACTTCCTGGCGGCTCAGATACAGCCCTCCGGCCTCTTTCAATAGATCGCGTCCGTCGGCCTGATGCGCCGTGTCGCGCAGATACGCGAGAATGCCGCCAGCTTCCCAGCTCTTGAAAAAGTCGTCCAGTACCAGCTTGCGGACCCCCGAATTGCGCTTGATGCTGTCAATGTGCTCGAGCGTATGGCTGTGCGGTTCCCCCGTACGCTCCACCTGCCTCTTGCCGTCCGGATAGATAGTCAAGCGGAACTTGGCCTTACATGTGCCCCCCTCGCGGCGCTGGCGCGGGCGACTGTTCTCGTGGATGGGCGGCGGCGGAAAGTTTGTCTTGCGAATCAGCCGGCACCCGCCGTAGACCTTGGAGATGCCGCTGGGGTGTGGTCCTTGTGGTTTCTGGTGCACACACCAGACGTTGTCGATGTAGGGCCAGAACTTCTCCCAGACCTGGGGCGTGAGCTGGACGGGCGTGTCCAGGGCGAAAAGCAGGGCGCGGTGGAGGGCGATGTCCTGCGGGATGGTGTTGAGGGGTGAGACGGTGGTGAGGGCCGTGCTGGTGGAGGGTTGGGTGGTGGTCTGGGTGGGAGCGGAGGCGGTCGCAGGCGATGACTCCATGGCGGCGGGTCTGCGAAGTGAGGTGGTGGGTACGCGATTGAGTTCCGAGGGTCGGGTGCGCGGCGCACGTGCCGTGATGGGGAGCGTAGTGGGATGCGCGCGTTGGGGGGTGGTTAAAAGGGACACAAGATGGAGAGGTGGAGTTGAGCTTGGGGACCGACCCAAGATCGGCGACGGTCACGGGATCTGGAGGATGCTTGGCGAGAATTAGCTTTCGTCTTATCCGCAATTGAAAGGCGTCGGTCATCTCTTCGGATCCCAGAACTTCGTCACAAATTGCTTCGATTAATTTCCAACCTCAGGAATTGCCATGTCTTTGCCATACCAGAAAGCGCGGGCGGAGATCGACGCAGCGCACGCCCTCGATCCCAAGAAAATAACACTCGATGGGAAAGAAGTCCCGTACGAGCTTCACTATGCGCAGAAAATGACAGAATACCTCACACTTCGTGCGCCAGAGGCATCAGAGCCCCTTTCTCTTGCGGTCCGCGCCCAGCACTTCCGCCGCTGGGAAGTACCTCGAAGCTCGTACCCAATGACCCGCGTTGGTTATCACGCCTGGCGAACCTTTCTCAAGAAGCGGCAGGCAGAGCTGGTGGAAAAGATATGTAAAGAGTGCGGATATACGACAGAAGTCTCAGAAAGAGTGGCCGCACTCATCCGGAAAGAAGATCTAAAAGAAGACGAAGAGACACAAGCGCTCGAAGATGTAGCGTGTCTCGTTTTCCTAGACGATCAATTCGAGCAGTTCGAGAAGGAACACGATGAAGACAAGATCATCAAAATCCTGCAGAAGACGTGGGGCAAGATGACGGATCAGGGACACGAGTTGGCATTGAAGATTCCCATGAGCGGGCGTCCGCAAGAACTGGTGCAGAAGGCCCTCGCAGGATGATTGTATTGGGGTATCTATGGTACAGGAAGTGGGGAGAAACTGCTGAAAGTTCGGGGTTTTACATTCCAACAGAAACAAGCCAAGGGTTCAGAACTTTGCCAGTCTATGCCGATGAGAAGCCAAGTAGGAGTCGCTGCGCCTCAACCCATTTATGCGCCGCCTTCACGCTTCGCATATTCCTCCTCGATTGCCTCCTCATACCTCTTCTCTGCCGCCAACTCGGCTTCAGTCTTGGACTGCTCGGGGCCGGTCGATTGGGTCTGGTTAGACTGGGTGGATGCTTGAGTGGCCGCCTGAACAGAAGGGGCGTTCTCGGTTGTGGTTGTGTGGATGGGGATAGGCATCGTGGGTAGATTTGCGACTTTTGTGTAGTATTATGGATTCGAGGATTAAGGAAAGAATATTTACAATCCAAGATGTATATGGGTCCAGATTCCCGGTTTGTATGTTATTTCAACGTTGCGGGGAGGTGGGGAGATTTTATATCTGACCGGACGCCACGCGACATATCGTCATTGTGGCGGTGCAGATCTTGGCGCTATGGCGAAAAGCTTCGTTCTGCCCACCGTCACGTGCAAATTAAAATTGAAACATTCACACGACACCAAGGTCAATTCGTCATTTGAACCTGAAGAACATAATTGAGTGGCATGGTCAGAACGATCATGTCGCCATAACGCTCCTTCGTGATGGTGGGCCGAGGTGGTTGGTGCGTCGGTTGTGGTTGCCCCGTCAATGGTATTTACGAAGGACGGGGAGGCAGAAGGTGAGGCCGGCTGAGCAGCAGCATCACCAACTCCTCAGCACAGTAAGAGAAATCCATCATACGACCCAAAGTCCCGTACACGAAGCCTCCGTTGCAGGGTTATCACTCAATTGCGTATGCGCACTATCTAAGCCGTGCGAACGAGGAGGAGTCGGTGGCTGGGAAAGTCGGGTGGCAGGTACGTACCAACCTCCCCGTTCCACCCAGCAATAACTGCCCGCTGCCATTGCCCGAGTCTCCCGTATACCTGCATTCCTCACGCATACTTTCCACTCGTTCAGAGCTAACATCTACATTCTTGCGACCTCGTTTCTGAGCTATCCTCGAGCATAGCTAGCGACTGGTTGCACGAGCTAGTAGACCATCTGGACCGACCCCGCACTACCACCATCGTCGTCCACTCCTAGCGACAAGAGCTGCGTTGCTCTGCCGCATCCCGCGATTGACCTCCTCTTGGCCAACTCCGGGCTGCCTACCGCCAGCATGCGGTTCCTCAAAGCTTCATCCTCCCTTCTCGCCTTCGTGGCGCTCTCCTCTCTCGCAACCACTGCGCTCGCCAAACCCTATCCCGCACACATTCCAGAGCTCGCCAGACTGCACAATGTCACCGAACAACGACTCGAGCTGCGAGACTGCGCGAATCCATGCGGCTACTACGGCCAGCTCTGCTGTGCCTCCGGCGAGTCCTGCTACACGGATGCCAGCAACCAGGCACAATGCGGTGCCGCAGCCGTGACTGCCGCTGCAACGACGGGTGGCCAATGGATGTACTACACCTCGACGTGGGTTGAGACTGGCTTGGTCACTCACACCTCAGTCTACAGCTCTTACGTCGGAGCGACTGCGGCGGCCACACCCACAGGAACCTGCACCGGTGCTCAGTCCCCCTGCGGTGGCATCTGCTGCGATAGCGGATACTACTGTTTGACTTCCGGACAGTGTGCCTTGGTCGGGGCTGGGAGCTCAGGAGGCGTCTCTGGTACACTCACCCCGTCTGCCCCATTACGCCCAACAAGCTCTGGTCTGATCATCGTCACAGCCACCGGCACCCCGACGACCACTGTTCCATTCTCATCTCCCATTGCGACTGGAGCAAATGGAACCATGACTCCAGTAGCATCTGGGGGAGGCGGTGGATTGAGTGGCGGAGCTATTGCTGGCATCGTCATTGGCGTGTTGTTTGGTATTCTGCTGCTCCTTCTACTCTGTCTCTTCTGCTGCGCCAGAGCTCTCTTCGACACTTGTCTTGCCTGTTTCGGTCTCGGCAACAGGAACCGAAAGCACACTCATGAGGAGACTTATATCGAGGAGCACCGCCACAGCAGCGCGGCCGGTGCTGGTGGACGTCGCTGGTACGGAGACCGTCCCGGCCGCCCCAGGCCGCCAAAGAAGGCCGGTGGTGGCTTCGGAAACGCCTTGGGCATCGGTGCTCTCCTTGGAGGCGCGGCCATTGCTCTTGGGTTGAAGAGGCGACACGACAAGCACAAAGAGGAGAAGAGCGAATACACCGGATCAAGCTACTACACCGATTACACTAGCACAAGTGAGTATTTCCTCTCCCTGAGTACGAAATAAAACAAGCACTAACAAACATCTAGGTAGTGCAAGTTCAGATGATCGACGGACACGGAACACACGCCATTCGTCACGGCGCGGTTGATTGATGCTTTCTTACCTGTACAAAATTCTCAGCTTTGGTTTTTCTTTGCATCATGCGGCCGGCGTCGGGTTTGAATGCATTTCGAGGTCTGGTCGACATCTCGCCACCTCTCTGGGCGGAGTTTTGGGACGTCTCAAAGTTGGAGGATCCCGCGCAGGAAACGCGGCTAGAAGGGTAATGATGGAACGGGTTGCGTTTGGAGGATGATTAAAGTGTCTTGAAACGAACAGAAGCACGGATATGTCTATAGAATGAAGGAATGAAGGTCGGGAGCGAGAGATATTGGGTCTTTTGCAGACTTTAAATAACAGTCCAGTCTATGAAGTATTTCATGCCTTTTGACACGGGCGAATAAAGTGATGTGAAATGTGGGAGAGGCTCATTAGCAGCTGGGAGACAGCATGATGTGTCGTCAACATACCTAACAGTAATATTCATACACCAAAATCCAATTTTTAGGCCATCTAACGTTCATTCTAAGTTACAGATTCCCAAAAGATCTAGTGTGTGATTAGTCAGCACCACTTCCCTTCCGTCTCATCCTTGTTTTCGAGACCACCTGAATCCATCTATCTACTCGATCTCCAATATGTTCCCGCAACCTCGTGCAAGAAATACCGACTACGGGAAAGGGGTATGGAGTCTTTGCTAGCTTTTGAGCGTAATTTAACAGCGTTCCCCCAACATTTGTAGCAGTCAAAGGAGGAAATAGAGGGATGAGAAGCTTAGAATGCCACCCTATCCGTCAATATAAGACTCTAGCATTTTCTCTTCGCGGAAAAATTTGCCTATGGAAAGCGAACTTTGAGTACGGACTCTTTCGGCGTATTGCTTAGAACTACGATACATCCAGACGACACATAGCTTTTAGCAGTGTTAGGTTTTGACCACCAGGTATCACCACGGCCATTCGCAGCCATATTATCCAAAGAGACATTCATCATTCCCTTTGTTTAGCGTCCCATTTCGTGGTAATCTTCAGCCTTTTCTTAGTTCATTCAACCTCAAGATTCCTGCTCAGCATTATCCATTTCCGCATAGTACTCATCTAAGCCATGACAATCGATCGACCCCACTCTTCATATGACAAGCCAATGTGCGTCGATGTTGCAACTCCTACATCTGTTTGATGTCGTTAGGTTCTAACTCGACGAATGGTCTCGGGGCGCGGCGTGGGAGAGAGATGGGTGAAGCCACCACACCAATGTCGCACATGATTGCGGAGATTGGAAGCACTAGAGGCGCTATGCAAGCTAGTGGCGTGGTTTTGGTCGGGCGCAGTGGTAATGACCCTGCGCAAGATAGGTGTCCCCTTCCGGGACACCGCCCCCCAACGATAACCTGCAGGGGCTGTGAGTTCGAATCCAGCCCTTGTCAGGAATTGATACTATGGCTGTTTCCCGAAGAATCGCCCGAAAGGCCGCGCAGCGTGGAAACCGTGAGTCCATCATCACGGAGTAAACCGCCCGGGGTTTCTGCACCCTCCCTCCCGAGGAGGGTGATCTTTTGCTCTTTTGTAATACTTTTGAGTATATTCTTACGTTTTGCTACGTGTTTATTCCAGCGGTGCGATTCTTTTCACTACCTATGCTACTCTAAAAACGAATAGGTGAGGTGCCTCAGGCCAGCTCACGAGCGACCTTGCGCACCTCCACACCTCCGATGCGTTGATGCTCCCGAATTCTTACGCGGTCGCCACCGACTGTTTTACCTTCGATCCAATGCCTTCCCTTAACCGTATTCCTCTACCTACACAAATCAATCACAGCTACGAGGGGCTGCGCTGACGATGGCATCGGGCTGAGCGATGTCATCGATGGACCCACCGAATCTCCTACTGATCTGAATACGCCCAGCGATGATGGCATGAACAAGGGCGAGCCGCGAAAGATAGTCCAAAGAGGGCGGCAACCCGAACGAAGGCGCTGAGCTCACCATTGTGTCCAGCGACGACGACCAGGGCATCCAAGCATCGGAGATGGAGAGTTTACCAAGATGAATGGAATTTCGTAGTTCTTGGGAGCCGGAGAAACATAAAGCAGCACCTACCGACAATTGGAAAAATCGTCAGACAGCCGTCGGAGCCCCGGGAGTCTTTCATGATCTCGACCCATATGTCTTGGAATAGAATCATGTGCCCCCAATATTTATGCGGAGAAGCTGTATAGGTATTACCCAACCAATCTCGTGGAGTTTTAATAAGCCGTTCTTGGTAACGGCTCGGAACGGGACTCGCCGGTGACCCCTGTCTTCCGAGGAGATGCAGATGTAGGTACAACAACATAGGACGCCGTTAAAGTAAGACTCGTATAGTAGTATTTCGGATGGCCTGATGATAGAAATGAGTCATGTCAACACAGCAGTCTTTTCGGGGTGAGATTTATTAAAGATGCCTTTTAAAGAGCGCTCGCAAGACCGACAATCTTGATATACACAATGTACAAAAGCCTAATTTTACAGCCAACCACTAAATAATCTCCTATCCTGAGCTTCTTAAGACGCTATTCTCGCAAGTCTACAATGACAGCTACTTGTGAGTGTCCTCGAGAATACTCGAAAAGAGTTTTATCTGACTACTACAGCTCCTCCGAAATTCCCCTTCGCCAGACCAGCCGCGGCAGAGCCTCCTGTGGAGTATGCAAGTCTTCGCGCTACAGAGCCTGTATCTCAAGTAGAGCTGTGGGACGGAAGTCATCCCTGGCTTGTGGTAAAATACAAAGATGTCTGCAGCGTACTGACAGACCAACGGCTGTCCAAAGTACGCCCTCTTCCACCTCGAATATTTTCAAAAGAAGACATATTTGTTGTCAATCAAACGGTTGACAACCTCAGGAACGTACTCGTCCGGGATTCCCGGAAATGAGTGCAGGCGGGAAAGCTGCGGCCAAAAACAAGCCTACCTTTGTGGACATGGATCCCCCTCAGCACATGCAGCAAAGGGGTATGGTCGCGCCTATTTTCACCAAAGAGAGAGTTGAAAACCTTCGACCTCATATCCAAGCCACTGTCGATCGAATGCTGGATGCCATGGTGGCAGCGAGAGGTGAAAATCCGGTTGATCTTGTCGAAAAGCTCGCATTGCCAGTTCCTTCCTATGTATGTCTTTTCGGTGCAGACTTCGTATGTGATACCAATGCTAATTGCGACGTGTAAGATCATCTACGGTATTCTGGGAGTGCCATTCGAAGATCTCGCCTACCTTACCGAGCAGAATGCAATTCGAAGCAATGGAAGCGCAACAGCGACGGAGGCATCGAGCGCGAACGAGTGCGTATTACCAGGCAGATTAAGCTTCCATACTTAAATCTAATTTCTTGCGTCCCTTAGAGAGCTCCTGAATTACCTCGGAAAACTCGTAGACCAAAGGTCATCTGAGCCAAAGGAAGATCTCATCAGCAAGCTAGACGTAGAGCAGGTAACTTCATTGACTCGTACATCCATCCATATATTGACTGGGTAAAGGTCAAGCCAGGGCATATCGACAAATCGGATGCAGTCCAGATAGCATTCCTCATGCTAGTAGCCGGTAACGCAACAATGGTCAACATGATCAATCTAGTAGGTATCCCTCAGCTGTCACTGACGTTGATCATTGACACGCTAGGGCGTCGTAACTCTCCTTCAATACCCAGACCAACTCGCCGACCTCAAAGCCGATCCGACTCTCGCCAAAGCCTTCGTAGAGGAGCTTTGTCGCTTCCACACCGGCTCTGCTATGGCCACACGCCGCGTCGCGAAAGTCGACGTCACGCTTGGCGGCAAGTTAATAAAGGCGGGAGAGGGCATCATTGCCTCAAACCAGTCTGCAAACCGAGATGAAGACATCTTTCCGAATCCGGATGTCTTCGATATGCACCGGAAGCGAGGTAACGAGGAAGCGCTCGGTTATGGCTGGGGAGAACATCGGTGCGTTGCGGAATGGCTTGCCCGTGCGGAACTGGAGATCGTGTTTGGTAAGTCTTTGTACTTTTCTCTCGGCCTATAGTTATGGGCGTGGGCTAATGAAGATGATGTGTCGTAATCATGTAGCCACGCTCTTTCAGAGACTTCCGAAACTCCGCTTGGCCATTCCGTTCGAAGAGATCAACTATTCGCCGCCAACCAAGGACGTTGGTATTACAGAGTTGCCAATTTTGTTTTGAGAGAAGAACGAAATTCCGATCTGGATTGTCTAGATAAGCCTGGCAGCTAACTTGGTGTATTGATACAAAATCTCCACTTATCTGTTGTCCGGTATTGCGAGGCATGAAGTTACGAAACCTACACTGTCTTTATATTTCACCATTCATTTCCTAGCTAACAATGCCATTTCTCGATGTCTGACGTACTAATATCAATCGTGCGATTTTGCTTACTTGTGGGCTGCCACCATTCGCGCTATCAGGGTAATGGCATATATATGCAGCCTCTCATTGGCTCATACGCTCGCATGGGTTGGAATAGGCCATACTAGCACTTCAACCGGAAGATACGGCGGCGAGCCAAGGAAACGCCAGCAGGGTAATTCGGTATTTCATCCGTTCTCTAACCTAGTTTTGCTAGGATATAAGCGATTACTTAACTTCCTTCCCATCCGGGGAATGATCCGAGTAGTATATGTAGTTATTCATATACCGGTTCTATCCCACTTTAATTTCGACTTCGAGCTCAAGGACTTTATATCTCCAGTGCCATTGCCACGTTCGAGAGCTAGGCTGAGTTTCCAATTGCTGTGCATTCGTTGATCATCATGTGGGGAAGCAATTGGGTTGCATTATTGGGGGCCGTACCATTGATTGGGTCGCCATTCGTCCAAGTCGAAGCAGCCCACACTCTTCGGCCTCAGAATGCCTCAATATGCGACGCAGGCACAAAACAATACACTGGCACTGTCGACGTTGGGGTTGGAAAGAGCTTGTTCTTTTGTGCGTGTCTGAGAAATGGTACCTTTGACCAAGATGTATCCGCTAATCTCGAGTATTTAGGGTTTTATGAGAGCAGAAACGATCCAAAGAATGACCCTCTAATTCTTTGGATGACTGGGTACGATGAGTTTTGTATGTAGTAGATTTGCCGGCAACTACTGACTAGTTTAGGGGACCAGGTGGCTCTTCGTTGCTTGCCGCCTTCACTGAATGGGGACCTTGTCTGCTTACTGCGGATAGCAGCTCCACGTACTACAACAACCACAGCTGGGTCAATAATGCCAATGTGGTCTTTTTAGAGTAAGAACATCCTTTCAAATCTAGACACCTATCTCTTCAGGCCTCAGTCATCTTCAAATTCCCCATTTTCCCATATATGGTAACTAACACCTTTCCTTTCATCCAGCCAACCCGCCGGCGCTGGCTTCTCAAACACCACCTCCGAAGCCGCCCTCGTCGGCGGCCTCGCCCCCGGCTCCGTCGACTTCAACACATTCTTAAACCTCTTCTTCACCGAAGTCTTCCCGCAATATGCATCCAACGACTTCCACATCGCCGGAGAATCCTACGCGGGGCACTACATCCCCTACTACGTGACGTACATCGAGAAGCTAAAAGCGAAGAATTCATCCGCCGCATTCCCGGGCATCATCGAATCCATCATGCTGTTCGACGCAGCCGTGGACTCGTTCTCCGCGCTCGACACGGGCTTCTACGATATGCTCTGCGAGGGCCCGGAGGGGGATATCTTCAACCAAACGTATTGCGATTCCATGGCTAATGCGGTGCCTGAGGTTGAGCGGCAGGCGGCGGTGTGTAGGGACACCTATAACGCGACGTACTGCCTTGAGGCACAGGGGTATTCGGGCGATGCGCTTGAGAAGGGGTTTAACGAATTAGTCGACTTGGGGATCCGGAATCCGTATCATCGTGAGTGCTAACATTCAACCAACTTCCCACGTCTTCTCTACGATATGACGCTAATCCGCCTTTCAGTCTACCGCGGCTGCATCCAGGAACCCCTCTGCCTTCCCGCAGACGCGGGCAATCTAACCGTCTACTTCAACAAACCAGGGATCCAAGCAGCGCTCGGATACAGTGACTACTTCTACAGCCCAACCAACAACACCATCGTCGTCGGCTTCATAGAAGGCGGCGATGACACCATCCCCGCAAATCGTGAGATGACCTACATCTTGAACCAGACGGCTATCGATGTGCTGGTGGTGAATGGCGCGCTTGACATCGCCGTCAATCTCCCCGCTCAAAAGCGGATCTACGATGAGCATATTCCGTGGAAGAATCAGGCTAAGTTCCGGACACACTCGTACGTTGACTGGTTCTATGACAAGCATATTGGGAACTTTACGGCGCCAGTGCGGACGAAGGGCGGGCAGACGAAGAACACGGAGGGTCTGGTATTTGTGACTGTGGACGATGCGGGGCATATGGCGCCGGCAGATCAGAAAGAGGCGGTGGAGTCGGTGGTTAAACTCTGGATTCAGGGGAAGATTGGAGAGTTGACTGTATGAGCGGGTATTGGAGAGTAATAGCATATGAGGGAGGATCTGGAGCGCTAGATCGTTGCTTTCGCTGATACTGAAATGGCCTCAATGATAGATGCCTGAGATATACAGTCCTGTAACGGACTAGATTCCATATAGTACCTTGAATAAGCCGCAGGTGGCCTTTAGCCATGCAATTAATGGGCTCCTGTAGCTACATCCGAAAGCCTACTCGTATATGGGCTCTCCCTCGCTCGCCTTCAGTGGCAGCAGCGACATCTCCCCTTTCGACATATCAACAGCGACCTCATCCGTCATCTTCTCCGTGACATCACGTGTGCAGAGCGCAAAGCCCAGAGCGATGAGGGACGACGCCATACCGAGCAGATAGATGATACTATGAAACAGCCATAGTCAGCAGACGCACTTTCCAGATTGACAGCGGGCTTACCGGAACGCGTGCATGTAAACATGTTTCAAAGCCAAGACTCCCGCATCAATGACCTGTGGAGTAATTCCAGGCACTTGCAGCAGCGCCGCTTGCTCACCTGCCGCCAGTGCTAGGATAAAAGCGGGAAGCGATGTCATTGGAAGGCCGAGCCGGAGCACGGCTTTTGAGATATCCTTGACTAGATCTTTGCCAACGATGCTATCGATGATTGTGTAGTAGAAGGAGACTAGACGATTAGCAACAACACGACATCATGAAGGTACGAGAGACTCACCAATAAAAGCTAATCCCATGCTCATCGAGATCTGAAGCGCCGCTGTCGCCGTCGCAATAGACTTATCCGCAACCCCGAACTGAGCCATGATAATACTCAGCACTCTGTTATAACCACTACAGGTTGCGGCCAGCAACGAGTATGCGTGCCCCGGAGTAACGGTACTAGGAGTCATAGTAGCGAGTAGGGCGACGAATAGAGCTAGTAAGAAGGTTGAAACGGACAGCTGGATCTGGGTATGTCCAATTCTGCGTGCCAACAACCCGCATGCGATTGCTCCAAAGATTTGGCCGAAGCCGGATGGAAGCAGGAGGACGCCTTGTCGGATATCGCTCGTAGCGTAGAGGGTTTTGACGTGCGTAGGATAGATCTGATCAACAGCGGCGTAACTGTATCGAATGTAAGCGCATGCCGGAGGTTGAAACGGGGCATATCATAGTTACCCAAAGCTAGCAAAAGCGGCGTTCCCGAGTATATGGCCGTAACTGTAGTTGAGGGTCAGCTTAACAACTCGTCTTTGCTAGCTGATGGCATACCCTCTAAGATTATGAAACATCCCTTTGGGGAATAGCGGGCGCTTTACGAACCAGTTCTCTGGAATGCAGTGTTAGCATCAGACAACGAGGAGTTTGCATAATCATATTTACCCCAAGTAGCAAGGATGATCAAGGACAAGAGGCCGAACATAAGAGGTACCAGCACGGCAGCTGTGTCCCACCCGTGAGTCTTGAAGCCTCCCCAAAGAAGAGCGATGCACAAAAGAATGGTGAAAAGCTAAAAGGGTTTCGTTCTATACCCAGAAATGGCACCAGAGATACTGTAGCATACCGATAAAAGCCAGAAACCAACCCAATCGACTCGTAAGGCAGCTTTAAGTACTACACTTGGCCTTCTCCAGGTAACTGTGCAGTTTCGGGTAGGAGGAAGGTAGAAGAGTGTGACTAGGATTAGCCCTACTACGTTGACGATGATGTTCGTATAGTAGACCCATTTCCAAGTAGTGTTTCTGACGACGAGGGTCCTCGTTAGCAAGGCGCACATATGGGATATAATATGTATTAAGGCGTTTTACTCACTTCATAATCGTGGCTCCTACGATATAGCTCGTGGCTACGAAGGGAAGAGGGCAAATGTAAAGCAGCCCTATGAAGAGTAAGTTAGGCTGTATGTGGTAGCAGCTAGTAAAAGATTACCTTGTACTGCCGGTCTACGCTTATGTGGCACTACCTCGGAGACGATAGCGACCGCATTTCCCAGCTGGCCGCTACCTATCCCTTCAATGAGCGTACCTATTTGCTTTTAGTCTCGGGTCTATCGCAAAGTTATGATCATGAACCCATTTCGAACTTACCGAGGATAATCTTCCAAATGGAATCTACTGTGCAACATATAATAGAACCAACTATCGTAACGATAAAGCCGCTGATCAAGTATGACTTTCTCCCGTACTTGTCGGATAATGAACCTATTCATCTCGTATCAGCATCGGTTGCGACCATGCCCCTTTTTAAAGAACGGGTACTTACCGGATAACACCCAGAAAATGAGATTTACACTCCTCAATCCTAGGCCAATCCAATAAATATAGCTTCTCGAGCCCAGCTCGGTGCTGATCGCAGATTGTATAGTCGAGGGCATCAAGAAGAGCATCTCCATCGAAATATAACCGAAAATGACGCCCTATTTCAGCTCTGTTAGATACGATAGATTGAAATACTAGATAGGTGTCCGAACCGTGAGCCCTAGCCACGTCACAACCCCTCGCGGTCCAGCATTTGGCCAACCAGGTGTCGTGGGAGCTCCTTCGGCGATGTGCTCTTTTCGAGAGACACCATTCTCATTCTTTGAATTTACGCTTCCGGACGAGGTCTGCGGCTTTTCGGGGTCCATTTTAATGAAAACGTAGTCGATAGATGCTTCTATGACTTGGCGGAAGAAATATATTGGAGACTAGGGAGTTATCCCTCGCTGGCTTTATATGACATGATTTCGGATGATAAAAGAGAAGGTGGGGAGGCGGATAACAGCGTGTGTTATTTCCGTAACTTTTTAGAGTCCAGGGTAGGTATTCGAGCTCACGGTGAGGGTATGGCCAGCGACTAGTATCACAAGTGGTAGGGATGTGAAGGATCAGCCTTATAAAGGCCTTCATTGGCTTCTGCTTATGACCGAAAGCGGACGTTCTGCTCGGACTGAGTTTAGCTCCCTATATTTTGTTGCTTAGTGAAGCTGCCTCGTTTTAGTGATGAGGTTACGACGGCGTCTTCGCTTTAGCTCCCCCACAGTAGCAGCCCGGAGGATGCATATTGTGGGGAAATTGTAGTTTGTGGAGATAACCAGGGCTGGGGTGTGGACGTAGGCGGCCTGGCCAAAGCATTTGCACAGTGCTGCGTTGTGCAAATTTTGAAGCGTATCAGAGCCGTGGGACGTCCGGGGTCCGATGGCGGACGTGATCATATACATTGTCACCAGCCCAGGGGTCGAGTCACTAGGGTCTGATTCAGTACGTGCGACGAGTTTGTATGAAAGAAGAACACGGAAAGATCTGCGACGGAATTGAGGGAAATATAATTTCCATTTGCTCACTTGTGCCGAGAAACTGGCTTGGAGAATGCTACGATCTTATCGAGATCATGGACCTGCAGCTAAAATGAAAAGTCTGAGGAAGGCCGATCACGAAAGCCTATCGCAAGACCCCTCGGCTCTTGAATATGAAAACTGGCTCCCAGGGAATAGTCCTGTACAGGTTCAGAACACTATTGAAGTTCGGCAGGATACGATGAAAGTCAGGGAAATAAAGACGCCAAACATGATCTATGTTGATGAAGTCTGAGAAAGACCTAGAATATCGAGGTATAGGTCTTCCAAGGTACTCGTCAGTATCTGAATATCCTACTTGGTGTCCATTGCCTTCAGTCCCTCAATGAAATCAAACCGCAGATCATTCCAATCCTCAATACCTATACTCACCCGTAACATCGTATCCTCGACTGTGTTGTCGCTCATCCGCCGCCACTCGATCAGTGACTCTACACCGCCGAGGCTCGTGGCATGATGGAATAGTTTTAGCTTGCTAGGGAGTGACCTAGCAGCAGTTGAGTCCGCCAACCATATAGCAAACACCGCAGGCCCGCCGTTTGGCATCTGCTGCGCCAAATAGCTATCCTTCTGGAGGCTGGAATGGGTGACTTTCACCACATGGTGCTTCACCAAATCAGCTTCTTCTCCTGTGATCGATCCCCTAATACAACCGTCGAGCCAGGCGACTAGATTATCCGCATTCTTGCTCTGTCTCTTTACTCGCAATTCCATTGTCCTGAGACTCCGGATTCCAAGCCAGCCTTCGAGGTTGCCCATGACGCCTCCAAGGAACAACCTCTCTAGTCTCATCTCAAGAGCCCTCTTGTCGCCCTCGACGCCCGGCTTTACAGCCAGGATTCCACAGAGCATGTCGGAGTGACCCCCGACATACTTTGTCCCGGAGTGCATGACTATATCGGCGCCCCAGGCGAACGGATCTTGCAACTGCGGCGGGCCAAACGTCGAGTCGACACTCAACAACGCGCCTCGAGCATGGGCACGCTTTGCGTACTTCTCAATTTCATATGACTCACCGGTAGGATTGAGCCTTCCATCTTCTGTCAGTGCAAGTCGGTGGAAATTTGGCCAGATCGGAGCTTACGGCGTTTCTAGGTGAACCAGATCTCCTTTCCCTAGGCCAGCTTTATCCCATTCCTCTTCGCTGGCATGCAGATCAACCGTCTTTACACCATGCATCTTCTTATGTAGAGAAATGACTCCATGGCACCCGTGATATCCGCCTGAGACGGCAATGACCTTGGGAACCACGCTCACCAATAAGGCATGAAACGCCGCAAGGCCACTAGCGTACACCACGACATTGGTGGATAGCTTCGTGGTGGAAGTTGCGGTAAAGCTAGGAAAGAGGAGTGATGCGAGCGCAGTTTCGAGGCGGCTGGCATTAGGGGCGGCGAGACGGGAGTACACTAGTGGCGCATCTGTACCAAGAACCTCGGGTGTGAGTTCTTCATCCGCTTCTGGGGAGGGGATGAGTTGAAGGGGATCAGAGGGGTAGCGGTAGGTGGTGGACTAAACGGAGGGGCACAGTTAGCACGCGGGTGAACGGGAGAGCTTGGGTATATATACCAAATGTATTGGCGGTGCCACATCTGTCGTATTGCTGCAGACATCGTCGGCGTGGATGGCGAGGGTCGCCGGCTGGTAGCTTGGTGGCATTCTCGTAATGTCTGGCCTTTTCTATATAGATGGCGGCACGGTATAAGAGACGTTTAAAATGTATTCTAGAGTTTACTTGACTGTTTTGAAATGAGTGAATGAATGAATGGGTCTTTGCTCGGCAGCGTGAGGGAGATAAGGGGGAATGAACACTTGAAGCTACCTTTGTACAATGCCGTGTCGGAGCATTTCACGCCCTGCGAGGTCGGGCCGCGCCATGAGTGGGACGGCGCGAGACTGATTACCTATCGAGGATGGCGTGCGAGAGTGCATGGAGTGGCACGAGTGGGTCGTCGCGGCTTGAGTCAAGGTTCTGGAGCAAGCGCGACCTGATTATAATTCGGTACGAGCGACGCGGCAGTGCTCCGGTGATGCGGGGTACATTTGCCCCTCCATGGACTGACGAAAATTTTCAGGGTCGAGCACGACGAGATTGGCATCACGATTGTGCAGACTCGATGTTATACAGAGGATAGATTGAGTAGCTGGAGGTAGTTTGGCCGTGTCATGGACTGTGCCGTGCCTACTACCGGATCCGTAACTTTTCAAGCCAGCTGCTTCCGTTGACCCACTGCTTCACGCCTCGCCGTCCACTCCATGCTCCACCCACGAGCTTATATCTAGAGCTGGCCCGCATCGACGATGGTGACGGCACCCTTGGGGGCACCGGATCCGCTGCCGACGGCCTCAATGGACCTGACAACCTTGTAAGAAGCAGTGTCACCGTCCGGCACTTGGCCGAAGACGACGTGCTTCGAGTCGAGCCAGCTGGTGACGACCGTGGTAACGAAGAACTGGGAACCGTTGCTATTTGAAGTGGTCAGTTAGCATGTTGCAATGCCGCCGGGCCCCCAGACTAGGGTGGGTGCTTACGTGTTGGGTCCAGCGTTGGCCATGGACAGTAGGAAGGGCTTGTTGTGCTTCAACTTGAAGTTCTCGTCGGCGAACTTCTCGCCGTAGATGGACTTTCCACCAGTGCCCTGTTTGTAACGTTGTTAGCTGGTCGCTTTTGAGCACGAGCGGATGGCAAGCAGCGAGCTCGGTGAACAGCAAGACTTACGTTGCCACGGGTGAAGTCGCCGCCCTGGAGCATGAATTCTGGGATCACACGGTGGAACTTGGATCCCTTGTAGCCGTAGCCCTTCTCGCCGGTGCAGAGAGCACGGAAGTTCTCGGCCGTCTTGGGGACGACATCATCGAAGAGCTCGAAGTTGATGCGGCCGGACTGGGCTGTAGACACCACGTCAGCAATTGATAGATGGAGTAAGGGCCATGGGCATTGAGATGGATTCGACGATGATAGTCGATGATAGAAGTCATGGCGCAGGCTTGTTGCTGAGGCACAGTGGAGCGAGGGGCAAAGGGACGCTTACATGAGGGTGCTCCCTTCTTGGTGATGGTGCCCTTGGAGTCGACCTCGATCTCAGGGCCGGTCCAGGTAACGTCGAAGAAGACTTTGATGACCATATTGGGATTGGTGGTGGAGAAGAATCGAGATGAGAGGAATCGAGTTGGTGGTGTGTGGTGGAGAGAACGCAATGAGCGAGAGAGAATGAGGGGCATGGTGGGGCTTTTGAGGGAGAGCTGGGCGCTGCAAAATGCCAAGGTTAGCGCGTCACATCATGCCGATGGACAGCCACCAGGGGCCGCGTTCATCAATGCAAGCTGCGGATGCATCTCCAGCTGAAGGATCCCGAACCTGGAAACCGCCCGAAGTTACAGCTGGGGAGAGGCGGGCATTCACTTACTGGAGGGCGCTGGATGCTGGTTTGCGGGGGCGTGAAGCTGCGAGCTGGGGACGAGCGGACGGCCGGCGTCAAGCTGCGGCGGAGGACTGCACAAGACGAAGCGGGACTATGCAATGACGAGAGAGGCACTCTAATAGTACAAGAATGAACAGCGATGGCAGACGTCTGTAGACTGATGGAGGCGCTGGAGAAGATTTTTGAGATGGCCGGCCCCTAGAATAGCTAGGAACCGCACAAGCCAGCCCGTGACATGCCTGGGCATCAAGATTGAGAATAGATATCGAATCGATGAGCGATACTATCTGGTTGCGATGATCACGATCCGATCTAGCTTTTAGCGATCGCTACAAGACCAGATCTCGAAGTGGTTGGATGCCGCTGTTGAGTATTGTCACGTGATCTGTCAAGGAACCGGTACTCCAGGGCCGACTCGAGAATCAGCCACCACCTCCCGTCGCCTTTCATAAACCCCACCGACAACAGAGCCTCCTGCCGCCACGCAAGATGGATTTCTCCAGTCTGAAGGACAAAGTGAGCAATCTCACGCTCTACGACCTCAAGGCGGGCGTGCGACAGGTCCAAAATGGTGAGTGTGCTCCTGGCGTGGCCGACCGCTTCAGTCGTTGGAGGTGCTAACCACTCTTCAAGCCGTGATGAACTACACTGAGTGAGCACATCTGCATTAATCTATCCTCTCGCCCACCTCGCCGCTATCAGATTTCTCCCGGGCTTCAACGCGCATCCTCATGAGTCTTTGATGAATCGCCGCGCCTGCCTCCGCAATCCCAACGATCAGTATGTAGCTAATCCCCTGTTTTTAGGATGGAGGCGAAGGTTCGCGAGGCCACAAACAACGAGCCTTGGGGTGCCTCCTCGTCCTTGATGCAAGAAATTGCGGATGGAACCCACAGTTAGTGAGTTGGGCGCGAACTCTTGGTACATCTTCGCGAGGCTAACCTCAACAGTCAATTGCTCAATGAGATCATGCCGATGATATACAAGCGTTTTACGGAGAAAGCGGCGGAAGAATGGCGCCAAATCTACAAAGTGGGAAATAACCTCTTTAATTCCTGGCCTTCCTAACCACCTATACAGGCTCTCCAATTGCTCGAGTTCCTCATCAAGAATGGTTCAGAACGAGTAATCGACGATGCGCGGTCACACCTCTCCCTCCTAAGGATGCTCCGGCAGTTCCACTTTATTGACCTGAACGGCAAGGATCAAGGAATCAACGTACGCAACCGCTCGAAGGAGCTAGCAGAACTTCTCAGCGATGTCGAAAGGATTCGATCTGAGCGAAAGAAGGCCCGGGCCACAAGAAACAAATACGGCGGTGTCGAGGGCGGTATGGGCGTGGGCATGGGAGGAAGCATGGGGGGCAGCATGTCAGGAGGTGGTGGTGGAGGAGGAGGAAGCCGGTACGGAGGCTTTGGCAGCGAAGAGGCTAGTGGCTACGGAGCCTATAGCGGAGGCGTCTACGGCGATGGCGGCGGATTCGGAGGCAATACTGGGGGCTTTTCGGATACCTCATCCCGAAGAGACCGATTCGAGGAGTACGACGAGTACGATGAGGGAGCTGTCGCTGCGCCAGGCCGAAGAAAAGCAGACGCCCCATCAGCCTCAACTGCTGTGAAGCGGGAAGCGAAGAAAGCCGAGCCTCCCAAGCCGAAGGAAGCGGAAGTTGACCTGTTCTCGTTTGGAGACGATGATCCAGCGCCCGCCTCTACATCCAGTGGCAAGCAGAAAGCAGCGGCGCTCACCGATTTTGGAGCGGACGACGACGATTTTGACGATTTCCAGGCTGCGCCGCCACCAGCAGCAGCACCCACATCGCAAGCGTCCTTCAGCATTGCACCGCCGGGATCCACGTCAACCACTACCTCATCGACCCAATTCGCCCAGCCTCAACCTCGCTCTGGCACTCAAGGCGCAAATATCAACGATCTCTTCGCATCTATCTCTCCCCCTCCAAGCAACGCAACAGCGTCACCTGCTCTTGCATCTGCATTCTCTCCTCCAGCTATACCACAGCAATCGCAGCCTTATCGTCCTGCCGGCTTCCAGTCCGCTCAACCAAATTACTTCACTTCCGTGCCTCTCGCGGCAAGTAGCACCCCGGCTTCGAGTACCACTACCCTAGGAGTCCTGTCTCCTTCTATTACTAAAAGCACGCCCGGGGCTAAACCATCTGGCGGGGATGCATTTAGCTCATTGCTCGGGGGAACTACTATTAAGAAGACCGGCACACCAACCCAGAAAGTCACATTAGCTGACATGGCCAAGCAGAAGTCTACCGCGGGGATCTGGGGTGCGCCGTCATCTACCGGCGCTAGCCAGCCGGGCGCTGCACCAAAGGCGGGCAATGGCCTTGATGATCTATTAAGTTGATGTGCTTTGAGTCTTATTGTCGTTACTATTCGAAAGCATGGCGCGATAAGGTAACGGGGTTTGAATATTGCACGATGGGGAGAAAGGAAAAGGACGAGCCTGAGATTGAACAATTCACAATGAAACTCCAAATACGTTCTATGTATTCCTGCAGATTTTAGCTCGCTGCTTAGGTACTTGCTAAGAACAAGGAAACTTCCTTCGCTTTGTCCTATCTCTTGAAGTTGTGCAAGAGATCGTGAATATCCATCTTAACATAAAATGGCGGGGTGGGAAACACGTGATGGGCGGCCAAATCTCGGGTTTCACTTAAATCGACTCCGACTCATCAATTCTACAGAGCCACTGAACTTTGTTACGGCAGGAGATCAGAGACATACGGACCAGACCACAATCATGCCGGCCCCTCGCGGCCCAGTGCCAGTGCTGGAGAAACGCGACCTCCCCCAGGAAGTCCTCAATTTGCTCGACGAGAAGCCCACCGTCCACACCAGCGAAGACTTCCCAGATGTATCTCAACCAGAGATCAAGGCCGCAATTGACAAGCTGAGATCGCGGTCCATGCTGCAGTATGAGACGTCGGACACGGAACAGGTCGTTCTAACTGCCGAGGGCAAGGGAATCTGTGACGAAGGGAGTCACGAATATAAAGTGTGGGATGCGGTGCGGCAGAGCGGCAGGCTGCCAATAAAGGAGCTTCCGGTAGGTCTATGACCAGCTACCAAGCATATTGAGGCTATGAACGAGAGCGTATACTAATTATTTTTTCTAGAGCCATGTTGGCGCGGACTCGGCGAAGGTGGGGCAGGGAAATGCCTTCAAGAACAAGTGGATAAAAAAGGATGGAGACGCGCTGGTATTGCTGGCAAAAGAAGTAGAAGACCAAGCCCGGATCACATTACAAAACATACAAGAGACGAAGACATTGGGTGACGCAAAATTACTGGCAGACCTTAGGAAGAGGAAGCTCGTCACGCTATCCAAAGTCATAAGCTATACGGTTACGAAGGGACCAAAATACGCAAAAGAGATACCGGAGGAGATTACAGATCTGACAGCAGATATGCTCACGAGCGGCGCATGGGAGACTGCGAACTTCAAGCCCTACAACTTTAACTCTCTGGGAGCGTCGCAGAATGCGGGGGCTTTACATCCTCTGAACAAAGTGCGGACAGAGTTCCGAAACATCTTCTTCAGCCAGGGCTTCGTTGAGATGCCTACTGGACAGTAAGGCACTCTTGCTACAATCTTCTGGATTCTACTAACGTACACATAGCTTTGTCGAGTCCGGTTTCTGGAACTTCGACGCCCTCTTCGTCCCTCAGCAACATCCAGCCCGCGACATGCAAGATACCTTCTTCATCTCCGACCCTGCCAAGGCCGACAAACCCGGCCCAGATCCCGAGACAGAAGCTCAGATGGATGCTATGGAAGCAGGATCCCGTAAGCTCTTTGCCACGGCTACCAAGAAGGAAATTAAGTCGCGCGATTATGAGCAATACTGGAACAACGTCAAAGAAGTACATCAGAATGGTGCCTTTGGGTCTGTTGGCTACAGGTATCCCTGGTCTGAAGATGAGTGCCTCCGTCTCGTCCTACGCACACACACCACAGCAGTATCAACATGGGTGCTCCACCGACTTGCGGAAGATCCCAGGCCTGCCCGCTACTTCTCGATAGACCGCGTCTTCCGGAATGAGACGGTGGATGCTACGCATCTTGCCGAGTTCCACCAGATTGAGGGCGTGATTGCTGACTTTGGGCTGACACTGGGCGGCTTGATGAAGTTCCTGGAGGACTTCTTCTCGAAAATGGGGATCGAAGATCTGCGCTTCAAACCAGCCTACAACCCTTACACCGAGCCATCGATGGAGGTCTTCGGATATCATGTGGGGCTGAAGAAGTGGGTTGAGATCGGAAACAGTGGCATGTTCAGACCAGAAATGCTGGAGCCTATGGGTCTTCCCAAGGACTTGCGGGTGTACGGATTTGGGTTGAGTTTGGAACGGCCGACCATGATCAAGTATGGAGTGAGCAACATCAGGGAGCTTCTGGGTCACAAGGTCGATCTTGACTTCATTGAGAAGAACGCGGCTGTGCGGCTGGAGAAGAATTAGGAGTGGAGATTCCCGTCCATGGTACTCGTAGACCGAGCTAGGGGGTTGTGGCACTTTTCGACTAGTCGAATGAGGGTAGACTACAGCTTAGAACTGTCAAAATCCAACATATGTACCCTATTTCCGAGCGCTGTTATGGCATTCGTAGGGTGACTTTGGTCAATCAGAACCGATAGATCGGTTACCGAAGCCTTTGGTGCGTGTCCATGTTGCTCCGAGGACGGCGGTATGTCCTCAGAACAGGACGAGTCAAGAAGTGCTCTTGGTAGCCTTAGTCTCATGTTGTCCTCCGTTGTTGCCGTTCTTCAATCTTAGCTGCTAACTGCGCATCTCCCTTCCCTTTCCACTCCCTATAATTCGACGAGACACCCTTTATCCGCTCCACATATCCAACCTTCTGCCCCTTCATGAGCGCCAACCCGTCTTGTAACAGTCCATAGCTCAGCCCGGCCACCAACCCCATCTTCGCCGTCCGCGCCGCCGTCGGAAGCGGGAATTTATCTGCACACACCCCGTCAGCAACTCAACCCATCCCCTCAAACCTCAAGAACATAACTCACTCCACAAACTCCACAAGCCCGCCGTCCCCAACCCCGCGACCAGACTCCCAAACGCATCCCGCACCCCGCTCACGTCTGCCTCGCCCACGCCCAGCTCGTCCACCCCCTCCATCCCACTCACCGTGCGCCCCGCCCGCCACGTCGCTCGGAACACGTCCACGCTCTCTTCGCACACGTAGAATACCCCCGCCCACACTCCCAGCATCGTGCCCTTGCCGACGCCCTCCCGCAGCCCGGACTTTAGTCGGTAGTAGTTCTTGGATTTGTGGTATAGGTACCAGCCTTTGCCGTCGGTGGGCAGGCGGTGCGCGTTCTCGGCGCGGAAGCGCAGGCCGGCGGTGCCGCCGCCGTGGGACATGCCGAGGGTCAGGCCGGTGAGGAAGGCGGCGGTCATGGCAATGGTGAGGCGTTGTTCGAAGGGCATGCTGAGGCGGTCGGTGGAGCGGCGGGGGGTGGAGGTGGTGGGTGAGGTTGTGGATGTTGGCGAGGTTGAGGAGGTTGAGGAGGGGTGGGGTGGGGTGGGTATGGAGGTTGTAGAAGCCATTGCGATGGACTGGGTTAGTGGTGAAGGGTCGTGAAGGTTGTAATATCGTTGGGTTCTGTAGAGTGCTATGTAAAGCTTGAAGGATGCTCCACTGCTCAGTGGATGGGTAGAAGTTGAGGCGTGAGGCGGAAAGTCAATTGTAATTAGAAGAAAAGCGGTGTTTTAAGCAGTTACATTGAATTGAAAGTAGGATGATACAGCAATTGCACACCTAAGGAAAAGTAGACGTCCATTGAGGAGCTTCAATGATCTCGGAGGTGTGAGCGGACTTCTCCGTTCTATTGGAAAATTACGGCATCAGGCTACTAAACTTTCGATCATACCAAACCACGGTAGAGAATAAATTACACTAGCGCGAAAAAGTGTCCGCGCACCGCTACAAAATCTTCTGGCCGCGCTTCTGGTCCTCTTCTTCTCTTGGGAAAACACTTCTGTTTCCCCCGCCGACTGGTTGTTTCTCAATCGTCGTCGTTTCTTTACGTGCCCTACATCGCGCTTCTTGACCTGCCTCTGGAAGCTTTCTTCTCTCCTCCATGGCTATTCTTAACGGCAACTCGACGGCGAGCCCCTCCTCCAAGGTCGAGGATTTCCACGCCGCCCTGGACATCCTCAAGAAGGACTACCCTGAGCGCGATGGCATCGATGTGAAGACCCTCATAGACTCGCGTCTCAACGGTGGTCTCACGTACAATGATTTCCTCGTTCTCCCGGGTTACATTGGTACATCACCTCGCGCGCCTGGTGGACTTTTCTTCGTGTCGCTTTAGCTAACACGCGTAAATCTGCAGGCTTTCCAGCCTCTGAAGTCACTCTTGATACCCCTGTCACCAAACGTATCACCCTAAAGACCCCGTTCGTCTCTTCTCCCATGGATACGGTCACCGAGCACTCCATGGCCATCCACATCGCCCTCTTGGGAGGTCTGGGTGTTATTCACCACAACTGCTCGCCAGATGAGCAGGCAGAGATGGTCCGCAAGGTCAAGCGCTTCGAGAATGGCTTCATCCTTGACCCCGTCGTCATCTCGCCAAAGACAACTGTCGGGGAGGCGAAGGCGCTGAAGGAGAAGTGGGGATTCGGAGGCTTCCCTGTCACTGGTGAGTGCAGATCTTCACTATGAGCAATTTCTGTACCCGACGGGTACATGTCATGATGATCAAACTCATTTTATAACTTTCGTTCATCTGAAGCGACTCTGTCGTGCTGTGGACTCCATGATACTTTCTGAACCCTATCTCTCCATCGTATTGTCTCAAAACAACCCAGTTTGCACCATACTGACGTTTATGTGCATCAGAAAACGGCACCCTACGATCGAAACTTGTTGGTATAATCACGCCTCGTGATATCCAGTTCCACGCCGAACTTGACGACCATGTCACCGCCGTGATGTCGACCGACCTAGTCACAGCTCGTACTGGAATAACTCTCAAAGAAGCCAACGAGCTTCTTAGCAAGTCCAAGAAGGGAAAGCTACCAATCATTGACGAGAACGGGAACTTGGTTGCCCTTCTATCTCGTTCTGATTTGATGAAGAACCTTCATTATCCTCTTGCTTCAAAGTTACCTCACTCTAAACAGCTCATCTCCGCTGCCGCTATTGGCACTCGACCAGAGGATAAGAACCGTCTGCAGAAGCTCGTCGATGCCGGACTAGACATTGTAATCCTCGATAGCAGCCAAGGAAACAGCATGTATCAGGCAGAGATGATTAAGTTCATCAAGGAGAAGTACCCGGGTCTCGATGTGATTGGCGGAAACGTCGTCACCCGTGAGCAGGCCGCTACTCTCATTGCCGCCGGTGTCGACGGACTTCGGATCGGTATGGGCAGTGGCAGTGCTTGTATCACCCAGGAGGTGATGGCAGTTGGCCGACCACAAGCCGCCGCTGTCTACAACGTTACCCAATTCGCCAAGCGCTTTGGCGTTCCTTGCATCGCTGATGGTGGTATTCAAAACGTTGGCCACATTGTCAAAGGTCTTGCCTTGGGCGCCACCACTGTAATGATGGGCGGCCTGCTCGCCGGAACTACCGAGTCTCCAGGACAATACTTCGTCAGCCGCGAGGGTAAGCTTGTTAAAGCGTACCGCGGCATGGGCAGCATCGATGCCATGGAAGACAAGAAGGCCGGCGCTGGTAGCAAGGATTCAAAGGCCAGCAATGCTGGTACTGCCCGGTATTTCTCCGAGGGTGACCGACTCTTGGTCGCTCAAGGTGTCTCTGGATCTGTGCTTGACCGGGGTTCTATCACGAAGTTCGTTCCATACCTCATAACTGGTGTTCAACACTCTCTCCAGGATATGGGCGTCAGGAGCGTCACGGAACTCCATGATCGCGTCGAGGATGGCACTGTGAGGTTCGAGCTGAGGACTGCAAGTGCTCAGGCTGAGGGTGGTGTCCATGGCCTCGAGAGTTTCGACAAGAAGCTATACTCGTAGAAAAGTGAGTTTTTGGGAATGGCGTTGTGGGTCAGTGAAAGGGCGGAATATTTCTCACAGCCATCTAGATGGCTTATAAAGTCGAACGATTAGATATGGAGTAATGATTGATATAACGAGGAACGTCTGGTTCAACTGAAGCTTTTGCTAGTCACTACGTGTACCACGCCTCGCCTAAATCTTGTGATGATGATGACAAGCACTACCAACTAATAGATGGCCCGAGGATGAGATTCTTCATTCGACTTAGATCAAATTCTCTCAAAACCCTGGATATATCCAAAATTTCGGACGGGTTTGAGATGTTAGAACGGTCGTGGAAGTTACTCTGGCCAGTTGGAAATCTGGCCGGTTGGAAATGGAAGCTAGACCGGAGTCTGAATTTCACACTCGACACTAGGGAAAGAAACAGGCCAATCCGAACTTCACTCTGACCGATGAAAGTATGAGAAGATTCTTAACATGAAGGGGCTTCTAATATTTTGGAACCCACGCTTTACTCAATGCTAAGAGTTACCATGTTGCTCGTCTGGAACTTCCACTTTCTCGCGCTCATCCCTTTTTTACACCCACCCCAGAAATTGTTCATTTCGATCTTTGCCCACGATCTTGTCGTATGCAACTTTCTTTGCCTTCCTCGCCTTAACGTGCACACTATCGGCTTGTGATGCAAGAGCACGAGCACGAGCTGAAGCGCCCCACGCGCCTCAAGCACCTTGTGAACCGTTCGCGTCCCGCTTGTGTATCAGAGTTGGCTCTGTTCCTACCCTTGTACCTTTCGTGCCTTGTACGTAGCATCGATTTTCCCATGGGAACTGCAAAATTGCAATCATGAGGTCATCGCGTCCCACTTGCTCCTTCGCCCTTCCTCCAAGAGGAGCCTCTCAGCGGCTCTCTCTCCTAGAGCAGACGAAGCGCGCACCCCGGTAGTTCGTAGCTTTTATTCGGAAGCTTGACTGCTTCGCTTTCTCTTCATCCATTTCTCCGCGTGATCATGCACCTTTTTCTGTCTCGTTTTGTGCTAATTGTCTCAATCCTCGTCCATGCTTGCGCACAAGATACCCTCACGATATTTCCAGCTGCCAATGTTGCTGATGCGGCCGGCGTCTCCTCGCCTCTCAGCCCGTCTTTTGCTGGATTTGGCATTGAACCCTCCAATCTCTACTCTTTCACCGGCGGGGACAGGCCGAACCAATTCTCCGTAAACCTCCTCCAGAATCTTGCTGATTACGCTGGCGCCCCTCCTCATATCCGGCTAGGAGGGAACGCCGGGGACTTGATGATATACGACTCATCATTCGATGATTACAGCTTGAAGAACAATCCGAACGCAGTCGGGCAGGGGAAATATGCGAGCGATTCCATGATCTTTGGACCCTCGTATTTCAAAGCTCTAGATCGGTTTCCCGGAGGCACTCCAATCACATACGGACTGAATCTTGCGTATTCAGAAGCAGACTACGTGGAAAATATTGTGAAGGAGGCTGCTGCTGCGCTGAAGGATATGACGAACGTGAAACTAGCTTCGTTCGAAATTGGAAACGAACCGGATCTCTATCTCCAGAACGGCTTTCGCACTGGGACGTGGGATGGGCAAGTTTACACCCAGGAATTTCTTAATCGCGCCGCATCAGTGTACGATCAAGTACTGAAACCAGCTGGATTACCGTCCAGTTTCTTCGAAGCCCCAGCAACAGCATCCACGATAGGGACTACTTTCGAAATCAAACAGCTAGTCCAGAACGGGCTCATTGCCAATACAAACGGGTCCCAGTATATTAGCGCATGGAATCAACACGACTATTTCTACTTCATTGACGTATCAGACTATCCGCTCAACCTAGACGACCTTATGAATCTTGACAACACGAATACGCAATTCGCATACTGGGAAGGCCAAGTCACAGAAGGGCTGAAGACTGGCCTGCCCTACGTCCTACGTGAAATGGCCAGCGTAGGGCCCATTGGCAAGGATGGCATCAGCGACACCTTTGGAGCCGCCCTCTGGACCCTGAACTTCTTCCTCTACGCCGCTTCCCTGAACATCTCCTCAGTGCAAATGCACATGACGGACAACTCAAATGCAAGCGCTTGGCAACCAATCACTATGTATGGCAACGACCCTCATGTGCGCCCGCAATACTACGCTCACGCTGCCGTCGCCCAGCTCATTGGGAACGGCAACGGGACGACCCAAATCGGCGTCTTGAACACCAACGATGCTTCCGGCTCATACTCTGGTCGTATCCGCGCTTATGCCGCCTATGCATCTGGCGAGCTTCGTTCCCTCGTCCTCATCAACAGCCTTCAAGCAAACTCGTCCGACCCCTCGAAGGGCGCCTACATTTTCAATATCTCGCTCCCTAACTATCAGGGTGACTCCCTCTTCCTCTCCTACCTCACTGCCGACGGCGCCGACTCGCTCTTCGGCACAACCTGGAACGGCATCTCCTTCGAAGACTCAAATGACGGTTCGCCTAAGACGGTAAATAAGACCATAGAAACTCTACCCATCGGCCCAGGCGGGAAGGCATCTATCTCAGTACGCGATTCACAGGCTGTTGTCGCAAATATCGGATCGCTGCTTGGTTCTAAGGTTCTGCCGGCGCAGGCTCCCACTTCGACCAGTGGCTCGAAGAGCTCAGAGGGTGCGAAGAAATCGACTGCGGTGTCTGGAGTGACAGCTATGGCGACGGCGGCGATTAGTGCGGCTGTGACTACTACGGCAGTGTTGAGCGCGAAGCCGACAGGAGTCGGTGTGCGCGGAGGGACGGCGGAGCGGATGTTGCCCCTTTTGGTGGTGGTTGGGGCTGTGGTATGGGGTGCTTTTTGTATGGCGTAGGGGAAAGGTATCATGATAGACGTCTAGTCAGCAGCTACCTACCTACGAAGCACAACCGCTGGCCTGAAGCTGATGCCCTTGTCTTCGCAAGTTGTGAGGTAGTCACAATGTCATGTGCAGAGACGTTTCTACACCACTTTTATTCATCATCGCAAGTATGTACTCTATGTACTCCTTTTCTTGGCTCTATCTTTTTCCTCTGAGGTTCTCTCCATACAGATTCATCTGTGTTTTTGGAGCACGCCATCTCGTATATGGCTGCTCTCAGATATCATGCCGAGCGTTCTTGCTCATGTGACGGATCCTTTCGCCATACTAACCCGTCGTAAGTTACATACGACAATTCACAGACTTACTCAAGACTTACATAATGGAAGATAAAAGGAATAGGAACGAAGCAAATCGCTATCCCACCAAGGAGCGAATTTCCAGGCCCAATACCAAGTCGATGAAAAAGCGCTGGTGCCTACACATCCACTAGTCAACCCCAACCCCCAGCAACAAGTCTCCACGAACTTACAAACAGCGGAAAACTCGCCCCAAACGAAGCGCGAAAGAGTGCATTCCCCGCAAATATCGACGCCGGGTACGCCGGGTACCCCATCCCTAGGTAATTAAACACCGGGTTGAACAGCGTTACCACGCCGACGGTGAAGAAACTGGAGCCGATGATGGGCATGATCCAGTGGATGCTCTCCTTCGCGGACCAGCCGTACCAGAACAGGCAGATAGGGAGAGCGGCGGCGCCCAAGAACATCGGCGGCAGCAGCATCTCGGGCTTGAACGAGGGGTCCGTGAGGCGGGGGGTTATGCGGTATCTCACCCAGAGCAAGAAGAGTGGGACAGTGATGATGGCGCCGACGAAGATTCCGAGGAAGACGAGGCCCTGGGCGCCAGAGTCGAAGCCGTAGATCCCACCGAAGACGAGCGGGAAGGACTCGAACCAGAGGAACAGTACGCCGTACAGGAGAGCGGTGTAAAGGTCCATGAAGAACACGATCGGCTCGGAAAAGGCCAGCGTGAAGGCTCGGCTGAGGATGACCAGGTCGTCGCGTAGGGTGTGGTGTGCGGCGTCGATCTCAGACTGACTGCGTAGCCGCTTGTCTCCTGTCGCTTTCCTCAACCGCTTCGCGCGCTTGAGAAGGATGTTCGCGGCGCTGGTTTCGGGCAGCAGGAAGAAGAGCATCAATAGCACGCATGCGTCCAGCCAGGTGAATACCCAGATGGTCCACCGCCAGCCTTTGGCTGGTGCTACGAAGCCGCCGATGATGGGGCCGAAGACGGGGCCGAGGACGCCGAACGAAGAATAAATACAAATACCATATAAGACCCGAGCTGGGTCGTAGACGTCCATTAGGGTGGCGCCGCCGGTTGAGAGGGATGGGCTGCCGCAGAAGCCGGTTAGGAAGCGGAAGATGAGGAACATGGGCATGTTGGTGGCGAAGCCGGTGGGGAGTTGGAGTAGGACGAAGGCGAGCAAGGTGTAAACGTATATGCCGTTTCTCCCGAGCTTTGGGAACTCGGATAGGGGGGACCAGAGCATAGGGCCGATGCCGTAGCCGCTGGTAGAGAGAAGAGGGAGTGTGAGCGAATAGGCATGTCAAGGGGATGGGGGATTGGGAGAAGGATTGGGAGGCTCTTACACGGTGTAAAGGGAGAGTCCTAGTGTTGCTACAGTCTGGCTGACTCCGAAGTCCTTCATGATATCTCCTGCGCCGGAGATGTAGACGGAGCTTCCAATGTAGACTGAGAAGTTGAGGATACAGATTTGGAATCCGATCAGCAGCTTCCAGCTATCTGGCCAATTCTGGGGGTTCTGGCGTTTGCGTGAGAAGTGCTCATTGCGTCATTCATGAAAGCAGATACCTCTGGATCATTAGGGCCGTACCAGTCTACCAGATGAACGTCTTTGCCATCTTCGACATATTTATCACTCAGATCCTGTATTTCCAGGTCTTGCGGAGAAGCACTGGTTTGCTCTCTGTTTTTATCTCGCTGGACTGACTTCTCCCGTAGCGAAGGGTCGATTTCGTCAGAGTATCGAAATAGTTTGTTGCGAGATAGGAGGCGTACGAGGTGGCCAAATTGGGTATCGCGGAAATGATTGGCCATTTTGATGTCCAAGACAACGGGGCAGCTTATGACATTTGACGGGCTTTCCCCCCCACACGGAGGTAGAGTTCCAATGCATTTATAGAGATTCGAGTTATGATATAGTGGTAACTCTTGCGATTAAATCGCTGTGCCGCATTGCATAGCATTGATGAAGCGAGGAAATACATCGGAGTTACGTGGGACTGAGTGGAGGTAAAGGTTGTTAACCCCGAAGAATTTTCAGGCGTTCCGTCGATTATTAAGGTAATTTATGAAAGTGGCACAGAAGCGAATTGCAAATACAAGAGGGTGGAAGATAGTCCAAGAAAGGTACCCTACATGTACTAGGTCTCCGTGGAATCAGGCGCCAAGACCGTAGCCTAAGCCTGTTCAATAGCCGAAACAGGCTGGGTCTGAGATTAGTGAATTGCCTTTAAGTCCGAACCTCCAGATTTTGTTGTTTCTGGGACTTCAATAGAGAAAGAAGGTAAGCTAAACCCAGCTTCAGTCACACTTGAACATTCTAAACTATCAGTGACATTGATGTACGCTTGCCCGTCACGGACACTAATCTTCTCGAGTAAGTAGTTCATGAGGTTGAGAATGGCGAGGCGGTCAAAGACATGAGGAAAAAGTTTCTATGAAATGATATTAGATATTATACTGGGTATCAAAAGAGTCCATCCATCCATTAAACCAGACCAGAAATATGTCTGCTCGCCGTAACTCATGCAATCATTACCCCATGCTTCGTTAACATCATAAATAGCCATTCCAGCCCGCTCAAAAACTTCGATTTCTTTCATCTATCTTCTCGCATCGCAGGTGTTGCCGAATGGAGAATGCGCCTCGCCCCCTTCGATGTACCCGATGGCTGGGTCTCCTCTGAAGTCTGCTGCATTCCGTGTCCACAATCCACGGTATTTTGCTCCCCGGAGGAAACGAGTGCCAGTGATCTGTGTGCTGCTGACGGCGTAGAATCGTCAACGTTTCTCCTGAACTTGCTCGAAGCAAGCCATGCCGTTGACCTTCACAGGTCTTGTATGTGGTGGCTAATATAGCCCATCGCGTCGAGAGCTCCGACTTCACTGCAGTGGCAGTGCTGGTGACGGAAGAGCAAATAGCTCGATGCTTGCCGCTGTCGAGAACGGTTCAGGTGTGGTGGGCCTCGACGAGCAAGGCGTAGATGTGGTAGATGAGGTCGTCGTGGATGGGAAGTCCGGTTCCTCTTCGCTAACCTCAGGCTCGTCGACGGGGATGCGGAGGATCTGGCGGCCAACTAAGTTGGGGATGTAGATGTATTGGGGTGCCATTGTGGATAGTGGTTCGATGGTTGTGCGGTAGTATATGGTTTGATGGGTGGAGATGGAAACGGTAGTATGGGACCGCTTTGGTATGAGGATGGGAGTGTGTCTGTGTGATGAATGAGAATTCTGATGGTGGGGATACTGGTTCCATATATAATGCTTCCTCAGCAGGGCACTGGAGTTAAAGTGGTGTTTAGCAGGCCCGTTATAGCCGGCAAAGGCGCGAAGGGAGTCATGGTGGGATGTCGGCGTTTGTGTTGCTCCATCTTCCCCGGTTGGGGCGTCGTACAACCATCGCTACAGGGTGAACGGGGTTAGTCAACGTCGGAGCGCCGTAAATCCCGACCACGCCAACGAACAAGGCCTCAATCTTCTCACCGTCAGGATGCATCTCCATATCATGTCCGTCGGGCCCGAAAGACGCTGCGGCTTGCGAGCCTCCTCGCAGCTGACGTGCAAGACGCGTTCTGGAGTCAACACCAAGCTTGCGTCGTCACCCCTCCGGCTCGAGTAGATTAGTGAGCACGAACTGTGCTAAGAATAGGCAATGTTGGCTTCTAAAGGGCTTCATCAATTTCAGCTGTACATTGAACTGCTATTTCTTTTGCTTCTTCATCGGGCTGCCAATGTTACCAATATCTCCTCGTACAAGACTTTCGTCACAATTTCCTACACAGAAAATAAACACCATAATCGGAGAGCTATCTTGTAGGGACATCTCTACCCATGCGCTTGCCTGGAATGCCTTTGCAATCTCAGTCATGTCCTTGCTATGATTCGTCGCAGAGGATATGGGGTTCAGATATAGTCACCAGGTTATACACCGAATTTGAAAAGGATATACAAAGTAGTAGTTAATATGTATGAAATGTGTCCTGCAACGTGGTTACGAAGTATTGGAGGCAGTTGACTCGGTCATTTCACGCAGCTCATTGTGAGGGTTACTCGGAGTAAAGCGCTACTCGGAGCAAAGCGCACCAAGTCTGACATAGACAGGCTACAACACGACGAGGCTTTGATCATCTCGGTCGAGTCAATACTTCTCTTTTGGGTCTGTTCTATTCGTTTCAGAGCAGGTCCTGCTCATAGTTTCGCCGACACCTGCCCTACCTCCTTCTTCGCACGATCGCGTAACTCCCTTCGTAGAATCTTACCATTAGCGTTTTTCGGCAACTCATCCACATACACTACGCCGCCTCTTAACTGCTTATAGTTTGCCAACTTGCTTTTAACAAAGTCTTTGACCTCGTTTTCGCTGATCTTCCCTGGGTCTGCGACGATGTACGCGCGAGGCACTTCGGAGCCACCCTCGATGGGTACACCGACTATGGCGGCTTCTTGGATGGCAGGATGAGTGTCTAATAGGCTTTCTAGTTCGGCCGGAGCAATCTGAAGGCCTTTATACTTCAGGAGCTCCTATTCGGGATTAATCAGAAATTTCAAGACTGGCGAAGAACTCAAGCAGCTCCTACCTTCTTTCGATCTAAGATGTAAAATTTGCCTCCTCGATCCACTGCAATATCGCCGGTGCAGAACCAATCGTCGTGGAACGTTTCTTGTGTCGCGATGGGATTGTCGTAGTAGCCTTGTGTTACCAATGGACCGCGGACGATGACTTCGCCTGGCTGACCGGGATCGACGTCCTTCATTCATCTCGTCAGCATACTGTAGCGTTTCATTCAGTAAAATGAACTTGAACGTACATGCCACTCCTCGTTCACAATCCTCATTTCCATGTTTGGCATTATCGGACTTATGCTGCCAGTAATATCACTATCTCCCCTCGGCATAATCGTCACCGCACCCGTCGTTTCACTTAGGCCCCAAGTCTGGCTGATTCGCACGTCTCCTGTCCCTAGCTTTGCATTCGCAGCCTGTTGAAGTTCACCATCCATGGGTGCTGCTCCAGTGATAGCTGTCTGCACAGTCCGGAACTGGTCCGTGACGTCTGCCGATTTTGCGATCCGGAGGAAGATCGAAGGAACGGTGTAGAAAATGGTGATCTGCAAGTCTTTCATGTGCTGTAAGAATGGCTTCCACGAGAACTTTCGCATCCAGTAGACGGCGCCGCCGGAGTATGTCGGCGCGATGAAATATCCGTATAAGCCGGCGATGTGAGCTACAGGGAGGTGGGCTAGTGTTCGATATTCTGGTAATTCCCGGCCTTCTTCGACTTCTTTTGCGGCCCATTCGCGACCTATGTAGTACGTGAGTGGTATTTTGAGAGGTAGGAAGAATACAAATACCTTGTACAGACGGTATGTATAGCTCAGCGACTAGGTTGAGATGAGAAAGCATGACACCTAGAGTACCATTAGCAAGAATTTCAGCATTATCGCTTTCAGCTAGTTCTCACCCTTTGGGACGCCTGTCGTCCCACTCGAGTAGAGCAAAACAATCAGACTCTTTTTCAACTCCTCATAATCCGTTACCCTCTTCCACGTCAGCCTGTTTCCCGTCTTCCAGTTCAGCGCCAACCCCCCTTCCAGGGTCTTCAGCCCCCACTCGGGCTCACTAGTCAAGACTAGCACTCTTTTCAACGGAATGCCACATATCTTCGCAGCTTTGATGCCAACTTCTTTCGAATCTTCGCTAACTACAACCAGATTGCCTTTGCCCTGCTTGATCTGCCGGACCAGCTCTTCGGGTGTAAAGCTAGGGCTTGCGGCTGAGAAAACTCCACCCGCCGCAATAATACCATAAAACGCAGCAGGGGCAGCGGGCTGTCCGCTCGTCATGACAACGACAACATCTTTATTGCGGCCCTGGGCTCCGACGCCGAAGCGTGATTGCAGGAAGAATGCGATACGTTCGGCGAGAGCTCGGAGGGAAGCTTTGGTCAGGAATATTGATGTATTGGTAGCTGAGAAGTGAAGCGGAGTATCTTCTTGTGCCGCGCAGAGTTCAGAATCTAGAAAGAACAGTAAGCGGTGGCCTTGCAAGTACTGGGAGTTGAATGCACCAAACAACAATGATAGCAGGTCTATGTTTGGGATGTCTACGTTCTGTGGATGGCGATATACGCGGGACATGATTACACAGTTGTCGATGATGTATTTTAAGACGAAATCAGGTCTAACGCCGAGGGGATGTCGGGTGCAGGGTTGATGTGGGGGATCTACTACGTCCGAAGGAGGTGGGAGTTCGTTTTTTTTGAGCACTAACTAAGCGAAAACGCGTCACCAAATTCTAAGTGCCCTGGTGCACGCGTAGACTACCCACCACTTGAAATAAACTTCTAATGGACCTGCGGGATGCAGTTTTACATGCTTTGAAAAGTTAGACTCTTTGAAAATATTATTTATCTTTGTGGTGGCCTCTATTCGCTGCCGAATTGGTCGTATCTTTTTAGGTGATTGCTCAAAAAAAACGAACTCCTTCGTAGGTCTCCTCGGTCCTTGGCAGATGCAAACCGGCGTGCATGAGACAAATATCATTGAGTTTGAGGGATGATGAGGCATAAACTGTAGATGGCTTGAGATGCTCTCCACTATGGGCTGGATGGCAGCTGTCACGTGACGTGATAATAATAGGTTAGATCAAACATTGTCGAAAGCTTCTCCGAAGCGTCCACGTCCACGTCCCTGCGTCGACAAAACACTATCACTGCGCATCACGTATCACGCACCATCCAACTCAAGGACTTCGGATTCACGTTCTGGAGGCTCTATGATTCACACGTGTATCTCATCTCATCAATCGTATCGAGCTCATTTTCATAGAATAGCGGAGTAATTGTCTGCGAACACTTTCGTCCCGTTTCAAGTCCGCGTTCCATTCATTAGCTATATATCCGAGCAGACTTCAAAGTGGCCCAATCGGCGACAGATCTGACTGGCACATGACCGTCGAAGTTGTTGAAGATTCTGGCATTTTTGAACGAGGGAGGGTCTAGCACCATAGGCTCGACCTCTGCTTCTGCATGCTGTGCCTAAAGGCCTTCGATCGCCATTGACTGCCTTTCAGAGGCTTCAGCGACGGCCTAAGGTAGGCGTGGGATCCTATACGAAAACCGGTCTGGAAAGTCTTTCTGCTGTGTACTCTTGCTCTCGCATTGTGTTACTAGCGTCCGCCCCCCCTGAGAGCGAGAAGATGAACCATCAGCTCCACACCGTAGGTGGAGTACAATTAGCTTCTCCACACTCAATGGAGGTCTGTAAAACATGAATGAAAGCTTGAGTAGAAGCTTGTATGAGTATAACACGACAGAAAGGAGCAATGCCCTATTATTTGTGCAAGTATGAGTGTTTTGCCAAGTCCTTTTCTAGGAAAATATTGGGGGGTACAACCTGAAGCGTTTGGCACCCCTCATATCTTGCTGACTCACCCCAAGCAGCGACATATGGGTGTATGTACACAGACTGAAAATGTGACCCGAAGCACTGCAAGCAGTGGCAAAAAGGTGTGAGCAGATTTTGGTCACAGCACTGTTCTTGGCATAACTAATTGTACGACAGAAAGAGAATTTGTCCCATTGGCTGATCTTGTGCTGATATCGGACTGAACACACCGGCTCGGACCCGGCGAGTTTCATTAGAACCACTGGCGAAAATGTTAAATCCGCCGGTGAAAGCCAATTCGTCGTCTCCTTCGCAGTTCACCATTATTCGATTACCCGAGACTCTTTCGCCACTCTTCCCTCCCCACATACGGATCATCACTCCTGCAGAGAAGGTAACGGTACTCCTATTTGTCAATACCATAATGAGCTGCAGTGGCTGTTCATGCCTGAAAAGCGTCAAGTCCACATAGAAGGGATTCGCACCGTTGCTTTCCCGGACCAGAGCAACAGCCTCAACATACAGTAATGGGTATGACGTAAGCTGATATCACTTGTTCCGATCCTGGTCCAGGCTATGGATTGGAGATTCAGCTCGGAAGCCCATGTGGGGACAGAGAGACCCTGCAAGAGCTCTTGACTGCGCTCAATCACTGCTGTATGGTCGTATCTGCATGTGTGGCTTGCAAGACTACTGGGATGGCATGCACCGCTTGGAAGGGAGCGGGAAAGCATGATGGATTCCAAGCCTGTAGCGAGCCACTCCAGCCATTGAGGTGAAGAGCAAGCAAAGCCACTTTGGTGAGATTGTTTCGAATCGCGGAAATACGATGCTACGAGGCATTCGCATCCCGAGTGGGCTTTTTGAAACCAATCCCCTCGTGCCTTTGAGGCTGTAGTCCCGTATTCTCCACGCCACTCAGCTGCTCTAGACGCCGGTGTCTTTTTTAACTCTTCTTCAGGGGAAGCTTTGCTTTTGGGGGCTGTTGGAGCTCCATTAAATTGATTGCTATGCACCATGTTGGACCCGCAGAAACATATCCAGATTCCTCTCTTCTTCTAAGCAGTCATCATTTTTGGTAGTACTACAGCATGCGGTGCACAACTATACTAGCATCGACCCTAGCATGTTTGCTTCCCATCTCAGCGGCACTTAACGGGTCCCAGATTGCGAGTGATCTGGGTTCAACCTTGTCACCGTCATCCAGTATATATCTTCCCTCCGATGAGAACTGGACGAATGAAACGACGCAACGGTGGAATCAATGGAACGCGCCGTCATACGTAGTTTCCGTGAAACCAGCAATCAAGGAAGATGTGCAGAAAGTCGTAAGTTTCTCATCGTCTACAGGACCAACGATCATGCTAAGTCTGATCAATCTCAATGCGTAGCTCCAATACGCCGCACGGAATAAAGTGCCATTTCTTGCTACAGGAGGAGGCCACGGCTATTCGGGCACTTTGGGTGCCCTGAACAATGGCCTTGAGCTGGACATGGGCTATTTCAAGAGCGTCAAGGTGGATGCGGGAAAGAATCGCTTGATAATTGGTGGCTCAGTGAGATTTCGAGAGCTCATAAGTCCTGTCTATGCTGCAGGCAAGGCATTCCGTAAGGCTGACCTAGAAAAATGTACCCGTTAATTTATTGACGCATCTCTTCCTAGCTGTCGGAGCCTGCCCTTGTGTAGGCGCGTCAGGAGCCTCCCTTGGCGGCGGTATCGGGTTCTGGTCCGGCTTCTACGGTGCCATATCCGACTCTTTGGTTTCTGTGGAGATCGTCACTGGCACTGGGACGCTGCTCACTGCGTCCGAGTCTCAGAATAGCGATCTTTTCTGGGCTGTCAAGGGCGCGGGCCACAACTTCGGTGTTGTCACTTCTTTCACGTTCAAGGTTTATGATTCTCCGAATGGGGGGCAGGCCATGAATGCAGACATGACGTTCCCTTTGAGCCGAAACGGCTCGCTGTGGGCATTTGCAAAGTCGTTCGCTGGAAAGCAGCCGAAGGAACTGAGCCTTGGGTTCTCGATACTTGCCAGTCCTGTCACGCAGGAGGTGTGTACACCCGTACCTGAATTAGAAGACTTCAGCTAAAACTGTATAATAGTTGGTCATCGTCGTAAACGCAATCTACGTCGGCCCTCTCGCACAAGGAAGAGCGCTCATCAAACCATTACTAGATCTCACACCCCAAAACACCAACATTTCCTACATCGCCTGGAAAGACGTTCCCTACGCGGCCAAGTACGGTGGGCCCGCTAAAAGCTGTGACACTAGACCGCTAGACGTCCCTCATGCTGTGAATCTTTACCAAGTCGATATCGAGGGGCTGACTGCTGCTGTGGAGTACCTCAACGATACGATTCCAAACACGCCAGCACTGAAAGGGACGGTGTTTGCGCTGACGCAGTATTCCACGTACGGCTTCCAGCAGCACACCCCTGACTCTTCGGCGTTTCCGTATCGGGATGTGATTATTTTTGCGTGAGTTCTCCACTTCTTTCTCTCTCTCTCATACCATGCCTGTCGCGGGGTATCAAGCTGATATTGGCTTTTCATCAGGCAAATCGATGTCACTGCCTCAAAATCTTCGGATCTCCCCACCATCAACTCGTTTACCAAGTCTTTCCGGGATAGACTACAGAAAATAAGCGGGAAAGATCATCTAGAGGTGTACACCAACTTAGCGCATGGTGATGAAGGGGCCGCGGCGTGGTATTCGAAGAAGAATGTGCCGAGGTTGAGGAAGCTAAAGAAGACGTATGATCCGAGTTCGTTGTTCAATTTCTATAATTCTGTCAATGTGGATTGAAGGGGTGGAATTTAATGGCTGGGGATATGTGGGAGTGTAGTAAGCATTTTTGATTTTCGTCTTTGGGTTTCAATGTCTACAATTCTGTCAATATGGATTGAAGGTGCGGGATTCGATGGGTGGGGGTTCGTTCGAGTTTAGTAAGTGATTTTCGTCTTCAAGGTTCAAATTAATATAGACATCACGATGCAAAGGAATCGGGTTCGTTATTTGCTGCATTCAGAGGCTGAATTACTTGTGTTGAACTTGTCTAAGATTTATCGCACGAATCAGTTGCTTCATCGCCCGATGCTAATCCGTCTGTCGATGACGAAACGCGCTATACCTCGAAATGAGACTCATGCCACTGGCTAACTTGCTGTAGACCCATCACTTACTTCCGCCGGTCGATAAGCTCGACCTGCAGCGACTTTGGCTCGCATACTATATACGCAGCCTGATCCAACCATTCATTCACATTTGAATCAGCCAACACAACATCAAAATTCCACAGTAGCTTCGTGAGCGTCACTCTCGCCTCGGCAAGGAACAACCTAAGAGACAAATCAGCACAAAAGAGTACCTTGAAAAGAGCAGGATGCTTGGACATACTTCCCGCCAATACAGTTTCGCGGCCCAGTGGAAAACGGCATATACGCCGCCTTGACGTCCTGATTGAACTTTGCATCGTACCGTTCGTCCGAGGGTGGCAGAAAGCGCTCTGGACGAAACGCATGCGACTCAACCCAAAACGAGGGGCTTGTCGCAATCACGTGCAGATTGACACCAACGATGGTGTTGCCGGGGATGAACGTGCCATCAATGACACGTCCTTCAGGCGGCACAACACGCGGAAGGAGAATGGGCGTTGGATGGTGAACTCGCAGTGTCTCATGAATAACGGCCTCCAAGTACACCAACGGCTGGGTGGATTGGACGGTGATTTGCTCGTCACTGGTGAAGGCGTTACGAATTTCATCGACCAGACACTGCCGCGCTTGCTCGTGTTGCAGGAGGTAGAAGATACAAGTCGTCAATGCCGATGTGGTCAACTGAGAGTTCGCTATCACAGAAGCCAGCGAGTGCGAAAGGAGCTCGTTTCGCGAGATGCCCTTTCCCTTAGACCCATGCTCCACACCGTCCGCTACCTTGCCCACCACGGAGTTTATCAGGTCCACGCGATCGGGCATGTCACCCTTGGCAATGCGACCCAGGATCTTTCCCCCAAAGACAGCCCAGTTTTGCGCCCGCTGGCGGCGTGTCAGTGACAGGATGATGAAGTCTAGGATCTTGTCCAACGGATAAAACCAGCAGAGAGACATGCGGAAGGTGCTGAAGCGGCCGTGGAGGAAGAATCGGTCCATCCAGCTGTGCTCGTTGCGGCCTGCCAGCCCGTCCAGGGGCCCGCCATAGCTGAGGTCGGTGATGGTGTCGAGCGCTGCGTACCCGAAATACTTGTGTATATCGACGACGGAGGTGTCTGTAAGCTCTCTACGCAGACGGCCAATCAGCTCGCTGGCCCATTGCTCCAGCAATGGCGACTGTTCCCGTAAGGCCTTGTCGGAGAAGCCGGCCGCGAGGGAACCTCGAATTCGACGGTGGTCGTCGCCAATGGCTGTGAATAGCGAGTCGGCGCCATTCAGGGGAGGTGTCTGGCTGGAGGGCTCTTTCGGGAGGATCGGCCGCGAGGTGTAGATGTCGGGCCAAGCTTGGGGCGAGCATATTGACAATTCATTTGGCGCGATCCGAACAATAGGCCCGTGTCGTTGATGGAGATCCTCCAATTTGCGCCACATATATCCCGATGTGGTATAGCGTACCCATGGGAGCCGAGTTGCCCGCCACGTGATCGGCCCCGGAAATTTAGCAAGGGGGTGGAGTGTTAGGCGATAGACGACGACAAGACCGCTCACCACCACAGCTACCACGGCCGCCGCTAGGCACTGCACAAACGTTGGCAGGACCGTCATTATGGGAAAGACAATGTATACAGTTGTGGCCAGGTGAATGACCCTCTCACTTCAGCCGCTGATGGCCCCCTCAAATACATTAGCATGGGCTCGGCCTCGCCGTCTCGGTGTGACCCGATGCTGTTATATCAAGACTCCAATCGGTGCATTCAAAAGGCCCCGGGTGGCTGATTCAATTCGCCGAATAGATATTATGCGGTATGTTATATGCAGCATGGATCGACTGTGTTGCAATAGCTGACCGCATTGCAGACTCATCCCTCTGATCTTTTGGCTCCGCCTTTCGATCCCAATCAATTGACGCACGTGGCGCGCCGCTCAATGCGATTCCAAGCCAATCCGACTCACTCAATTTAGGGACGCTACCTGGGTAATGGAGATAGTGATCACAAGTCGGTGAGCTTCATGCCATGTGCATGGTACCTGTCGCCAACCACAGGGTTCAACGATAGAATGGCTTCCACAGCCTTCATCTCATCGTCTGCAAGCGCCGCTGCTGCAGCATTCTCACGCACACGGTCTGGAGATGCTAAAATGCCATCAATACATCGAAGAATGCATTTCAAGCAGAAAACTTACATGTTCCAGGAATTGGGACAATGAGTGGCATCCCCTCCTGCTTTGAGAGCCCAAGGATCCATCCCAGGGCCACCTGTGCCGTCGTAAATCCTTTCTTCTCCGCGAGCGTCTCAACCTGTTTCACAAGCTGCAGATTCTTCTTCAGGTTTTCAGGCTGGTTTTTCGGAAGCATGCGCCTATAGTCTCCTTCGGGGATGTCCTCGAAATTGAGCTTTCCGGTCAGAAAGCCGCGGCCAAGAGGGCAATATCTGAAACTTTTGGTCAGACCATTGTAATCATATCAAGCATGGCTCAGTGTTGACTTACGCAAATACGGGAATCCCAAGTTCTGCGCAGGTGCTGAGAACGCCATTGCGCAGCGGGTCGGTGTTCCAGAGCGACAGTTCGATCTCCACAGCGGAGATGTTCACAATTTTGGCGGCCTCGCGAATGGTCGTCGCATTGACCTCGGTCAGGGCCACGCTCCCTATCTTGCCCTCCTCCACCAGCTCTTTGAGCGTGTTCAGCGTCGTCTCCATCGGGACTCTCGTATCCCGCCTGCCACACTCATACATGTCGATCTTTCCTTTGCCGCCAAGCTGCGCGAGACAGTTGTCCACACTCTTGCGCACGAACTCGGGGGACCCGTTTGGCGTGTAGTTCTCCATGGCGCCCTTGACGTTCAGAAGGACCCGGTTCGCATACTCGGGGTACTTGGCGAAGAAACGATTGAGTAAGACTAGGGAATTGTGGGTTGGCGGACCGTAGAACTCGCCCGCATTCCAGGCAAGGCAGCCCAGTTCGGCGGCCGTGCGAAGGCACTCGATTGCCTGATCTTCGGGAGCTACTCTAGGGGGGGAGGTGAGGTTGCCCATGCCGTAGCCAATAGGGCCGATATCTTTGCCGAGAATGGCGACCATTTTGTCAGCTTGAATCGACTGATATCAAGTTGGAAGTGGTTGTCGCCTGGGGCAAGTCAATAGGAAGTGGCCACACTCCGAGATGAGTTCAAGGAGCTTTATGAGGCTGAGGCGAGTGCTTAGAATCGGACATAGCCGGACTTAGACGGCGTTGCTGGGAGATAGTGAATGAGAAAGAGCGGTCGTACATGGTCGTACATGGTCGTACAGAGGGAAAGAGCGACGCCGGAGGACGCACGGGAAAGTCACGTGCTGCATACCACTCGGACACGGAGTCGGAGTTATGGATGGTCTTCAGTGTGTGAGACCCTGCAACGCCACCAACGCCGCCGATGCGGAAATGCGGAGGGTGTGCCAATACCGATGCGGCAAATGCGGAGGGTGTGCCACTCAAATGTGGAATTATCCACCGGGCGTATTGGGTGGTACGTCTCGCACGCATCTAGGCGGCCCCCCCCAACGCCTCTTTGCGTGTTGTGCACCCGCCAACCAAACCCTCGGGCTCTCGTCGACAGATCTCATGGCGGGTGGCTGGTTTAGCCCGCTTTCTTGATTATGTGTTACGACGACTCTGGGTTCGAGTTGAGCGTGTCTTAGTCAGATCACGACGTCTCGCAAAGACACTGCTTCGAGGAAAGATTGTCGTTTGCCCGTCCGCCTCTCAATCTCCGCAGCCCAATTGTCTCTGTCTCGGCTCCTCTTCTTCTCCAGGGCGCGTATCTGACGCACAAAACAGGCGCCCGGCCGGAAGCTCCCGTCCTGCACGTTAATCTTCTGTGGTGCACCAGGTGAGTGGGTCTCCTCGTAACGCGAGTAGTCATGCTGGTCGCTCATTTTGTCACACTCTAGCATTGCACCTATAATTCAGTAAGCTATAGCATAGGGACACGCCAAAAGGATCTACCGGTGGTGTCAGCTACATCCGCTTACTGTGGGTACCTGGACAAGCTTTCTATCGGCCCCAATACTTCCTTGAGGCTTCTTCCCAATAGAGTTGGCCCCACAGGAGGATCAAGTCGATATCTTTCCAACGCTCAGGCTCCAATGAAAATTATCGTTTCGATAGAAGAACGGGCAATTTTGTGGAGTTTCGAAAGCCCCGCATAACCGAAGTACTCGAGCTAATACATATCTAGTCTGCGAATATGTAGGGTACGAAATACCAGGATAAGGATAACGAGCAGGCGCCAACCCTCGTACAGCTACAATGCCCAGGTTCCAACACGACGGAGGTCCATGATAACCTGATGCATAATAAAAAATTGGATTCAAACCCGATAAGGGATACTGCGGGGACCTACTGCACAGCGTCGCCGCCGGGAGACCGCCGTATTAATGGGTACTACTCTCGGAGAATCCATGCCGCTTCCTGCGATTCCCTTGACGGAGACACTCCACAATCTCCCAGTATCCCTTCAATCTTCTCAAATTCCCGGTACAATGAGTGCGGGCTCGAAACGAGCGGCGTGTGACAGGTGCCACGGCCAGAAAATGCGCTGCATCCGAGAGAGTTCGCAGGCAAAGTGTAACAGGTGCCTTGTCGCCAGTGCCGATTGCATCTTCAGCGTCGCCAGAAAGGCGGGACGACCGCCCTCCACGCTTCCCAAAGCTATTTCGCGCCGAAGCAGCACTGGACAGCAGCCGCTGCAGCAACCATCTCCGGCCCGCTCCAGCTCCGGCAACTTCTCCCTCTCCAGCTCCTCGCAAGACGAATTCGCGCGATCGCTTCTGGAGGACTACCCCACGTCCTCCCTGTTTAGTGACGCGCTATCAGAATCAACGATCCCGACGTTAGACGCGTGGAGTGACGGTCTGTCGGGCCCCGGGAACAACGATGTCCAGGACTTCCATGAGCTTTGGTTATCGAACTATCTAGCAGCGGGCACCTTTGACCAGGGCAATGGCGACGGCCAGATTGCTATTGAGGCCTTTCCTCCACCTCTCACAACACCTAGTACGTAAGGTTTTGATTCGGATATCTTGTGGTTTGCACCGGTTCTCTGAGGCGCGGCTCATCTTGTAAGTTGTGTCTATGTACACTTCTCTACCACCGTACGAGAGGCTTGAACACATTATCAAACTCCTCAGATCTATCAATTTGACAAGTTTGAGAAGTGAGGGCCTTCAGACAGGGTCAAAAATGTGTACACAGATATAATATTATGATGAAGCCCGGACTTCCGGAGAGCTGTACATACCAGATGGATCTAGTATCTGTCCCAGGTCGCCTTCTCTGTGACATCTCACTAATGTGTCTTTCAGGAGCGGGGCCTTGCGCCGGCAACGTAATGCAGCAGCTATCTGAGCTGAACGGCAAGCTGTTCGCACACATCAGCGCTCGTGACGAAAACGACCAACTCACACAATTGGAACAGCTTACAGCGCATGTTATTGAGAGCTCTGTCACCTTCTATAGCATCATCAGTAACGGCGCAGGCTCCATTTTTGAGACTTCGACGGTCTCCTCCAACACAGCCGCCACACTCCAAGTTTTGAGCACCTATATCCGTCTCACGCAGCTACACCACGCTCTTTACATGCATTTTCAGGCCATCCTCGCGAGCAGTAGCACGTCGTCAGACTACTCGCCCCGGCTCCTCGACTCCAGCAATTCGAGCTCCATCTCTTCTCCCAATTCCACTTCACCTTTTCTACCTGCTACCCGCTCCGTCCCGGTGCTCTTTCCCGGCCTTACCATAGGCGGTGTATCGCTCGCGTGCTACCCGCGATTCCAGCTCAAGTTTATCTTGCAGATCTGCGTGCATCACCTAGGCGAGGTGGAGACGCTACTTGGGCTTCCTGCGGGGTTCTGCGTTAGCAAGAGCGGGCTGGACGGCGGGGAGGCCACAGCGGCTGGTGGAATACTTCATCCAGTCCTAGTACGCACGGTGATGATGGAAGCGGAAGAGACGGTGAAAGGGATAAAGAGGGTGTTGGCTGAGCTGGGAGAGGACTTGAAGGGTAGCATTCAGGTGTGAGAGAGGTGCAAGTGACGTGGGAGTGAAGCGGAACGGGGCGGGAAGTGGGGCGTAAATGAAGTGGAGTCAGCAAGCAGATGTGGCGTAAGTAAGATGTGAGTGACTCAGCGGCGTTAGGCACGCTGCGACGGCGGAGAGAGAGATGGAAGTCCTCCAAGGAAAGTCCTCTCAGGGATGTATCTTCTGGCTATATATTTTAGAGAGGGATCAAAAGGGGCTCGCTTTGAGAGCTTTCTAATGCAACACATCTTTAGGTTACGCACCTCGCGTCAAACGGCATTTCCTAGATCCGAGAGGCCGATATTGTGGGCTGAGGTTGCAGTCGCCGGTGCATTAATACGTGGCCTGGCTCCAGTATCATGGTCGATGGCAAGCTTTGTGTGATGCCACAGGCAAGACCTCCGGATATATCGGCACTTACATGTCGATCACTGCGTATCAGGTACAGCGCATCGTCATCAACCTGTGCACACTGTGTTCTACAGCCTGTGTGTGTGGAGAGGGGTGCTCGGTCGGGGAATTTCTAGATGGATTTCCCCCGACTCTGAAGAGGAGGTTGTCTTGATGGAGAAGGTAATTGCGCCCATATGAGAGATTGCCTGTGAGATGCAGGATTGCTGGGTAGGGACAAAGAGAGGTGAGCTATGGCCAGCCGTGGTGGTCAAGTATCACGTGTGATGCGTGTGCGTTGCACGTGACATCGGTCGTCATGCCCTCGTAGCCGTACTCTTACCGTCAGTCGTCCTCCTTATGTTGCATCAGCGGAATGTAGGCTGGTTTTGAAATACGTTTTATCAACTGGTCACCCAATCTGCCGTGTTCGAGAACGGCACGCAGCAGGCATCGTGAATAATATGATGAACGCGCATAAAATCGTTGACGTAGTACTAGTGATGGACCATTCGTGCTCATACCGCAAACTCAAAAGATGACACTGCTTCCTTCAAAAAAGTATAGCCCGGAACAACATGCTCCTCCCATCCCTCCATCCCAGGCCGAAGATGCAAGTCATGCAGGTGGCTGGCACCATCCACTCGCAAGAGACCGCACTCGACCCCCTGCATCTTCAGCTCCTCGATCAAACGCTCCGCACCGGCAAATGGCGCAACCTCATCGCCAGGGCTGTGTATGATATACGTCGGCGTGTTGTAATTGCCCTGGCGGGCTTGCGCCAGCGGACTGATAGCGGCCACGCTAGAAGGCGACGGAGCTGCAAAGCAGTCGCGGCCGTTGCTCGGTGTGCGGCCATTGAGAAGCAACGCGAGGGCGGTACCGTCTTGGGTTGCCGACAAGAGTAAATCAGAGCGAGGGTCACCAGGCTGCAACCCAAAGAACGGGGTATCCTCGCCGTCCTTTGTGTCATAGTTTGTTATCTTTGCACATATTAGTACGAGTGCTTTACTGAGATAGTGAAGAGGAGAATGACTTACCGGAGTTTGGGGGAGCGTATCCAATATGCGCTTTGTATTGTTGAGTCGCGGCTGAGGGGCTTTCGACCTGACGTGTGGATCCAATTCTTTGACTTGTATTAGTATTGCCGCCGACGAGTCCAGTGAGTGGATAGATCTTTCGGACTTACCTCCTGATTCAAAATCTACCGGTGCGTAGAAGCTCAGAATGGCTGTCGGTGGCGGGATACCAGCCTCTCTTGTCGTCCACCCAGTGGACATGGCCAAGTGCCCACCTGTCGACCATCCTACGACCACGATTCGCTCATTGTCCACGGAAATCTTCGTGCGTTCACGAAGATCTGATGCAAGTTTTTCCCGCACCCATCGATATCCATCCCGTACATCGGCCATGGGGCCATCGATCATGTTTACTTCGGGGCAAAGGCGGTAGTCAATGCTCACCGGTAGAAAGCCACGGGAGATAAGATGTTTCGTCTGGGCTGGACGCACTTGTTTCCGAGAGAGCATCATGAAGCCTCCGCCATGTATCATAAGTGCTATATCTGACATCAGCGGCGAGGCAAGGGGATATCAGGGTATTGTTGACGAGAGCGTACCAATTGGGAGAGGCGATGCCCTGACTTGTCTGGGAACGTACACATCCGCATGGATTCGAACACCATTTGCCTCTTTATATACCATAGTTTCAAGCCGATATGAGTCGCTTTGGAGATCGATTGAAGTCGGCACAGGGCTGATAGGGAGTCGAACCGGCCACTTCGCCTTGGATGCAACCAGCAGCTGTTGCGTAAAGGCCTCCTGCGTGAGCCCACCCGAGAAGCTACTGGACAGGAATCCAGCTGCTTGGAAAGTCTCCATCCACTTGGACGCAGGCTGAAGAGGATATTCTGTCCCATTCTCGGCAAGCCACCACCCGTCGAGGAGTCCGAAACATATGTCGAACCAGTCTAGCGGCTGGGTTCCCTCTGAAAGTACAACGACCCCATTCTCATTCAGAGTCTCCCAGAGTCTACGACAGGACGCAAGCCGGCTTGTCGTAGCATGAACGCAATTGGTGCCAATGACGATATCGAACCGATTACGGAACGTGCTCTTCACCTCTTTCTCCAAATCGAAGATTTCGAAGCTCATCCCAGGGAATTTGCCCAGCTTAGCTTTCGCTTTGGAAACCATGCGGCCTGCAATGTCCGTGAAGGTGTATTCGAGGCGTGTGATGCCAGCCGCTTGTAGGCTCTCTATTAGTCTGACAGTAGTTCCTCCGGTCCCAGCTCCAACTTCCAAGATACGTAGAGGCCCATCCCCTTTGCCCTTCCACTTGCGACATAATGTGGTGATGAAGGTCACTAACTGGTCTGTCAGGGTAGATACCATTGGCGATATGCTATAATAGTCTTCCATGATCTTGTTCGAAGTTGGAGTCCCAAACATGAGCGAAAGTGGGTCCTGGTCGCCCTTGAGGCATGGTGCCAGCTTTTCCCCCATTAGTTTCATTGCCTTGGCTTCCGGTATGTAGAGCGGGAACTGTGCGGTCATGGCCTCGTATATTTCCGTGGATGTCCCAATTTTAGGCGTTGCTCGACCTCGGATTATTATGCTAGCATGCTTTGCAGCTATACCATGGCTTTGAAGAATTTCCCAGAGCCTGGACATCAGCGTGTTGTGCTTTGGTATGTGAGGTACTGGAGGAATGACGCTTCCAGGAGAAACGGTCAAAACGTCAACGCCAAGCGTCTGGAAGGCCTCCAAAATATACGCCAAAGTCAAATCGCGTTCCACTTGGAAGACCTTGGAATGGTAGTTGGCATAGCCACGTCGATTGGCCGCTTCTTCAAAATGGAAATCAGTATCCAGCAGCGCATCAAATGGGTTGTGTGACGTCGTATCTCCATGCAATGATCCTTTCGTAATACTTTTCACGGGGCCATTCACAGTAGGCCGTGGAATTGCGGTGGATGGAGCCTCCGTAAGGGCGATAGTATTACCATTTTCATGTCCCTGACGTGGCGACGACAACCTATCGCTGGTAGCTGCAGGATTGGCGGTATTTTGAGCAGGGGCTACATTGGACGAGTCCTTCCCTAGCCGTCGGATGAGATCGTCTAAGCTCAGGTCACCAAGGTCCTCTGGACGAAGTTCGAGTCCAAAGGTTTGATGGAACTCGGTCGCAAACTCTATCGTCGATAACGAATCAATCCCTAGATCAACAAGCACAGTATCCAGAGGAATATCAGCTGGGTGGAGGCCCGTGAAATTCGAAATGATCTCGCGTATCATGCTTCCGGTATCGACTTCAGCCCCATTTGCGTTACCTGTGTCAACTTGAGTATTTGAATCACCGCGTGGCTGGTTCTCCCTCCGAGCGCTGTTTCCCAATCGTTGGTTAAGGTCATTAAGAGTCATAGAGCCAAGTTCCTCCGGAAGCAATTCGATCCCGAAGGTTTGATGAATCTCTGCGGCAAATTCGATTGTTGATAGTGAATCAATGCCTAGATCGACAAGCACGGAATCCGGAGGTATGTCCGCTCGGTGTAAGCCAGTGAAATTCGAAATGATTTCCTTTATTCCGGTATCAACATCCCCTTCGGAAGGGGTGGGGCCTCCAAGCGTGGAAGTTGTTCCGGAGCTGGAAACATCTACAGTAGTTAACTGTCGCTGGTCCGAGTGCGGCACCTGAGGCGCAGAATGTTGCACTTGGCGTGGGGAAATACTCGAATTCGCAGACATGAGGGACTTTCTGAATTTCGACATGTCCAACTTCGCAAATTGGACGCCAGCCATCATTGCCACCACTTCGCGCTTGGCAGAGCAGACAAAGACATCGCCAATAGGCTGGGTGCCTTCGGTAAACATGAACTTTGAGTACACGAGCCAATCGTGTGGGGTACCCATCTGACAGTCTGGAGTAAGTACTACGCGCTCAATGCCCACGGCTATCAGAACTTCGTCTTCTGATGCAGATTCACTGGTATTCAGGAGTAGCCCAATACCAGAGATGAAGGCATCGATGAGTACGGCATCACAACGTTGCCAAGAAGTGCTCTCATCACGGCCTGGCTGTCCTTCAGGAAGCTTGACAGCCGCAAGAGCTTCGTTTCTGTCGACCGCAATTGAGGTGATACCCTTGAAGTATGGTGCGTACTCCATGACCTTCCTGAACAGCCCGTATGCACGGTTAGACATGAGCCGCTCGACAGTCTCGCAATTCTCCAATCGGTTGATAGTGCTTTCCACGAGCCGTCCGTATGTGGCGAGAGCCATGTTTTGCGATAGAGAGGCTGTCCCAATACAATGCACCGTTTTAGACCCTCGAAGTGTCGAGCGGACCGTAAACTTCCAGGATCGTTTGGAAACCAACTCCTCTAAACGAAGCTCGACTTCACGTGCAGGATCTAATCCGAGTGCGGCCTGGAATTGCAGATCTTCAAAGGTGAGGTTCTGTGCTTCAACATCACCGATCAGGATTTGAATTGCCATAGTGCAGCATTCCAGATGCATTGGTGCCGGGCACAGAGGTTGCTGAAGCACAGCGTGGCCAGTGACGACTTTCCGAAATCTTTCGGAGTTGGTGTTGATGGAGAAGTCTACGATGCGGGGATCTGAACCAGGGGATTCTTTCTTGAGGACAAGTCGAGGCACGGGAGGCGAAGTTACGTTGTCTTTCGTTTCGATGCTCGGAGGATTGGCTAGCAACCTCTGCTGTGCCTCCATGGCTCTATCTATGTTTTCGATCCAGTGCTGATGCTTCTCAAATTGATATGGTGGAAGCCATAATTGCCTAACGTCAGGCGAGGATGCACCCAGGAAAGCCCAGTGCGATACAGAGATACCGCATCGCCATAGATCGGAAACTACGGCACCAACGCAATCCCATGGATTCTCTCTACTTTTGGTGCTCACCGCTTGGAAGGTATGAGCAATCGAACTCGTACAGGCTCTTCTGGTCATAGGTATAGCAGGAGTAGACAGGCCAGCTTCAATGAAGACACACGAACCCAAGCGCTGCTCGACTCGTTCGATTGCCTTGACAAAGTATACCGGCTCTCGGGCATGTCTGGAAAGTGACCAGTCTCGCATGGATGACAGGCCTTCGATAGTACAAGTTTCTAGCGGTATGGTCGGCTGGTTCCACTTCAGGCTAGTGGATAGTTCCTCCAACTCGGGCAAAATGGGCTCCGTGAGAAATGAATGGAAGGCGTGAGTAGTCGAGAGTCGCTGAAACTTAAGTCCGACAAAATCTGCCTCAGTTGAAAGAACACGTTCTGCCATATCGATCGTGGATGACACTCCAGCGACCACGGTAGAAGCAGACGCGTTATAACAAGCGACTTCTAGTTTGGCGCCCGGGGAGTTCGAATCTAACCAGGAGGCCAATTTTTGGACTTCGTTCAGGCCACTGTGAATAGCGAGCATTGCTCCCTTTTCGGCTCCCCATCGAGAGTCAACGAGATGAGATCGAAAGGCGACCAAATTGAGACACTCGGGCAGTGATAGCGCCCCAGATACAGCTAAGGCTACGAGCTCACCGAAACTGTGGCCAATAATGGCATCGGGTTTCAGTCCAGAATCGATCCAGCAACGGGCACAGGCATATTGCACTGCAAATATGCTACATTGCAGAGAAAGAGCGCTGGCGATGGGCGTCGTCTGGAATATTGGACCAAGAATAGATGGATATCCAAGTTGAACGATTTCGGAGTCGCACGCGTCAATATAAGACCGGAAAATAGGATAAAGTTCGTACATGCCGCGATCCAGAGCTACTTTCGAATCGTATTGACCGCTCAAAACAAGTACTACGGGCTTAGACTTGTTTGGATACTCAAAAGTGGGAGATTCGATAGAGTCGAGAACGCGGATTAGACTTGGTACATCTGCCGGGAATGTATCAAAACAAAATCGATGTCGTTTCCTTCGCTGTAGCGAGAAAGAAATGTTTGCCAATTCGACCTGCGACACATTCTTTGACAGATAGGCAGCAACAGCTCGAGCATTAGAGATGAGAGAAGCCCTAGAAGCTGCGCTTATGATCACGGGATAGGATACTCCTGGGTGCTGTGGTCTTGTAGCTACTGTTCGGCCTGGCGGCAGCTCACAGCACAGTAGCGCGCAATTCGATCCTCCGGCTCCATAGCTATTGACCATAGCAGTGCGCAGTGGCACATCCCAGCTTCTCAGGCTCCGATTGATCTCCATACCGTCGGGTCCGATCGGTGGAATTTTAGGATTCAACCGATTGTGATTTGCTTGTGGTGGGATGCCTCCGTACTTTATCATGGCCAGTACCTTGAGAAGGCCTGCAACGCCGGCGGCGGCCTCGCAGTGGCCAATGTTGCCCTTGATAGATCCAATGGAAAGAGGGACTGAGCGAGATGCGCTCCCGAAAACCGACCGAATACTGTCCATTTCGATAGGGTCACCTGCCTGGGTACCCGTTCCGTGGCTAGATGTGTTCAATTAGTAACGGCACAAGCAATCTATAATGCTGATTTATAGAGAGTGAGAAATTAAAGAGGCAGGGATATGATAAGAAATATATTTTGGTGGTGAAAAGAAAAGAGTGACATACGTTTCTATATAGGACACTTGAGAAGGCTCCAAGCCGGCTTTTCGAAGAATATTTTGATATAGAGTCTTCAAGGCAGGAGCAGAAGGAACCGTGAGAGAGGTAGATGTGCCGCCTTGATTTGTCGCAATGCTTGGAATGACGCCAAATATTTCATCGCCAGCGTCGATAGCCTGACTCAACTTTTTCAAGACCACCAATCCTGCGCCCTCAGCACGACAATACCCATCTGCTGAGGCATCAAAAGGTTTGCATTGTCCGGTTGTGCTTAGGAACCCAGCTTTGCCCAAGTCGAGAAAGTTTGTCATGGTAGTGAGAGCATTTGCTCCACCTGCTATGGCCATATCGCATTCTCCATTCTTGATCGCATGACACGCTCGATTGACAGCGACCAAGGATGATGAACATGCAGTGTCAATGACTTCCGAAGGAGCTTGCCAGCCGTATTGATAGCTAAGCCTACCGCAAAGGAAAGCGCGTATTGTGCCGGTTGCAGTGTACGCTGAAGGGGCATGAGAGGATGTATTCTCGTGGTATTCGTTCAAGCTACTTCCGATGAAGCACCCGACAGCATCCTCTGCGTTGCGAACGTGTGATGAAAGGTAGCCACTCGATTCCAGTGCTTCGTAGGACAGCTCCAAAAGCATCCGCATCTGAGGGTCCAGGCTAGCAGCTTCCTTGGGATTGATACCAAAGACCGAATTATCGAATCTTTTTATATCGGAGAGAAAGTTTCCAAAAAACCTATTCTTCCCCATAGAGCTATCTTGCGATAGTCGGAAGTTTCGACCAGGGTCTATTCTGTCCTTTGGGAGTTCCTGATGAGCATCGCCACCTTTGGAAATGAATTCCCAAAGCTCTTCGAGGTTATTTGCACCAGGTAAACGGCACGCCACTCCTACAATTGCAATGGCAGTATTCGGGAAAGTAGAAGGATTGATAGACGCACGGTGGGTTCTTGCGGATGGCTGAGTAGCGGTATTCGAAACCATCGGAGGATCGACAGGAACATGCTGGGGTTCTACAAATGGTTGGCTGCCTGAGATCTCCGTAATGAGTTCATGGGCTTTGAATTTGGAGATCTTCAAGCGTTGCTTATTGAATGGGGAAAGCGGGACACTATCGTTGAGTCCGAAGATTACCATGTGATGAGATGGTCGTCCTGAAGCCTTCATGTCCTCCGCTACCCGTGATAGCAGAGCATACCAATCGCAGCACGCCGCAAGCATCATGATAATCAAATCTTCTATGATGGAATCATCCGAAAGCTTCTCTCCGGTTCGATTCGATCGTACTGTCACCTGAAGTTTACTCATATCCGGTATCTTGAAAAGGGACGGATTCTGCGTGAGCACATCGAGAAACTCTGGAACGAGGTAGGAGTTTTCCGGGTTGTGTGCCTTTCCGGTAACATCCATTTTGTCGGCTGGTAGACCTTGCTCACAGCAGTAATCGTAGAGCCGGGCAATAGCGTCCGCAGAGCCCACGAAACTAAGCGACTTGGGTTCTGTGATGGCTGAGACATACGTCTGCAAGTAAAAATATGAGCTCGCTTTCTTCTCGTCAAGGGATGGCTACCTACTCCAGGGAACTTCCGCATAAGTTCATCACCCATTCCTTCATGCTTGAGTCGAATTGCGATAATGGTAGGCTCCGATGAAGTCCAATCATCCATTGCCTCAATGTAAGCCCCGACTCCCACCAGCAGGCGAAGAAAGACGGCGGCGTTTTCAACGACCTGAGCTTCGTCTTTGGCGAGGGCGATAGACAGAGCTGGAGGCTCGCCCCCACAGCAGCCTTGGATACCTCCTGCATCGCGGGTTTGGCTGATGAATTGGGCATGCGAGAGGCCGTTGAACTCAAGATAGCGAAAGTATTGGCCCAACTGCAGGCTGGTGCCCGACTATCAGCCTTGAAATGTCTATGGAGATAGAGTTGGGATTACATAGTAAGTAAAGGGAGTGCGACCACGCCGCTTCTCGCTTCAGAAACAGGCGCGGAGGGCCCACCCTTGGCCCAGTCCACAAGCACGTTCAGGTACGGCAGGCCATTAGGAAGAGTGCGCACTTCCTCTCTCGCGGCAGCCCATATAGGCCATATGGTTCCCAGGGTGGCCACGTGCGAAAGGAGGGTCTTGCCGTGAGGGTGATGGCTGAGGAAAGAGTACAGTCCGCTGAGGTATTCAGGGGTCGGTGCACGTGACTGAGGGTTGAAAAATGCTGCAGAGATTTGCTTTGACATGTTCGTTGTTTCGCATTGAACGCGTCCAGACTGCAGCCAGTGCAATCAAAGGCGAATGGAGGAAATAGTATAATGTGAAACGCCATGATGTCTGTGACACGAGCAGACGACTCGCCCGGAGGGTTTGCCCGGTGGATTCCAATATTCCTTGGCGGTAGTAAGAGCCCGCGCGCCCGAGTTACACGAGGGGCGGAAAAGCAGAGAGCGTAAGATGAGTAAACGCATAATTGCGCCGGGAGATGTCACGGCACGGAGCGTTCCAAGCATGGCCACGGAGGCTGTAAACCAGGTCTCAAGGTTGGAAGACGTTCTGAAGTGGAGACAAGCCTTGCCAAGGAGCTAGATACAATGGTCCTCGATTGGACCTCTGCGCCGCCCTCTCTGCTCACCTTGCACCCTTCACCCATCCACCGGGCATCCGGCAAGTATGTCAGTTTTTCTCTGCGAACTCTCCGCGCCGCAGCTATTACTCTACCAGCCGGAAATGTCACCGGAGCCAGGGCAAAGGCGGCAAGAATATGCCCGGGAATTCGGCCCCTTTCTGCACTTAGCATCTTTGACGTACATACTAGCCTGTGCATCACCACGTTGAAGTTCGATATTGCTCGACGCTGTTGGTTTTGCAGTTTTATGAGCCCTCTCCGATGTCATGGCCCTATCCAATAGGAACGGACCTGTCAATAAGAATTTACCCTACCTTACCCACCAGACGCCTCAGGTCAATGGTGAACAAAGGTCCAATGGTTATCCTTCTGGCCTCAAGGAGATCAAGCCAGAAGTGCGCAACACCACGGATGTCGCCACAAATGCGGAACCAATCGCCGTAGTTGGCTTTGCCTTGAAATTTCCTCAGCAAGCATCTACCCCTTCTGCCTTTTGGGACCTCCTCACTCGTGGTGCTTCGGCTCGCACCGAGGTACCCGTGGACCGGTATAACGCGGAAGCATTCTATAGATCAAAGACCAATGGCCCCAAGGCCGGAACTGTTAGTCGGCTCTAGCTCCATACTTCAAAATGCTAAGTGGACGATATGTGCTAAACGTGCTATCAGATTAGGACAAAGTACGGACACTTTATTGACGAGCCTCTGGATCGCTTTGATGCGCCCTTCTTCTCTATTACACCCCACGAGGCAGAATGCATGGATCCACAGCAGCGTTGGCTCTTGGAAACAACATACCATGCTTTAGAGAACGGTGCGCTGCTTCCACTTCATCACATCCACTAGTCTCTAAACGCACTGACACTAACGATTGCCCCAAGCCGGCCTGTCCCTCGATCACGTGAATGGCTCCAACACCTCTGTCTATGTGGGCAGCTTTTATAATGACCACGAGACTATGGTTCACAAGGACATAGAAATTCCGAACACTTACCATGCCACCGGAAGCGCAAGTTCAATACTAGCTAATCGTGTCAGTTGGTTCTACAATCTCAATGGCCCCAGTGTAGCAGTCAACACAGCCTGTAGCGGCAGCTTGGTTGCTCTTCATCTGGCATGCCAAAGCCTCCGTACAGGAGAAACAACCATGGTAAGCGTTTCTTCGTTTAAAATGACCAGATTGTACCCAGACACACCATACAGCCGCTTACGGTACACCAAAGGGTCTCGTCTGTGGCAGCAACCTCATATTTGCCCCTGAGAATACGGCTGGCCTATCCAATCTGAATTTCCTGTCGCCAGACGGAAAGTGCTTCGCCTTTGATGAACGTGCAAACGGCTATGCCCGCGGTGAGGGTATCGCTAGCTTGGTCATCAAGCCGCTCTCATCCGCTATTCGGGATGGAGATACCATCCGGGCTGTTATTCGGGGGACCGGGGTAAACTCAGACGGCCGAACGCCAGGAATCTCTCAACCAAGTAGCGAGGCTCAAATATCCTTGATGCGTGGCGTATACAGCCGCTTTGGCTTAGACATGTCCCGCACGCGGTAAGCTTTCCGGAATCGTTCAATGTCTTTAGCGTGGACCACCGCAGCTAACTAATACTGCAGATACTTCGAGGCACACGGAACCGGAACGGCGGTGGGGGACCCGCTGGAGGCCGAGGCCATTTCAACCGTGTTCAATCAATCTCAACAACGTGATAGCCCCTTGTATGTTGGTGCATTGAAATCGAATATTGGGCACCTCGAGGGCGCGAGCGGTCTCGCAGGCGTAATCAAAACAATTCTCGTCCTCGAGAATGCATCGATCCCACCGAACATCTGGTTTGATCGAGTGAATCCGGCTATACAGGAAGAATGGGGCCTTTACTTCCCCACTCGACAGGTTCCATGGCCGGGCGAGGGCTTGCGTCGCGCTTCCGTGAACTCCTTCGGCTTTGGTGGGACAAACGCTCACGCAGTTATTGATGATGCAGAATCTTTCCTCGAGGAACACAACCTTCAGGGGAATGTGCATTTGCGGACCCGAAAATCACCGATCAGAGCTGTAATAGGTACCCAAACATCGAAATTGCTCATATGGTCTGGTTATGACGAAGGCGGCATAAAGCGTCTTCGTGAAGCTTACAACTCATACTTTCAAAGAAGAACACCCAATGAAGCAAAGGAAGACGTCGAGTATCTCGAAAATCTCGCCGGTACGCTGTCTCAGCGCCGCTCTCATCTCCCGTGGCGGACTTTCTCCGTCTGCAATGGACCTAAGAATCTTCGCAACCTAGACTTCGCCACCGCCATCAGAGTGAACCCAAAACTGCGAGTCTGTTTCGTGTTTACTGGACAGGGTGCGCAGTGGCCAAACATGGGAAAAGAACTCATGTCTCACGTCGTTTTCCGACAAAGTCTTGAAGTTTCCGATGCCGTACTTCACGAGATTGGTTGCCAATTTTCTGTCATAGGTATGTAATTTAATGTTTTCTTGCCTTCATGTATTTTCGTTTGTTGATCTGACGTGCTCTATCCAGACAAGCTATACGACGAGTCTCATACTAGCAAGTCCTCTGAAATAGATCGCCCGGAATTCTGTCAGCCGCTCTGCACAGCTATCCAGATTGCTTTGATTGAGTTGCTTGCCCATTGGGGCATCGAACCCTTCGCTGTGGTCGGCCATTCTTCTGGCGAAGTCGCTGCTGCATTCTGTGCGGGTATCATATCTAAAACCCATGCCCTCGAACTGGCTTTCTTCCGCGGCGTCGCTGTGGCGGCGACAATACAAACTGATCTCCATCGTGGAGGGATGATCGCGGTTCGCATGTCGCCTGATAAATGCGAAGCAACACTTTCCAATGCCGCCAGCTCCAGGAAATCCAAGCATGGCGCGCTCCGAGTTGCGTGCTACAATAGCCCGCAAAATCTGACTCTATCCGGCGATGATAGCGAGATCGATAGGCTAGAGCAGTTGCTGCAGGCGGAAAATATCATGGCGAAGAAGTTGAATGTCGGTATCGCCTATCATAACGCGGAACACATGCAGACAGCGGCGAACCTCTATCGGGCACTCATTCAAGACTCACATTATAACAAAAACAACGCTGATAAATCACGAAAGCCACGATGTTTCTTCATGTCTAGTGTCCGCGGAACCCAGTTCGGACCTGAATCTGATGCTGCGGAGATTGCCGCGCCGGACTACTGGGTCGACAACCTTATCTGCCCGGTTCGGTTTACAGATGGAATGCGCGGCCTCTCTTCTCTGTTGAATATAGAGGAGGCCAAAAACGATACCCATTTCGTTGAAATTGGGCCACATTCGACATTGAAGTCCGCGATTAAGGAAAACCTCCCTATGGGTTGGAACGTAGAGAAATGTTACTCTTCAGTGCTTTCCAGGGAGCAACCCGCAATCGGCACAGCATTGACTATGGCGGGTAGGCTTTACTGCCTAGGCTACCCTGTCGACGTTGCAGCAGTCAATAGTAATTCTCCAAAATCGAAGCCGGAGCGCAAGGTCCTGGCAGATCTCCCTCAATATCCGTTTGACCATTCAAGACAGTACTGGCTGGAGAGCCGCGCTAGTACAGGGTACAGAAATCGCAGGTTTCCCCATAACGATCTTCTCGGCACTCCCGTTTCTGATTGGAATCCCCTCGAGGCCCAATGGAATAATAGGATTGTCCTGGAAGAAAAGGCTTTTGTCAAAGACCACAAGGTGAGTAATATCCCGATCATCACCGTCTCTAGATTGTCTACGTTTATTTGCTAGGCGCTTCGTTCCCCTCATTAACTTACGGTAAAAGGTCTCTGGAGCCTGTGTCTATCCGGCAGCCGGCATGCTAGTGATGGCCATTGAAGCTGCGCGGCAGCTTGAAAACCCCAAACTTCACCCGAAAGGATACCGTTTCGAGAACACTGTGTTCAGTAAAAGTATTATGGTGCCTGAGACTAACCGTGGAGTGGAAACACAATTTTTCCTACGTAAGGATGAAGAACGCAGCCACCAGATTGCCACTTGGTACGACTTCCGCCTATGCTTGTACGAATTTGGAGAATGGGCCCAATGCTGCCGCGGCTCTATTGCTGTAGAGTACCGATTGACTGATCCGGACTCTCACCGACGTGTCGCTGAACAGCACACACAAATATCACAGTCCTGCCGTTCCTCAGTGGTGCGCGGCGATTTCTATACCCATTTGCGGAACTCAGGTCTCGACTATGGCCCATTTTTCCAGGCGGCCGACCAGATCCGTTGGGGAGATGGGAGTCAAGGCATTGGAGACGTCGATATCCAGCAATGGGTTGCCCTAAGCAAAACTGGATCCCAGTCTCCGTGCCTTATTCATCCTGCTGCGTTGGATTGCATCATCCAAATTGCCTTTCTGGGCATAGCTCAAGGTGGCCAGAAACATATCCCTACACTCGTGCCCACGGGAGTGAAGGAACTCTGGATTTCAGCCGACGTCTCGCGACACAACTATCGTGACTCTGTCGTCCAAGTCTCTGCGCAATCCTATCCGAATGGATCACGAAACCATACGGTAAACTACACATCTCTCTGGAAGGACAGCGAGCGACCCTTCTTAGTCGGTGACCTCACTCTCACATCTATCGGAAGCGAGAGTCCTGTCACCAAGAAGAATGAATATCCTGTCTCACTTTACCACGTGGATTGGAAACCTGACGTCAACCTTCTCTCGTCTAATTCGAAGTCCTCAGCCGTCCTCTCATGTCAGGCGCAGCCTCAACCCCAGGAGTCCGAAAGGGTTTCCCTCACCGAAGACACATGCTTTCTCGCTATCTTAGAAGTCCTGGAGGCGATGGGCGATGCGAGATTGACGTCTCCGGCACAACCCGCACATTATCAGAAGCATCTAGAGTGGATGCGACATCAGGTTAACTTGAGGCAAGGATCCGATTCCTGGAAGTCGTTGCTCGCTACAAAGAAGAATGGTCCTGAAGCCCGAGAGCAACTGTGGAAAAAGGTAGAATCCTTCGGACCAGAGGGAAAGTTGATTGTCAGGCTCTCCAGAGTGCTGCTACCAATCATGCGAGGCGAGGTAGATCCTTTGCAAGTTCTCTTCTCCGACGAAACACTGCCGGATTATTATCGCTGCGAAAATCCTCCTCCCGAAGTACAGAATGGTATTCAAAAATATGTCGATTGGATGGCCCACATGAATCCTCACATGAAGGTGCTAGAAATCGGTGCCGGGACGGGAGGCATGACCAAGGTGGTTCTAGACGCACTTGGAGGCAAAATCGCCGAGCTTGGTGACGAGGAATATGGCGAAGAAGCGCGATTCTCAGAGTATATGTTTACGGATATATCTCCCGCATTCTTTGGTGCGGCTAAGAAGAACTTTGGCAGGGACGGATTTTTGTGTAAAACCTTGGATATAGACAGGGAGCCCAGAGACCAAGGTTTCGAAGTGGGCTCGTATGATCTAGTCGTCGCCAGTAACGTAAGTACTGCCCCGAGGGAGACTCAAATTTCAGGAATGATACTCAATGGCTCTAGGTTCTCCACGCTACGCGATGCTTGTCCACGACGCTCAACAACACAAGAAAGCTTCTGAAACCTGGCGGCAAACTGATTCTCGTCGAGGGCATTAGCCCGAATTTGATGAGGACGTCTTTCATTTTCGGGCTCCTACACGGATGGTGGCTCTCAACCGAATCGTTCCGGGAATGGGGTCCACTAGTCCCAGCCAACAAGTGGGACGAACTGCTCCGGAAGAACCGCTTCACAGGAACCGATCTCGTTATTGACGGTGCAGACCCGGCGTCCTGTTTGAGTAGTGCGATTATCTCGGATGCTTGTCCGGACCAACTAGTCAACGGAGAGAAGGCTTCCAAACCCAGTTTGGTAATTTTGAGGACAGAAGCATCAACTCTGCAAGACTCGATAGCCTCGTCAATTCAGGACCTGGCAGAAAAAGCGGGGCTGCAAGTCACCATAACAAGCGCAGACTCTCCTCATGGGATTTCTGGATCTACTTGCCTCTTTCTTCAGACGATGGATCGATTTTCCTTCCAAAATCCGGTAGAGAAGGAGTTCGATAACCTGAAAAAGGTCTTTCGAGACGTGGAAGAGCTACTCTGGGTGACGCAACGAAGTAGCTCAAATACTGATACGCTCGAACAAGACGCTATCATTGGGCTTTCTCGTTCTATACTCTCAGAAAGCGAAGGCCTTCGAACTGTCACCCTCGCACTGGAAGATGTGAAGAACGTGCAACGGGTTTCGCAGCATGCTTGGACAGTACTACACAACTACTTCAGGACTACTCCGGCTGTCCTGACGAGGGGCTACAGCGAAGAGATCGCGGAGATAAACGGGTCACTCTGCGTGAGTCGACTGCTACCAGCGAAAAATCTCCAGCTTCACATCGAATCCAAGGAGACGCCATTAGGATTTGACCTAGATACCTCTTACAATCCTATTGTTGGCGATGACGACGTCGAGATCGAGACAAAAGCTATTGGTATCCAATCTGGAGGTTCTTCAATAAACTGGGCCCAGATATCTCGCTCACCCATCGGACGTGAATACGCCGGAGTTGTCACTCAAGTGGGCAGAAATGCAAAACAACTCTTCCAAATTGGTGCTAAAGTCCTTGCCCTTTCGAACACTGGCAAGGTAAGATCTCGGAATCGATTTCCCGCGTATTTAACGCACAAGATCCTCGACGGCATTGATTTCGAAGAAGCTGTTGCCATGCCTTTCAGTTTGATTGCGGCATACGATACGCTTACGAACTGTGCACGGCTTCGGAAAGGGGAATCAGTTCTTGTCCACGACGGATCCAGCGCACTGGGCCAAGCTGCCATTCAGCTCGCCGTTCTCGCAGGCGCAGACGTCTTCGTCACAGTTGCAACAGAGCAAGAGGTCAATCTGGTCTACGATCTATGCCGGATTCCCGTGTCACACATTTTCTGCCGTAAGGCTAGTACCTATTCCAAGGATATCAGACGACTCACTGGTGGTTGCGGCGTTGATCTAGTGTTCAGCTCCCTGGACAGCGAAGGACTTCGGACATCGTGGGAGTGCGTGGCGTCTTATGGCCGCGTCGTTGAGGTAGGGAGTCCAAATGAGGATGCCTCAAGCGTGGGTTCGTTACCTGTTCCAAAAGATCTGAAGAAGAACGTCTTCTTTGCACGCGTAGACCTCATTGATCTCTTCCAGGATCGAGAGAGGATTACTAGGGTGTTCTCTACCGTGATGGACATGATTGAGAAGAAGAAGATTGTGTCACTAGGACACCCCAACGTCTATTCTGCGTCTCAGTTCATTGACGGCTTCCAGGACGTAGACAGCCGGATGTCCTCGTGCAAGGTCGTAGTGTCTTTTAACTCGGAGAACGATGCGTCAACTCTCATAGCATCGAAAAATCTTCCTTTCGATGCACAGGCGACATACCTCATTACAGGTGGTCTCGGCGGTCTAGGAAGAAGTATTGTAAAATGGATGGTATCTGAAGGCGCTCGAAACCTCATCCTACTCTCTCGGCAAGGGGGAGAAAGCGAGAACTCAAAGTCGTTCGTGGACAGTCTCAAAGCTTCCGGTATTTCCGTTTTCGCGCCCAAGTGCGACATTAGCGATGAGGAGGTGGTACGTGAAGTCCTGCAGCAAGCTCAAGAACGCATGGCCCCTATCAAAGGCTGCATCCAAGCATCCATGGTTCTGAAGGTAAGTCACTCTGTCACATCTCGTAGGCAGATATGCGAACTAACCTTGGAAAGTCCGCAATGTTCCAAAACCTATCTCTAGACCAGTGGAACGATACGCTTAAGTCCAAAGTCCAAGGCTCCATCAATCTCGAAAAGCACCTTCCAACGGACCTCGACTTCTTCATCTTCCTCTCCTCCGTATGCGGCATCATCGGAGCCAGCGGCCAATCCAACTACGCCTTCGGGTGCGCCTATCAAGACGCGCTAGCACGATACAAAGTCGCCATGGGAAAAAAAGCCGTCTCCATTGACCTGGGCATCGTTGAAGGAGTAGGCTACACGGCCGAACACCAAGGCGCTGACAAATTCATGCGGTCGCTCGGCATGCAGCCTATCCCCGAAGACTACATTCATGCGTTGCTAGCCTACTACTGCGATCCAAGCCGTGAGATCAAAGAGTCCAGGGAAGCTCAGCTTGTTGCTGGTATCATGACCGAAGAAGAGATGCACCGCAAAGGTGTTGTCCGGCCGAAATTCTTTTCTCGGCCTTTGCTTAGGCATCTAAAGCGCCCGAACCACGCGGTTGAGAAAGGCCCAGTTCTTCAAGCTGCGACTACTGATGCGACCCCGAGTCCCGCTACGGCGAAGCCTGAATCTGCTAACACTCCGACGCACACTCAGTCTGCTGCGAGCAAGGCAATCTGCGGAAGACTGTCTGATATGATTGCCCTCAGCATCGAGGACATCGATCCGGATAAGCCGTTGCATGCGTTTGGAGTGGATTCTTTGGTGGCGATTGAAATGCGGAGTTGGTTTAAGGAGACGCTGCAGGCTGATGTTCCTGTCTTCGATATTTTGAGCAATCTCTCTATTGATGCGTTGGCGGCGAAGGCTGTGGGCGGCAAGTAGGTTCAGGAAACCAAGGAGGTGGGTCCCGCTGGACTAACAGTCGAAACGTCACGTGATCTGGAAGAATTTCTAAGAAGTATCACTGAAAAAATGGCCTAGGTTTGAGCTGAGCTCGTTCTTAGCAGCATTTATAGCTCAACGCATGTCCTAGCCTGCTTAAAATCCGGTGAAAGAACCAAGTTGGAACGTTTTTTGCTTTGGTATCGAGTGCAAGCTGAACTACGATGCTCCTGCACCAATAGCGTATTAGCGATAAAATGCCTCTTACAAAACATACCGAGTCTGAAACATTGTGCTTCAAAGACCATATGCTCCGGAGCGGCAATGGGCTACCCGAGGACTAATAGTTTGGATCGTGCTAAACGGCACTTCCGATGTAGTAGATTCACATTGCTTCCTTGCTTGAAATAAACAAGCTATGTGGCTATCTGTCAGGGTTCGTTGAAGAAAAAGCGGCGGTCCACGAATCTGTTTCTCTTGCTAAAACCTCGTATGGTTTAGATAAACTCCCTTTCTAGGCTTGTGTAAACTTACCTAGCACCACTTGAGCTGTTCTGGTGCGTTGACAAAAACTGTAAAACGACACTTTTGACGAGGCTGAGAGCTCTTCGGGCCTCCTCAGATATGATTCTTACGAAGCTGAGCGCCGCCCCGTCGGGTGTCGTAACTGTGACTGGGCGCTATTCAAGTTCCGGCACATGAACGTGTTCAATGCAGCCATCGGATTTTTGCCGGGGAACAAGGAAGCGAATGTGGCGAGCTTCAAGAGTCTGTTTGAGGATACGCCGTGGGCTAGAACTGAGCTGACACAGATTCAACGCGCCATCGAGTTGTACGATATTGAATTATCGGTGCGTGACATAGAGCTCGAGTATATTTATGAAAGTAGAGCGGTGGTATAGGATGGGTCATGGAGGCTGGAGAGTGATCCAACTGGTAGGACATACGTGCCGACAACGAGGCCGGGTCATAGACTGCCACACGTGTGGCTGGAAAACGGTAGAGAATTACTTTCCACACACGACCTGGTGGGGGCAGGCAAGGCGGATTTTCAGCATAAGGGCATTTGGGTGAAGGCTGCAGAGATCGTGAGCCATATGTCAAAGACAAGTATTTCTATCGCGCAGGTTGCATCTCTCTTCTGCTACGACCCTACTCTTTTAGGGCTTTCGTAGCATCATCATATCCGCAATTCGTCACAATTCTACGGCTATCCCTCTCTACCATGATTCGAATATTCTAGACTCAACATAGCCTCGTCATCACGAGCCCAGGAGCTCCATACTACCACGGAACCACACTCCACCCGCTGACTCATCCCCCTCTGCGAAAATCTACTTAAACTCGCCCTCCTCCCGTCCTCTCTTCTCTTTTTCGCCTTCGGGCATTCCCTCCTTCCACTTCCAAAAATCAAGGTCTCATTCCATGTATCACTATATACTTTGTATATGTAAGGCACAAACCCGGCTCTTGTAGACTATGCTATCTCGACCCTTCCACGGCGGGGCAGCGTGTTCACAGATACTTAGATGGAACTGAGATCGTCAGGCGGATGAGATTCTTGTGGATTTGGCTGGATATTTAGAGGTTTTTGACCCGAGGAGGGTTTTCCTCGCCATTATAACTATTATCGATCTACATATGATTGTTTTTGCTGTTATGTTTGCGTGTGAAATGCTTTTTGACGTTGCGTAGTGAGGACAGATTGTCTGAGTGGTGTTTGTGGTGTGTGGTCAGCGCTGGGCCTTTGGCCTACTGAGACATTACAGCAGCTCGTGGTGACTTGAATAATGATGTGAAGTCTCGAACTCAAGTGAGAGATTCGAAACTTTTTGGGGATTATGACGGTCAGTGGGTATTGCGGAGGGAGATCGATAACGGTGGAGCCATACTGGTAAGGCCGGACAACATGGTAGCTTGGTACAGTATTCAGCCTAGCAAAGCCGGCGGAAAAGAGCTGTTGAATGCTATTGATATGGTCCTAGGGAAAAGGATTGCAGCTCCAAATAGTGCGGACGAAACGTGAAAGAGACAATGTGGTACTCTGTATTCCGTACATGCAAAACTGCTCCACCATGCCGAAACACGGCGCTTCTTGTAAAGAGCCGAGCCCAGCGTGCTTGGGAAAATGTTTCATTGCCTTCTAGATTCGGTCAGGCTGGCCTGAGCTATCGTGATCCGGGGGCGCCGTGTAGCGTATTGATCGAGATGCTATAGCAGCGGACACTCCCTTTCCACTTTGTTGACGGCGATGGTCTCAAAAGGCTGGTAGAGTCGATGGCCCATATACGCTCCTCTGTTGCATGGCACGATCTTCCATTGTCTTATCTCGCTCCAGCCCATCGCTATCTTCGCCCTTCGATGTAAACGGCCGCTGAGAGCTTGTCTCGGATTCGTCCTCCGAAGGCACGGATGGAGCTTCCGGATCCTGCGGCCTCTTCTCCTCACTTTCCTCAAGCTTAAAGGCCATATGACAAGCCCGGGTATGTGCAAGAGTGGCGACCACGTTTATCACTATCCACCACGAGAACAGAATAGGCAACGCAAGATATAGCCGATTATCAGCTCCGCCGGTCCAGACAGTAACCAAAACCAGATAACTATTCTGGCTTGACAAACAGATACCCCAGTGGTAGAACCCCGGCTGGAGCTCAAGCGGACTGACTGTAGTGGCAATATTCACGAATATCTAAATCAGTATAATGAACGGCATGACCGGTAGGGGAAGAACAGCTGCAAACGCGTCTAGGATGTTGAGGTGGACATGCATTAACAGCCAAAGAGTCATCCATGTAAGGACTAATTGGACGCCGTTGACTTCCCAGGTTTCTCGGGAGGCCCAATAGTAACCGGATTGACATAGAGAGGCGCCTAAGGTGTATATGATGCCAGCGAGTCGGCGGATTATGGTGCTGGACCGGATGGTCATTTTGCTGTAGATTTGATGTTGACGACAGACCCCGTTCAAGACCAGCAGGAAGAAGGATTGTTGGAGGGGAGGCATGGCCATCGAGACGGTGGTGAAAAGAACACTGGCGCTTTTCGAGTCTGGGTTGATGTCCTCTGTCGTTGCCTGAATCGCGTTCAAAAAAGCCTGGATTGCGCTACGAATGGGAAAGCCTTGGTTCCGTTGATCTTCATGTATGCGGTCCCGACAGCTACCACAAGCTTCTGGAGACTTGTTTGAATCGCAGATTGTGCGAAAGTCGTGTAGTACTCTTGATTCCATATATAAGATAACGCTTTGCTGGGATCGTAAGAGCTGGCGACTGGGCCCCCTTGGAAGGCTACCTCTAGCCGATAAGAGGCATTTTCTGTGGTATATACGGCACCCCAGTACTTCCCTCGTCGAACGCTAGCGTATATACCCTCTGGAGTTGGATAGTCGTCTGGCGAATGAAGTAGATCGTGGGAAAGGTTGGTCCCTGCAGCCCTGCGTAAGCGGCGGAGGGCCCGGGAGATAAGGTCTTCGTCGTATTCTACAGCAAGTACATGCATGTTTTTATGTCTGAAGCTTGATCTGTACAATGTGCCGTAGAGGTAGGAGCAGCAGACCAAGAACAGTACTATCATAGCAACTCCTCCTACAGCTGTTTGTACGAAGAACTTCACTCGAATACCCTTCCAGTAGTCGTCTCTGTAGGGAGTACGGTTGCGTCTGATGATAGTCGACTTTTCCCGGATATGCCTGAGCTTAGGAATGGTGATGTTCATCATGGCTAGGGGTTTGGGTTTAGGTCCTGAAGAGAGAGACATATCCCGAATGACCATATAAACCGTGATGAATAAGCAGGATCGCGATGGAGATTGTGGAACCAAGATAGAACCAGAAAACGCTTTAAATAAAATTTATTAACTTACTTAAAGGGGACTACTAATCGTACACCCCCTTTTCACTACACGTACACCCCCTCCCCCCCTATCGCTTCACCACCTTCTGATTGGCTCGGAGGGCTGCTCCGTAGCCTCCGATTCGCTCGCTTAACTTGCTCATTAATTCCGAATGCTCTCTCCAAATGCGGCCATGTACAACACAAGCAATTACATTATGCCGATTTGTATAGCCTTATATATAGCCTTATATACAAGCTTATGTACAAGCTCACGTACAGCTGTATATACGGCTGCATGAATTGGAAAGAATGCGCTGTAGAACAGAGAGGCTGTATAGCCATGCTGATTTATATAGTCTTATGTACGAGCTCACATACAAGCTCACGTATAAGTTCACGTACAAACTCACGTACAAGCTCACGTACGAGCTTACGTATAGCCTCACGTACGAGCTCACATACGGCCTCGCGTATAGCATCACGTACGGCCTCGTGTATAGCATCACGTACAGCCTCGCGTATAGCATCACGTGTAGAGAGACGTAAGGGTGAATGCCCGGAGGAAGCTCCGGGCTCTCCGAGCCAATCAGAAGGTGGTGAAGCGCCAAGAGGGGGGGGGTGTACATGGAGTGAAAAGGGGGTGTACGTCTAGGAATTAGGGGGTGTACGATTAGTAGTCCCCTACTTAAAGTGCTCATCCACGATGCTTGCCGGCTTGCGAGCGGCATGTCGGAGATACTAAGGACGCGAGGACTGCGATCCACTATCGGAGGAAGAACAGACAGACCCGCAGGTCGGCCGGTGAACCGAAATCAAAACTTCTTGAGTAGTGATATGTGGGCCTAGAGAGTTCGGATTGGAAACGTCGGGCCTGGAGTGGCATGTCAAGTGGCATTCCGATATCTATGACATTTTGAAGGATTCATAGTCTGGCGGTCGGAAGGTCGAAAGCGAGAGTCTGCATGCCTAGAATTCGCCATCTTGAATTCACCTACTCCGTACCTTTGGTAGGGGGGAGGGATTCATTTGGCTAAGTATGGGCGATACCATCATGTTCGCCTTATAAATTTTCGACGCCTGAATGCACAGCAGTCCACCAAGCACTATCGAACTCGAGTTGCGGTTTATCCAATAGAACAGTAATTGAGTAAATGTTGCAAGACAAGCCCAGGCTCATTAGAGCGTTTCCAATCTCAATGAGGCAGTCTCTGCCTGCTGAACGCTGTATACATGGTACGGAAGTATGGGGTATACTGTCGTGGAGAAGAGAATACGAGATGACATGAGGGACACGGCGCTACCACCGGTGCTGCAAAGGAACTCTACACTTCTGACTCGATCAACACAGTCTATGCCATACCACTCATTCAACTTCCATGGTGCCAGAGTCGCGCCGGTTGTATCGCCGTGTGTCCTTCCGTCGGATCCTCACTCTCTCCGCTTCGCAGGGCTCGCAGCTGACGCGCATCCAACCGCCTCTTGCGATCTGCACCCCAGGCCCACCACACATCTCGCACGTGCGAGAGCTTTCTTGTACTGCATGGTAGATAGCGTCTTGGATGGCGTTGTTCGTGGTGGATATGTAGACTCGTAGCAATCCAAACTTTTCCTTCACTTGAACCGCGGTGAATTGGCTAGGATCTAGGGACGCGGAGGCGATGATGTTGTTGATGCTGATTGAAAGACAACGGATGATTTGGTACCAGCCATTTCCGGTTTCAAATCCCCAGCACATGCCTGTATATAGAGCGGGGAAGTCATTATAAAGAGTTTGAGTCAAGTCGTCGCGCATTTGGAGCGATGTTTGTAAGAAGAAGTATTCAGGAGATGAATGTGGTATGTCTTAGAATCGACTCCGGGCGCAAAGCTCCCACTATATGGCATCTTAGGATGACATCTTACAATGGAATCTTACGATGGCACAGTGCAACCTGCTGAAGGCTGCCTTACCATTTTGCATTTGGCGGTGAATCCGTTTTGCATGTGGACCTCCAGCTGGTGGCTGTGGTCCATGTACGCCTGCAGGTGGGTGAGACAGCCCTGGAGAGCTTTTCCACCTAGCCCCGTGAGGCAGAGAAAGGGCTTGGCAGCAGGGATGACTCCGGGCGGAAACTTTTCGCGATGAAATTTTGAGCTTCAACATCAACACCAACAACGCGCGCATTGCTGCGGGCCATGTCCTAACTATGAGCAAGCGAAATGCGGCTGATGCCAAAGTACGAGCGGGCTCCGACGAGCGCCACCTGAAGCGCCAAAGAGTCGAGGATCCCGCCGCCAAACACAATGCCAAACCCCAACCTGTCGATGTCGCATCGGGACGAGAGCTTCAGAAGCTGCTAGTATTCTCGCAAGAAACCGCTGCCGAGCTTAGAAATGGTCAGCACCTCTTAGATGTGATCGAAGTTATCCTCTGTACTAAATCCGAGTAGGCGTATACACTCTCAAAACCCTTCTCGATGCGATTCTATACCCCACCGATGATTCTGATCTGCCCCGCAAACGAGCCATTCTCCGCGAATACTTAGACTTGAACAAGCCGAAGGAAGTTACGGGCCATGATTCCACCTTTCTGCCCGCGCTCATGCAAGGATGGTCCTACGCCTCAGAAACCAATTTCGATCAATTGCTCTCAGGCATCACAGCCGTGCTCGCCCTTCTTTTGAGAGTTCTAAACAAGGACTTGGACCTGAAAAAATATGGATTGAGCCTGTGCAAGACTGTGCTACACCCATCTCAGGCAAGACTATTCAATCGAAGTCTTAGCGCCATCTCCACTAAGGAGCATATCATCGCACCTAGCCTACGTCTACTGACGGAAGTTATATCATTCGATGGCGGTGTACTAGCTAGACAGGTGTTTCTCAAAAGGGACTTTGTTCTTGATGCAAAAGTTTTAGCAAGGAATCTCAGTCTTGCGAAAGACGACCCGCATAGCAGCCCAGATGCTCGGCGGCCTGCTATCCGAACAAATGCCGCGCGGTATTTGTTGCAAAACTTCAAGCACCAAGATGAAGCTGCTAAAACCGACCTCTTGAAGCAAGGGAATGTCGTGAGGGCGTTGTTCCAATACCTGTGGACTGATCCCCCAGCATTAGCCGTGGAGATTTTAGATGTCATCAAGAGTCATATTTTGCTGGACAAGTCAATATCACGGAAAAGTAAGGCGCACGTATTAACTGAACGAAACCTCGCGAGCATTGCGAGTCTCTACAAGTCGCAACCACCTGTGGAATCTCTGCAAGAGGGGCAAAAGCTTCCGGACGTCGCAGCTCACGAATTCTTACTGCTTGCCTGTACTACTCCTGAGATGGGCATTATGCTTCCTTCATTTGGTTGGTACCCTCCTGGCAGCGAGAAGGATGACTACGAAGAGTTTATCAGTGAGAAGGCTGGAGCGGTAATTGACGTAGGACTAGAATCGACAGAACGATTTAGCAAGAAGGTGCCAATACGGAATACTATACTTGCAGATTTCGCTCAAGGACTTCGACCCTACGCAAACGTTCTAGAGCAAGAGCTTGTCACTGCAATCTTCAAGTCATCTCCAGAACTAGTAGCAGATTATTTTGTCAAGAAAGCGTCCTTTGCTTTTGACCCGAAGCTCACTTCGACCTGGATTGGATATTCGGCTTTTATGTACTCCACCATCCAACTCCCTGTTCCGAGGTATTTAGGTCGCAAGTCTGAATACGGAAACTCGCCACCGCCGGTTTCAATCGCAATTGAAAGTCTATTGCCTCGGCCACTCTCGCAAGCGGTGCTTTCGCGGTGCTTGAATCAAAGCTCCTCTCTCGTCTCATTCTTTGCCTTACGGATTCTGATTGTTGCATTCCAAAAGCTTGGGAACACCCTAGGAGAGTTCAAACGTGCTTCAGTGGTAGCAGGCGTATCATGGGATCAAGCGTCTCAGCAACTTCTTACCGTCTTCTGCCAACGATGTCCCCAGATGAGCGTCGTCATATCCCTATTTCGGAAGACGTCATCTAGCGACGTCTTGCAACGAGAAGCTGTCACGCGACTACTAAAATTGTACTACGAGGTCCTACCTCAGGTCGCTTTAAGCGAAAAGTTCGATGTTTCGGTGCCTCTATGCAAGGCACTAGCTGGTGCAGACAGCGGAGAAGAGTCAGCAGATGAACAGCACTTGCGCGTTTTGGAATTAGAGCATCTCGTTCAAATTTCACGGCATTCGCCGAGCATGCGGTGGTGGCAGAAACCTGGTACGTGTATCCTTTTCGTCTGAGGGCTTGGCTAATTGCGTTAGAATCTCTCGATTACTCGCCTTTCATGTCTCTGCTCAAGCTTACCGCAGACCCTGCCAATCAGGGCTCGTATGAAGGGATCAAGAGCTTGCTTACAGCAATTATTCGAGATCATGGATTTCTTCAGCTGGAGACACAGCCGTCTTCTCTTGATGCACTCATCGCGAGTCTCCAGGCCTCCCCAGATTTTACTTCGGGCGCACAGCTAGAGTTCCTCGATGACTGCTGCAACCGCTTCGTCAAAAAGCCGATCAAGTATCAAGACGATTTCGACACCCTAGCAGCTCTGGAGGCATCTCCCACTTCACATGGCCCCTTTAGTATCATTCTGTTGACAATGATAGAGCAATGGGCATACAAGTCTAAAGCTCAATCCGCTGAAGACAATGTGGCAGTCATTGGGCATTGGCTATCCAAATTTGTCTATCTTCTGAAGAAGATTGGCGAGGACGACACCTTAATTCGTCTTGCTGTAGACGCTTTGGGCAAAGCTTCGGATAAGGCCAGCCGGATAGCCTTCAACAATTCTCTCCATGTTGAGCATGACGATTGGGCAGATGAGTTTCTCTCAGTAGGGCCAATGAAGAGCACCGACGAGGCCGGGGTGACGTCGCTGGATACTGTCACAACCTCGGACCAATCAGCACCGGTAGACCTAGAGCTACCCCCAGAAGAAGACCAAAATCACCCTGGCCTCGACCGGTGGCGGCGCAAGGATCTGGAGGAGAGCTTGGAAGACGGAAACGTTGGAGAATTACTACTTTGCCTATGCTCGCAGCACGTAGGGATCCGGCTTCAGGCAGTCATCAACATAAAGCAGCTGATTGCTAGAATAGAGGTATGGCAGCATATTATTAATATTGCTGGGACTCGATTGTTTGACTAATGCTGTCCAGGCCGCCAAGAACCCGGATCTCGACCAGCTGAATTTACTCCTCCACGAGGTTGTTGAAACAAGTAGAGGAGCGGCACACGCGCCTCTCTCTTATGTGGCCGGGGTCTTTGCCTTTCGCGTTCTCACCATTTTGGCTGACCCGACGCACTACATGTTCCCGAAAGTCAACAAGTTCCTCAACAAGGGGCCATCCTGGGTCGTTGGGAAGATTCCGTCTTACTTTGCGGAGAACACTCTTCGAAGTGAGCCAGAAGAAGACGATGGCTACTACAGAGAAGTCAATTGGCTCTTAGACTTCTTTATAGACGCACTGCGCACAGCCGAAGTAGGCTATCTCCACTCAATGTCCTCTCAAAAAACGGGTGCTAACGTGAAGAAGGACATGGAAATCTTCCGGGCGAAGAACATCTTTGAACGTGTTCTAGGCTTCTATTCGACCCCTGGTTGCGGGTTCAGGACGAAGGAGAAGATGCTAAGGCTTTTGTTCCGCGCGGCAGCTGTTGGAGGCAGCACGACATTGATCACACGTTCAGGCGTGCTGAGCTGGATACAGGGACAACTGGCGCTCAAAGACGGCCACCAATCGATGCTGCGACAGCTTGCATTGCGCGTATGGGAGACTTCGGACCAACAAAAGGTGAACGAATGGAGCAGTGGGAGCGCTCAGGGCACGGTGGAGCAGCTCGCTCGTGGGCAGGAAGAGAAGAGCTCCTGAGGACTCGCGAGAGCTCAAACTCTTGGAGTCTCATGTACAAACATAGCAAGCGGCTTTTGCGACTGGAGCTGGACCTCCGGATGAACAGCACAGGGACAGTTACAACAGTGTTTAGTATTCCGAGCAATGTGATCGGTTTAGATTCAAGAAAGCGCCTTGCAGGCTTCAGTGATACAAAGGTGCTTGCCCACCCTTCTGGGGGAAGCGAAGGGCGCGGAAGTGATGCCTCGAGCAAGAGGTCGACGCAGCATGCTCAGCCCATGCGCGTGACTTGCCTGCAGCTCGGCAAAGCGGTCCGTGCCCGATGATGTTGGTGTGAAGTGACTACGGAAACTCACAACACCGCCAAACTCACAACACACACGCATCCATACTCGTACAATCGCTGCTCCAGAGCCCGCTTGCATTCATTCTACCACACTCAGCCTACCTCGACCTCTGCTCGCTCCTCGCATGCGCGTCGCCGCACATTCGCCCATCACCCCCTCCGCCAGCCTCTAAGGGCAGGCAAACGCACAGGTACGCCGCGATATTTGCAGCGGAGCTTTGAGCCCCTGCTGCGACGACGCGCGGGCCGTGGACCCTCACCTGTCGCTGCTAACGCCTCCGCTCTGTCTAGGTGGTTGATTCTGCGCAATTGCTACTCCCTGCACCGCCGCCCGTCGAAGGCCTCGCCGCTGTACAGAGCAATTTATACTGCACCATTCCTCCTATTGTCGGCCCCTTTCCAAGCGGACTGCCCCCGAGGCAGCCTCCTTGGAAGGTTCTCGTAGCCTCTGTCACCTCTAACACAAACAATCTTCCGCCATCACACTAGCAACACACCTCCTCCGCCGACCTCACCTCTGCACCCCACGACGCAATCCGGTAGCATGGCTCGGGACATCGTCCGGTACACGCCCGCGCAGCTACACCACCTGCGCGACTCTCCTCTGGTTCAGAGGCCGGATGGCCTGCCCTCTATTGAACAATGGATGGAACCACAGCCGGACCAGGCCAACAGACGACCACGGTCGCAAGTGCTACGAGATGGCGAACAGCCTGCAAATGGCGAGGCTCGCGCTGACCGTCCTATCCTAAACGCCTTGGGCATGGGCAATTTCGGACGACGTCCAAGTGCTCGTAATTTTCCCCATGCTGGCTTCTTCATGCGATCGTTCTAACTGCGCCTTTAGAGCCTGAAGATACAGTCCTCGGCCCCCCAAAGTTATCCTTCACATCGGCATCTCGAAATGCGAAACCCCTAGACGGCACAGAAAAGCGTGGACTCCCAGCATTCGATTCCGAGGGCTCACTCGCGGACCGCATTGGGCCGCGTGAGAGGTGGTCCAAAGACCGCTTCGAATCTGACCGTAGTCGCGACAAAGCCGGCTTTCGGAACGGACGAGGCGGGGGACGCGAAGAAGGTGAAGGCTGGACAAATGTGAAATCGCGCAAGAGCTTGGGACAAGACGAGATTGAGCGTCCACACCGTAACGGGGATAGGGATAGGTTCCACAAAGATGGCGATCTGGACAACGGTGAATCGGGTACGAGGCGACCTGGCTTGGGTAGGGGTAGATTCGAACAACCTTGGGGACGTGAGGATTCTGCGACCAAGGAAGGAGATGGTGCCAAGACAGGGACACGAGGACAAGGTTGGCGGGATCGAGAGAGGGACAAGGAACGCGATCGAGACCCTCCCCGTGAGCGAGATTGGACTAGAGGTCGTGGAGGAATAGAGGAAGACCCAGAGTGGATGGACACTGTTGTCACCGAGAAGAAACCCGCTCGAACCCAGGAAGATTTTCAGCGATGGAAGGAGGAGCAGAAAGAGAAGACTAAGCCTCAAGACAAGAAAGAGCCGATTCAAGAACCAGCTCCGAGTGCCCCGGATCCAGTATCGGTGCCGGTTCCAACCCCACATGCAGCACAGCAAAAGTCAGTCGCGCCATTCGCCATGGATGTTGGGACGGAGAAGCTGTTCGGTATGTGGGGCGAAGACAAGCGCGCAGACTCCAATGCTGCAGAAAATGCTACATTGGCGAAAACGACCAAGGCGAAGCCCAAACCTTCCCGATTTGCGGGCCTGTTTTCTCCGCCTGAGGACTCAGTTAGAAAGCTTCAGGCGCCTCTGGAGACACCTACGTCACCGCCGCCGGCAGCAAACCACAGCACGAATACTGAGGACAAGGAAGGATTTCAGCGGATTCTACAGATGCTCGGTGGCACCAACATCTCGGGCCAGCCAAACCTGAGGGGGATGGCACCCCCTAATGGCACCCGTCAGGCCGTCCGACTAGACTTTCAGCATCCACAAGGCGATGACGGTGCTGCCATGCTAACACAAATTCGCCAACAGATGCCACGGGGTCGCGAGGACCGACAATATACTGAAAACCTAGTTGCTCCCAAGCCGTCTGGTCCAGATCTTAGGTCGCCGGCCGGCATGTTTGGTATACATTCGCCGGAGAATGAATCTGGACCTGATCAGTATCGCTTTGCACGACCCGAATCAGGTCGTCCCGCTGAAGACTTTCCGTTCCCACCGCCAGCTCGAAATGGTAGAAGTCAAGATACCCTGATTTCGCAGGCCTTAGCCAAGGCTCAGGTAGCTCAGGAGCCATTCCGAGACAGCAAGCGTGACTTTTTGCTTACGCTTATGCAGCAGCCGTCTCGTGGAACGCCTCCGCAAATGAGTGGACATAACCTCCCCCGACAACCCTCTGACAACTTCCTGTCGTTCATGGACAATAATGCGTTGCAAGGGCCAGGGGCGCCCAAGAGTCGTGGCCCACCACCTGGAATATACGACGACCCCCGTATGTATTCGGACAACGAAATGCTCAGGCGCGAAGCCAATCTCCGAGAAGCAAGCATTCGAGAAGCCAACATGAGGGATGCGAGTTTGCGCGAAGCGAGTATTCGCGAGGCCAATATGCGAGAAGCTAGCATCCGTGAGGCCAACATACGCGATGCCAACATGCGGGACGCCAATATGCGCGAAGGTATGCCTTCAAATGATCCATTGCGCAAGGCCATGGGACGCCCGCCACCCGGCATCTATGACGATCCTTCGATTGCGGGCTTGACGCGACGCAATACGACGGAGAACATGCCTCGTCAACCGACCAATATGGGCATTCCCCAGCAGCCCGTCTCTGACCTTCCTCTGTGGATGAAAGGACCAGGCATGCCGCAACCATCTTCCGAGCGCAACGTCGCACCTCCTCCAGGCTTTCCGCCAACTGCTATGCGGCAGCCGCCTGGATTCGGTGGCCCACCTGTTGGCAACCAGCCTAACATGCCTTTCTCGGCCGGTAACACTCCGCTTGGACATCCTGGCATCGTACCGCCTCGAGGCATGGGCGGACCTGGGGGCATGTTTGCTGGCCAACCTCCGGGACAAATGCCACCTCCCGGTCCTCCTGGCGGCTATTTTGGTGGGCCTCCGGGCTTTGGTCCTATGGGCATGCCACGGGGAGACGATCCTCGCATGATGATGGGTCCACGTCGCCCAGAGTACGAACAATTCAATCGAGACCCCAATGCTCCCCGCCCAAGACCGGGAGACATGTTTGGGATGTAGCGTGTGGCCCAGCCTACGTGCATTCGATCGGTATACGACATGGGATATGATCTGGCTTGCACGTAGAAGTCACTTTAGGGAACGCCGTCGTCATCAACAGCATGTAAGGGCGATTTTTGGTGACCGTCTTCCTGCATAAACTCGGTAGCGTGGCGTCTGGATTCAGCGACCGGCCTGTCCTGTTTTCTGCCGACGTCTACTGTGCCTTTCTAATGGAGATTGCTTTTGGAAGCCGGCCGCTTACCTTGAGCGTCGACGTATGCGCTTTTCTCGAGCGTGCGCCTTCTACGTGTCTGGGTTGCCGCCATCGTCTCTGATGGGGGCTCGCTTATGCGGCAAGACGATGGCTGGCGAGAGCACGAGTGGATAGTGCCGGCGCACTGTGTAGATTAGGAAATGGAGAATGTTGGAATATCTTTGTGTGCAAATGCTTTGTGAGATTGTGATTCATATGTGGTTTCTAAGGCCCAGCAGCTTAGCGGCCCTAAGTAATGGCCGTATTTGGTGATGTTTAATCAGCAGGTACAATACACTTTGAGGTCTTCTTGATCCAAAGTTTACGAATAAATCTATTCACACTGCGTAAGATGCTATGTGGTGGATGTAGCGCTTGGGTCACGTGGGGTTTAAAAGTAGGAAAGCACAGGCCTTTGTTTACTTCTTGGCACAACACTACAAAGGTAATACAACCTCACGTTCGGAGCAGCCTACCTGGACAAAACACCACCACTTCCGCCCTCGCCGCCTGCGCCAAAGACACATTTTACAATGGATTACGGACGCATGAGTACTGCGCGCAGCTCCGGTAACAATAATCGCAGCCGCCAGCCTGACGAAGGCGATGCTTTCATGACTTTGGTAGGTGTAAACAGCTCGTTTTCTGGCTATTGTTCTAACTGTTTTCTAGCCTGACAAGGAGATCGCGGGATGTATCAATGATATTACGGGGTCGTTTGGGATGAGCTTCACTCTAGCCGATCTTCACAAGCCGAATCCGCAGCAGATCCAGAAGATATTCGAGATGCTCCTCGACGTTATTATGAATGTGACGCGAGAGGTGGTCGCGCCAGCTATGCGAGCAGCCGCGGAGGACATGTGTGGGCCAGATGCCGAACGAATCTACACATCCGACACTCGCGATCTTATGGCGTTCTTCCTTACTACGAGGAAATTGTTGGCTGAGGTACGTCAATGTTGGATCTATGGGCTGTGCACGACGGGCTAACGAATGTAGTGCGGCATCCACGACTTCACCTTCCAGGACCTGTACAAGCCCACGCGCGAGCGTCTTGCCAAAATCTTTTCGTACCTCATCAACTTCATTCGCTTCCGCGAGTCACAGTCGGCCGTGATCGATGAGCATTGGGATAAGGCGCAGACCGTGAAGAACCGCATAGAGACGCTACACAGGGACAACAAGCTTAGGGAGGTCCAACTTGCCGACCTACAGCGAAACCGCAAAGGCACCGAGACAGCGGTACAACAGAGGGAGAAGCGGAATAGCGAGCTCAAACAACGTCTCTTGGACCTCAAGAGGGCCCAGGAGCGTGTCCAGGAGCGACTGGAGCGTGTCAAGGAAGAGCAAAACAACCTGAAGCGCGTGCTAGAGGAGAAGACAGAGGCCACGATGAACGTGAAGCAAGAAGCTGCGAAGCTCCGCCCATACACTCAACAGAGCCCGGCGGTTCTGGAAGACTCTCTTCGCGACCTGAATGCCAGCCTGACAGCAGATAAGACCCAGATCGATTCACTAGACCGTCGCGCCCGCGCTCTGCAGACCTCTACCGATTCATTTGGCGTCGTCATATCCGACGTCCACGCCTGTACACGCCTTCTCACCGACGTCCAGACAGACCTGAGCAAGGAGGAGGAAGAACTCACCAAGGCTGCTAGACACCGAGATGCTCTATCCGATCGAAGCAACAATGTTCGGGACGTCGAGAGGCAAGAGCGGCTACTGCAGAAGCAGCTGTCCAATGTGAATGCACGAACAGACAAGCTGCGACGCAACGCCGACGAAAAGGCAGAGACGGCAAGGACACGCATGGAAGAGCTGAAGAGCGTGCACAAGCGTCTAGCGGAAGAGAGGGGAGAGAAGGGCAAAGAGATGGAGAGGCGGCGGGTCAGGATTGAGCAGACTGAGAAGAAGGTAAGTCTAGCGAGATTTTCGCACAGGATCAAATTTGATATACAAATACTAATTACGGTCTCATAGATGGCCGATTTGAAGGAGAACATCGAGAACGAAGTCCATGCGGCGCACGACGAGTATCTCAAGATGGAGTCACACATCAAGCTTTACATCACCGAAATGGAGTCGAGTCTTTGAGATTGGAGATTGTGCAGGATATTATGTTCGTTGTGTTGGCTGGTACCTTTGTAGAGTCTTAACCCGACTGTTTCATGGGCTCCCGGGGTGATGCTTGGAGTTTGGGTCTGTTTGGATGCGGTGACTTCTGGTAGAAGCTGGGGCTGGTTAATTGACTGAACGACATTATTCACATACCCACTACTTCATTCTCTATTCCATAGATTATTCCATTCGCGTGAACTCGCTCAACTTGAACCGCGTGAATACACAGCGCAAGCAACGACTAGTCTCCTGAGTCTCCGAACTCTTGACTTGATCCTTTCAAAGCATATGTGAACATTTAACTAAGCTAGACAAAACCAAATAGAAGTCGAGATACACATCCTTCGCTCATTCCCAGTGCGGCCGTCGGCTTCCCCCGGAGCGGAAAAACTCTGCGGCCCAGCACCTGATCGCGAATTGCTCAGCCTCATGACGCGGCGAACCATAAAGCCTCACCTACATCGCTGTGTCGCCGCCCGCAATCCACCTCCAAACACTCCCAAACCCCTCCACCAAAACCGTCACGCCTACAATCGCCTCCACAATGTGCGGCACCGACTGTTTCCTCTGCCTGCTCTCCATCCTCTTCCCTCCCATCGGCGGTACGTACCCCAAAGCTCCCCGCATGAACCTCCAGGCACCCAACGCCACCACCTCTTTTCCAACCGCACACGCTGCACCCCCGTAACCCCCCCGAACTAACATATCCCGCCTAGTCTGGGTCAAACGCGGCATCTGCAGCGCCGACTCCCTCATCAACATCGCCCTCTGCTGCCTCGGCTTCCTCCCCGGCCTGCTGCACGCCTGGTACATCATCCTCAAGTACCCGGACCCATACGACTCGTACACGCGCGTCGACGGCACCGACGGCGGCGAGAACGGCGCCCGCACGGTGACCTACTACTATGTGCAGCAAGGCGGCGCGGGCGCTGGGGGACGCAGGGTGCAGCATCACCAGCAGCGCGGGTACGGCACTGTGAGCTCGCAGCCGACGGCGGGGCAGTTCCCCGGCCAGCAGGGCGGGACGGAGAATAGCTTTGCGCAGCCGACGGCGCCGGCGCAGGCGCCCCAGGCGCGGGAGGGGGAGGGCTCGAGTGCGCAGCCGCAGGGGCCGCCGCCGGCGTATCAGGATGTTATTCAGGGGGATCATAAGGTGCAGAATCCGTAGATGGGATGATGGGGCGGTGTTATGGTAGCAGTGTGGGATATGGTGGTGGGTGGGATGCGTAATCATGGGAGTTGCGGTTTCGTAGGCACGTTATGGCGCTGAGGGACTTTGAATGCGTTGGGGTATTATTTTGGGGCGCTGGATGGGCGGTTTAGCCATGCTTGAATCGCACAGAATCATGCCTATAGCACAGGGTCTTGGGGACGTGTATTGAACAACGTTAACAGTTGAGCTTTGGTACAGGGCCGAAATGCTAGATGACTCGGAAATTGAGAAGTGTAATTCATGATTGATGGATGATGCGTCTATTCTTTGCCTCCCAGGAATCTATATACGACAGAGAAATCCTTGCCTTTGCAATTGGAGTCTGCCTCGGTCTCATCGTAAAGCTGCTTGGCAGCATCGCCCAGAACGACTTTGATATTCGCCTCCTTCGCAGCCTTCAGGGCCAACTTGAGATCCTTGTTCGCAAGAGCCACCCCGAATCCTCCCTCGTAGCCTCGAGATGCGGGAGAACCCTCAATTACACCTGGCACTGGGTTGTTGACCTCGCTCGGCCAGCATTTGCCAGTACTGATATTGATCATTCCAGCAAGAGCTTTGGGGTCGAGTCCCCATTGGATACCCATGTTCATGGCTTCTGCGGTGGCGATGTTGTTGAGAGCTAGGAGGTAGTTGTTGGCAAGCTTGCCGTGAAGACCAGCACCCTGTTCACCCAAATGCAATACGCGACGACCCATCAGCGACAGCACTTCCGTGGCGCGGTCCACTACATCCGCACTTGCACCAATCATGAAAGTCAGAGTACCGGCTTGAGCGCCGACAACGCCGCCGGACATGGGAGAATCGATGAATTTGCCTTGGCCAGATAGCGTTGCTGCGTTCGCAACTTCACGCGAGGTCGTTGGATCGATGGTTGAGCAGTCAATGAAGAGGCGTTCCTTGGCGGTTCCGTCCTTCAGTAGGCTTGGTGGTTGCAACATCGACTTGTATACGCCTGCTACGTGGTGTGGCTCTGGCAGAACGGTGATAACACATTCCTATCGAGTGTCAGTGGATGATAGAACACGTGACCAGATATAATTGAGATAGTATTGAGGAATCAGAGGATTGGCTTTGTATGTTTAGAATCAGAAAAAAGGGCCACAGAACGTAGCCCCCAACTTAGATCATTGATAGAACGTATTCATCATATGAGAGGGATAGTGGGTGAAAGACGTGTACACGTACCGATTTTTCTGCGACTTCCCGCACGTTTTCGGCGACAATGACACCCTCAGAATGCTCACCAAGGAACTGCTTTGTGGCATCAAGGTTGACGTCTTGAACGATGAGAGTGTCGGTGGCCGGTAGCTTCGCTCGCAGGTTCTTCGCCATGGGATATCCTGAGCAATGTGAGCGGGAATGGACGTCATGTGAGCGCGGAGCATAGTTACCCATGCGTCCAAGACCTATGAAGCCCCATACGGCCTGCATGTTCTGCGAGTTGGAGAAGCATCGTCGCTGAGTATGTCTCACAGCAGTCGGGGCAAGGCGCCGCAAGGGCGACACAATGGCTGAAGCTGCACGCATCTCGCTTGTCCCTGAGAGAATGGGTTGTAGGTGTAGAGAGCGCAGTCGGGAGAGGAGCTGTGGGAGCTGCAGTGGTGCTGGAATGCCCCACAAACGTCTCCGCAACTTAGTTCATCCAGAACCGAGGATGTCGCAGCAGAGATCCGCGAGAGCCGCTGGGCCTATGTATATGTGTATCCCCGCCGCGAAGGGAGGGCTGTCGCCCATTGCTGACGCTGCCGCTGTAGCGCGGTAGCCCATTGCGTGCAGTGCTGCAGGGCGATCTGCTTTCGGGACTCCGCTTCGAGTTTGGTGGTTTTGGCGCAAAGTTGTGTGTTTGGGAGAGAAAAATCTCTGTGCGTGGCGGAGACGGTTTTCCCCGTATTTGATACACGTGACTTGAGGACGTTCGCACGAAAACGGCATATCAAAGTGCGGAACGAATGTATTTCTTGAATCCCATAAAGCCGTTATACCACCCCAATGTGCACACTGCCCAACCCCGGCTGTTCACGTGATCCTGCGCTGCTATGGCTGAGTTCGGCTCAGGTCCGGCTCAGCTTCAGCTCCAGTCAACTCACCCTTGCTCGCCTGCTGTGGCGCAGTCTCAGATGTACCTACTAGAAATTAGCAAGTTTTAACGAGGGGCCTTAATCTATTCTAGGTCACGAATTCAGGCCCTATACAGTATTATAAGCCTTAGAAGTCTAGGCTCCTTTCTAGGTGTCACAGTAACTACTTGTAACACCACGTTTACTACAAGCAGGCCGGCACAACCTTGGCCACCCGATTCCAGCCGATACGTCGATTCTAGTAGAAGAATATAGTGAATGGAGCGAACCTTGGCAGTGTAGCGTCTTTGATAATCTCATCAATTTGAAGTTGTTATTCGAGAAGCGTGAAAGGACCCAAAGGGTACAGATTATGGGTCGCAGCTGTGGTTCAGAACTGCGCATTAATTTGTATCTTTTTCACCGAGTCTTATAAGCATTTGAAGGCAAATAGCATAGACAACTTTCCTAAGAACATGATTGTCCCGAGGACATTACTGTGTTGTAAGCATGTCTATCTTAAGAATATAGCTGTCTTAAGACGGGCCTATCTTAAGAGCGTGAGTGTCTGGAGAACGTCCTCGTCTTAAGATGTTACTGTTTTAAGACTATAGCCGTCTTAGGACTATAGCCGTCTTAAGAGAATGCCGTCTTAGGAACATGCCGTCTTAAGTACGTGATTACCTGCAGAGTAGATAAGCTAAAGCGAAATTAGGCTCCAAGTCGGGTGGCCATCATTGGGCCCTATTGCGCCTGGGATTAAATTCAGCCTAACCTCACGTGGCAACTTAGAAGATATATGGTGGAGCCATATATATTTAATATAGAAGATCGTTTCAACATAGCTCCGAAACTTGGTGGAAACGTGTTGACAGGCCGACTAGAGGAATCAAGGGTTGTTAGAGGAGAATATAATATACCTTGAGATGCCCGACTCAGCCTGAAGCGACTGGTGCATGGCTTTGAAAGTGGCCGGCAGGGGCATTTACAGCAAGCCCTTAATCTCTCTCGTGTTGTGTATATAGGTCCAGTCGCAGCAAATAAAGACGTACTTTAACCAGCTGACTCCTTTCATCTGCGGTACGAAAACTCGGACTTCGCAATTAACTCCTTTAGTTTTAAAGAGCTCCGCAATAGCTGCCCCTTCGAAAGGGGAGGGTTGTAATCCCTCATTCGGTGGAAGACCACCTGCGACGAGAAATCTGTCAAATTTAGCGATATCAAGTCTGAAGCCTTGAACGAGGGCGATTACGCCCATATCTTCGAAGCAAGAATATCGCTTTCGGTCTGGCGTAACGCAGAAGTGAAGGATGAAAGACTTTGGTGTTGTTGACGATGGAAGGACCGCTGGTCAAAAAAGAGTGATCGAGGAGACAGGTGCGGGTGATCGAAAGACGCCACCGAAGCACGGCAAGGCAACCAAGTTCCACCACAAGCAAGTTTTATTGCAAGCACCTATACATTATCCGACGGAACCAAACACGCATCTTCCCTTTCACGGTCTTCTGCAAGTACAAAGTGCAAACCCTCCGACCCCCGCTGTTCAACTCAGGAGCTCTGGTGTTTCGGGAGAATGGAATAGCAGCATTTGAACGGAGTTGGTGATCAAAGCAGAATCCCTAACATTTATGTATCTTTTAGAATACATGTTATAAACACTTGGTTCAAGTTTCGCCTAGAATTTGCCCTTACTACGTGTGATAGTTTAAACTCCCTTACTGGGCAAGACTCCGTACTGTCGGTCTACCGAGAATTCGCCGACCACATATCGCGAATGAGCTCGGTCCTTGGACCATACAGGCGGCAGCACTACACAGCGCATCAAAATTATCAACCCCGTCGGTAGTGGGAACCTTCACCAGCTCGTCCAACCTCACGTCAATCTTGTTTCCACCTGACCGGAGGGCATACTTCGCAAAGCTGGATGGGAGGATGCTGGAGACGGCGAAGTCGATGATGGTAACAAGACGTTGGTCCAGGTCGAGGATGAAATTTTCAGGCCATACATCGCCATAACAGAAGACCATAGGCTCAGAGGCGAGGTTTTTGGCCGGTGTCGGCTGTTTAGTGATACGGATCCACTATAGCGCATCGTTAGTTATATGCAAAGGGCAAATGCTGGGGACCAGGTTACCTCATTTAGATGCGTCTCTAGCTCAGAGACATTTCGGTATTCCATTGGAGCCTGATGATCATCGAAAAGACAATGCCAAATCCTCCCTCCATTAATTGCAGCCGGGCGGGCAGCTGGGGGTACAGGGATGCGCAGGAGCTCCTGGAGACCAAAGGCAACCAGGTTGCAAATATCCTGCTTCTGAGTGGGGCGTTCCTTCAGCAATTGGCCCATTGTCTTACCGGGGATGTACTCTATAACAATATAAGACACATTCATATAACGGCAGGTGTAGTAGACTTTCGGAATCCGGACATACGACTGTAGCTGTTGGAGGCCATAGTACGCCATCATCTGCGCAGGAACCTCGTTCTGCACTACTGAACAGCCGTACTTGATCCAGAGTTGGGGTGCGTGCGGGGGATAGGCAACGTGCTTCGAGAAGCCCATCACATCTTCGGTACAGAGGCAAGTCAGCTCCTCCCGGGTGGGAATATGGACGCCGGGTGGGGGTGGGAGTACATGAAGCTCCTCAAAGTCAGGATGCTGCGACATGATGGATGCAGGTTTGCAAAGGTGGAGGGAAATTGAAAAGGAAATGGTGGGAAGAAAAGCGGTTGGAAGGCTTTGGGTGGCCCAGCACCACGGAGCAGCACAACACCATGGGGGCAGCATAACACCACGGGGGCGGCACAACACCGCGCATCACCACGCGCAGGCTAGGCGCTTAAATCTAGATGGAAGCTGGGCTGCCCGGCGGGTATTGGGATCCGCGCCACCTCCCAACGTGCAGGCCTCAGCCTCGGAAAAGAGCTGAAACGTGCCCACGATGGCGCAGGCTAGTGATGGCACAATGGAACATAATAGCCACGGCCTTTAGACCCAAGCGCGCGTTTACCCTGTGCAGTGGGTTTTATATTCTAGCGGCGTAGGAAATCTCAACAAATCATATTGGGTGCACGCCACGCATTACCATCGCGCGCTGCCACCACTCGCCGCAGTCTGTTCCCATTCAACCTCACACATGTTTGAGAACATAGACAGCTGATACGTGGTTAAACGCTGGAAGCGGCCACCGGATCAGACCCTCAAGATTCCTCGAGCATTTAAATGCTCGACATGCTGCCATATAGTTCTCCCAGCAGATTCATTACTACCTATTTCAATCCTCATCAGTCATTCAATCCTCATCAGTCATTCAATCCCCTATCAGTCAATCGCCGCCCATTCTAAATTCTCCATCAGTCAATCACTGCCTCTTCCAGTGCCCACCACTCAATCCCCCCTATCACGAATCACCGTTGGTCAATCGCCCTCTTTTACACCCAAACGCCAGTACAGAAGACTCATCTACCTCACGCAACGTCTCACGCAATGGCCTCTCTGACACCATACTATGAGGCCACTTCCCAGCCATTTCTTAATTGGGTACAAGAGAATATCAACACCCTTCAAGCCGAAACTTTATACCGTTACATGCGCAATTTCTCGCCGGCGCAGATATCGCAGGTGCTAGCACATTTTCCGCAGGACACGGTCCAGAGTGCAAAACTACGAGCTGTGCTAGGGATGTTTCCGGAAGAACTGCGAGATACGGTTCGCGCGCTTCTGTTAATACGCCGATCTCGGGCTGAGATCGTGACCGCTGCACAATGGGCACAACAGCACACTCCTCCTGAGGCGGACGGCTATGTGCTCACTGATCTCACTCATGTCACCGATATTCCTTCGCTGCTCCCCATCAATATTCTGATGGCTCCATGCCGGTCTCTCCATGTTGAATTCTTAGAAATCAGTGCCCCGGGCATGAGCAATCAGGATCGGGAGAATGCCAAAAACCGCGCCGTTTTGAAAGTCAACTTCTCCAGTCAAGTGGGTCCGTACCTAGGTGCGCGTATAAGTATGGATGTCGACTACGACTCGGAGTACGAGGGCTCTAATTTCAAACCCGGACGATTGATGGTCAAGCCAATTGCGTATGACGCCCCTTCGCTGAGTTCGGTACGCACTTTCCTGCTCGCCATGAATCGAGGAGGCTTAGTATTCGGCGACATCATCGGCACACTGCTTGGGGTGAACTTACACCAATTTGACTTCACCACCGTAGGCCATAGGTTTTACGGCTGTCGCGATTTTGTGCGAGTGCCTGATTTCGGCTTTACAAGCACTTCGCTAATACCTGTAAACTCTAGCTCGCAAGCAATCTTCATACTTCGTCATAAGGTTTAATCAGATCGAACATAGTTCGTGACGAAATAAATAACCAATTCGCTCTGCCTACAGGCTATACTGATGTCTTGTTTACTATGGCACTGCGGTTCAAGGGTGGTACCGCAAGACGAGGTGAAGTCGTGTATTGTCCCATTGACAAAGGCCAATTCAACGGATACCCCCGCAACGAACTTCCCGGATTGCATTACCGTTAGTACGCATCCGGATCGGCCAACTCCCATGCCCCTTGCGACGATAGAGGCGGTTGTCGTAGAGGGCAGTGCGAATTTAGATCCTGGAGTCGTTGTTTGTGTGCCCTGCGGAACGAGCATTGCTGCCTACGCGGGGTTGGGCGTCATCTTGGCGAACTGCGATTTACTCTCTCTTTCCTTCCAGTTGCTGCTTTGTCGCTCGTTATTCGTTCTGTAGGGAGCTAAGCCCCATGGGAATCTGAGTTTTGAAGGCGCATTAAGAGATGGGAATTAGGTTTCGTAAATTGATTCATCATTTCTTTAGTTGAGTGGGTATATATAAAATGAACGTCAGCATAGTTCTGTAAAGCACAGCGTTTGGAACCAAGAACAGGGGTCCTAGGTTTTTCCTATTCCAAAAAGCACTTCCACCGCTCGCCTATGTGATTTTTGAGCAGCGTGAGCAAGGAGATTTCGCCGGTATCCGCATTGAACCACCAGGCTTCGGCGACGGGCTTGTATCGCGGATCGAGAGTCCAGGCCGTCTCGGAGCTATTTGCGAGACGATCGAATAAATGTAAGGAGTGAATGTTATTCGTGGGATCCCATACAAGCCAGATAATATTCAGTCATATAGAAATCATGAGAAACACGGTTCGAGTTGGATGCGCGACGTGTAGCCGGGTCTTCAGGTCTGTGATGACATCTTTCCAACCTTCAGGTATGTCGTTCTTTGGGCATCTACATTTGGTCTCGGGGAAGTCTCGAAAAACCGATGGTTGAAACAGTGACAGCGTCCAAATCGGTGGCGGTCGACAGAGCTTGACACGAATGATATATTCCTATTGCACGGCAGGCAGGTATCCGACGAGGCACAAACTGGAAAGCAATCGTTACAGCTTGGTGACCAAACATCGGTCACCATGTCGTCCCTGTCACTCAGCTCTCCCACGATGAACAGGTCCACGAGGGAGTGGAAAGGTATAGTCTTCGTCTCGTCCCAAATATGTGGGAACACTCCGAGTACGCCAGGATCTACTGGAAATTGCTGGGGTCTTCTGGATATCTGCGAGACAAGGCATTGAGTAGGTAGATCCACGCACGAACGCCATGTCGTGGATACCCGATCATTCATCATGCTCAGGGTTAGCGAATGGCAGAGAACTGGAAACTAGAAAAATGCCCTCTGGGTAGGTCAGCTGGTCATGAAACACTAGCGCTTTTGATGGCCGATAGCAATTGAGTCGACTATGGAATGAAAGAGGATGAAGCATTTTGAGAATGAGGTTGTATGAAAGCAAATTCCCGGACGTTGACGGCGCGCAGACATTTACCGCCGCAGCTCCCGCATTGTTGAAACTTTCAAGTTTCCCCGCTAAGGCCTACCACATATCAAAGAGGCGTACATCCATTGTGATTTCCGGAACTTCGTCAAGCCATCTATCATATTCACAAATTTGCCCGCTTCTCATTTTAAAGCTTTAGTTTATCCGCGGATATCTGTCGCAAATGGGAAACACAACTATGAACGCAGAAAGCCCCGCAATAATAACAACAAATGCGAGCGAGCCCTTGTTGTCTGACAATAGTCTATTGTACTTCGACAGAGTCCGCGACCAATGGATCCCACGTGTCCAAGAGACGAGCAGCACGACCGGCACCGATGGGCGCGACGCACACCAGGACGCTGGGGTGGGATTGATGCAAAGCTCCGCAACGCGCTCACAGGAAGATGAGCGGCAGAGACTGCAGGACGGGCACCAGCAGCAACTGGTATACAGAGTAAATCAGCAGACGTTGGGGCACGAGGGCGGCCACGACCATAATGGGCTGAAAGATGGTTGTCAGTAAGGCGGAAGATGATAGTAAGGACGATAAGCTTAGGGACTGTTGACCATAGACAGTCCCGGAAAGACACAGACAGCTGCAAGAGGGTGCGTTTGGAAGGGTGCGACTGGAGGTGTTGTGCGGCGTTGGTTGGCAGGTTCGTGCACCGGACGACTCCAACACGCCTCGCGCTGACTCAGCAGCGTCCATCAAAGCTTTCAGAGAACTGGTCGTCGCAGCCCGAGTAGCCGCCCAGGTTCTCCCACATTACTAACACAGCCTAGAAGGTTGCATGAACGGTTGCATGAACGGTTGCATATTAGCGCTTTTGCCTGTGTGAGTAGTTCTAGGATGAGACGCCTTCACCGGCAGGGTTGATAGCTGCCTCACTCGCCTCAAACGTGGAGAGTAGCTGACCTTACTTTCAGACGCCCCTGACGAAGCGCGCGCGCTCTGCGACATACTCCGAAGTTTCTAGGCTATTCAGCGCGTAACTATTGGTGTCAAGGTCCACGTGCGGGCATCGCGGCTGCGGCGTAGCTCTAGTTTCAAGTAGCCGCTCAACTATTCTAGGCTGAGGAAATGTTTGAAACAAGGCTGGAGTGTTGGACTAGTAAAACGCATCAGTAGACCAATGATGAAGCCAGATTTTCTATCTGCCACAGCCGATGAATTTCATAATTTTCTCCTCCTGCGGCGGATGGCGCGACTGTCCTCCGCGTTACGAGGGTGAGATGCTCAATGTCAATGATGCTACCATTCTGCCAGCACCAGAGAATCGAGCGAAAACGTGTGCGTTACTAGTGTACTCTCATTCATTCTTTAAATTCAGATGGCACTATCTCTTGCGGTGGACTTGCTATGCCTACTCAAAGACTTGAGGTGGCACGCGACTGCTGGTGGTGGAAACGGGGCGATGAACGAGTGAAGCTCTGAGGCGTTTCGGGGCAAGGGCGCGCTTAGATGCGGTAGCGCGACTCGAATCGAGACTGATGAACCCGGATGCTCGCCATAGCTCTGAACTGGAACGGCGCAGCTACCTTTGTATATAAGTACGACGCTTTATGTCCAGAGGAAAGACATCAGACTACCGAAGCACCAACAGACAAGACACGCCATTCCCACCAACGTTTTGCAACTATCAAACGCGCAGCGACTAGATTCATTTGAATACTATTCTTATTCTCGAAAACACGCTCTGGAGAATGTCAACCTCCCCGAGACGCTTGCGTAAGTGTGATAGACTTATTCATCTACTCGCACTGGCTGTGTACTAAACTTATTTGATAGAAAATGCCAATTACCGCTTCCTTGTGTATTTCCTGGCCCTACCAATCATCACCTTATATTGTATTATCCCTAGATTTTATATGATCTCACGTATCTGCTAACTCATATAAAGCGTTGTGTCTTAGTGGCTGCGTATCTAATTCAGCCGGAATCCCGAATATCTTTGCAGTGAAGCTACAAGAGCGAAACGAGACCTCTTTAATTTCAGAGATACGTGTGAATTACTTTGGTAACTTGCTCTCCCGTACAATTACAGACACTGATTTCCGAACAGGTCTCTGCGCCTCCGTCCCGAGTAAAGCACTCTACTGCCTTTCTAGCTCCGGCAAAACAGCCGACTCTATAGGCCGAGAGAGATTAAATCTGCCGTGGCTGCCGAATTAGTCACGTTGGTGTTGCTGTTACAATCCAATCTAAGATCATTCTTTACCTCCTGGCGGCGGCCGGCGTCATGTTCCTCCTTGGTGTAGTCGCTCTCGTGGTCCTTAAACTAAGTCTAAAATCATCACCCAAAGACCAATTAGCCGTGGAAAAGAAGAGACAGAGGACGCGAACCATTATGCTTGGATTTGTATGGATGTCGGCAGGGTTTGCTTTGGCATCAGCGATATCGGTCAACCAGGTCACAAGCGCGATGGACTTCGTCACCGAAAATGAGTCCGTGTCAACGATCCATATTACTGCTGGGAAGACGTTAATCGGCCTCCAGTGGGCCACCTTCTCAATATCGGTGCTGTTCGCAGGGGGCATATTAGCTATGATCAAGAAAGAGGGCGGCGTAATTCAGTCGGCCGGGTCGGCAAGGTCGGCCGGGTCGGCAGGATCTGCACCTCCTCCTGCTGGGGGGTCTGGAATGGCACCACCGCCACCACCTTTTTGAAATGTGACGGGATAGAGTGTCAGATGAAGGTGTTTTCTAAGGAGAGTTCCCTCGACTGCTTTGTTTAGCTGGCTTTTAGATGGTCGAAGGAGGTTGTTCTATAACGAAGGGAGTTTCTTTGCATGTTTTGAATTGATAGCGTCGATATGTTTTATTTCTTTATCCCTTTACCCGTTGGTTTGCGTCCTACGTTATCGATAAGGATTTAACCAATCAGAAGCCAGCTCTTAGCCCTCCGTGATGAGAACTGCCGTGCGCATGAGGCTATTCGAATTCGTGATTTCTATGTATATAGCTATCTACACGCCTAGTCCTTGGAGTTGAGGATTGCGAGATGCTCGGCCCAGCACTCCTTCCGAGTGCAGAGAGGAATCCTGCACACAGAACACCCATATAAAGTCCTAGGCGTCCTATACGGCCGCTTCCAGCCGTTACTATCACTCCGTGCCTTCCTTGTAGTGTTTTCTGAGAGGTCTGCAAGCGGCTTACGAGCTGCCCGGTGTGGTGTTGAGGTTGTGCGCCGAGCACGTGCGCATGCCGAGCAGAAGGCCTGTTTCCTCCATAGTTTGACGTGCTGATGCTCCTTGACCGGCAGCCACGTCACCTCCATCATTGTCTTTCTTTTTTGTGAGGTCTTTGGCTGGCGTGGGCGAATAGAGGCATGGAGGAGGGCGTCTCGGAGGTCTCGACAGAATTGTAGGTGAGAATCTCGTCGGAGAGCTCGCTCGCCGGGCGGCTGCTTATACGAAGAGAGCATATAGTTGTTGCCCACTACTGTATCCAATAGAAAAGAGAATAATGGCTTCCACGTCTTTCTATGGACACGATTTGTATTGTAATAGCTGCGTAGCTGGTCCGCAATGTCGACGCCGCACATCCATAGATTATACTCCTCGATAAACTCCGGAATATCTAGCATAGCCCTGCGCTTGTCGCCAAACACCTGGACGGTCTGTTTATAGCCCTTGGCAGTTATAGCCGGCCGTCGTCGAAGCTTCGCAACGTAGTTTTGACCTGGCGATATATAACGTCAGCGGCTCTGCGGCATAGTGTTGAGGACGCGACACCCACCATCATGGACTGTAGACAGGAATAACACCATGGTGACGTCCTTCCAGGCGAACTCCATCACCTCATGACTCTCTGATAACTCTGCATATAGCGTACCCCACGGAATTTGGCTATCATGGCTTAACTTAAGGTCTACAAGATGTGCTGAGACGCTCTCCGCAGCCACCTTCTTCTTAGCCTTTGTCTGTAATTGTATACTGCTTATGGGCCCCTCAACTACCTCAATATTGTGTTCCTCCTCGCCCATTTCCTCCCGTCTTGTCTTGGTTGTTCGAGCTGTTCCGGCAGCCCCAATTCCAAGCTCACGGAGCCGTTCGAATAGCTTCACGCTGGTAAAGAGATTATCCAGCCAAACGACGTGCTTTCCAGGCGGGTATAGGACAGCGTTGGTCACAGGATTGCGCTGTGTTAGCAGGTCCAGGACGACAGCTTGTGTCTTTGTAAAGCCCTCATTAAGGAAGCTCGTGTCAAGGTCTACGGGCCCCTTCTGGTTGCCCTTCGCATGCCATAGCCAATCAAGAACGTAGCCCTGGTTAGCTAGGACCCATATCTTAAAGCCCTCTGGCGTCGGCTTTATTGGTATATTGACAATCTCGCTGGCCCTGCCCATAAAGCGTTGAATCGTCTCATCGATAGCTAGGTGAGGCCCGGGGCTCCAGTATGTGCGGCAGAGTGCTCGCAGGTGCTCTGAGAGCTCATCTACGCGGTCAAAAGTCGACTGGAAGCCATCCTTAGGCACGGGCGAGCATCGAATATAGCGCTCAAGCTGCTCAAACCGGTCCTTTGATATATAGCTCGCCACCTTATGGCGAGCTCCACGGTCTACTAGACCCCAATAGTCCTCAACAGAGGGCTCCACGGTCACTCCCATATGTATCACGACTCCAAAATAGGCGTAGAGCTCGTGCCTCCTTGTAGGTTTCCACTGTCTGGGCCGGCCCTTTGGCGTGAGCTCGGGTGGGTGCGCCTCTGCATACTCGTTTGTCCACTCCACCATCTTATCTATCATTTCGTCGGTGAAGAATAGCTTGAAAATAGCTATAGGATTATGCCGATCAAGACTGGAGGGCACAGCTGCTTCGCCCGGGTCGAAATAGTCGTCGATGCGGAGGGGGGTGAATTGAGGCAGCGGCCAGGGCTTTGGTGGTGGCTTTTTTGACGTTTTTGAACGAGGATCCTTCCATTTCACATAGTCGATGTCATTGGAGGTTCGAGGCATTTTGAAGGATCAATTTGGGTTGATTATTGGCGTGTTTACAGCTGTTTACTATCTACGCTTGTGCCTCTGCGCATACCTCAGTACGGTGTTCCTGCACGGGCCGCCTTGGCGTTGCACATCAACGGGTTAAGGGATAGAGCCCAGATTTGCACTTCACATCGTATTCATTCCATCTTAGTAGGCGATCTTCATGTGGAAGTTCAACGCACTCCCCGATCCCCTCCGTGCGGCAGCCCCACCGCCGAGCTCGTTCAGTAGGAACACGAGCTCTAGCGCGCTTGCAAGGCGCCGGAACCTTAGTATCGTCACGGGTGATACAAGATCACGGTGGTGATGTTGTTTTGAACTCCATGAGGTGCTAGAGAAACTCAACGAGCGACCTAAATACATGGAAATGACAAGAAGCAAACAGCACGTGATCTGAGTGAATGAACTTCTACGTGCCTACAACACCACCCTTCCGTTTACATGCCTTTTCGACATGTCTACATGACCCCGAATTAGGCCTCTGAGAGGTTCTTGCAGCGCTGAAAGTCATGTGTAGCGTGTATAGCTAAGGTGTGCCCACGTGCGGAGCCCAATTATCTGTTGTCTAAAGTGGCTCTAAACAGGCTACTATTGCAACGCTGTGTAGACTCTTCTATCAACTCTATATAAATCTCCTTGTGCTGCTCCTCGCCGCCTTCCTTTACGCAGAGCCGACAGTGGAACGAGTTGCTCAGTCTCGGCTCAGGATGCGCTCACCCCAGCACACCCACAGCTCAGGCTAGAGCATGGGCAGCTCAGTTCCCTAAACTAGAAAGGAAATTGCTTGGATGCACATTGGGATATCGTACTACCTGTTATGCTTGGATCCATCCGAGCTGAGCTTTTCGATCAACTCCAGGGCTGGCATTCGAGTTCCCGCAACAGGCATAGCGCGACACGTACTTTAACTGACACCTCGCCCCGCGTTTACTTTGACCATGGACGATACCTTTGTAATTAATATTATAAATTCAGGTTTCTGTATCCGTCCGCAAATCCTAGATACACAGGATTTCCACTTCTTGTTGTTTCGCTCTTCTTGCTGGCTGCGATTTGTATACCTCGCCCTGGTTGTCACGTCGAGCTCGCGTGAAGCCCAAAGCCTCGCAACGGCGTTAATGACGTGAATACCTCCGAACGACCTCAGCGACTATGATTGCTCATCCAAGCTGTTAACACCTCTCCGAGCTGCAGCAGGCCATCGACTTCACCATGGCATATCTAGCTCCCATCCACCGCCCGAGTAGTATCCGCCATGCGCTCAAGTTGAATTTCTTGAGCGCAGCGGAAGAATGTCTGGTCGTCGCGTAGGCAGTCTTCCAACCCCCAGAGCTTTCACCATTCTAATCATCTATTTTACAGGAAAGCCAACTGCCTCGAGTTCTATTCCCAAAGCCCCGATGGGCTGGTCCTCCAGCATTCGAAAGCCATCTATGGCAAAGTCACCATGCTTCAAAAGCTTCGACAAGCAACCTCAATAACGGACCATCTCTTCGTTGGCACAGACAGACAGATGTACTTTACGTTATCATGGGATCCTACAACGAAACAACTCCAAACCGAGAGGAAATACGTGAGCGTAGCAGACAATGCCGCAAGAGAAGCCCAGACAGGAAACCGATGCCACATCGACCCCACCGGGCGGTTCATAATAATAGAGGTGTATGAAGGAATCATCAATGTAGTGCCGTTGGTTCAAAGAGGCAAGAAAAAGAAGGACGCGGAGATTGCAAACATGGGAGAGCCGCTTCCAACACGAATAGAGGAGCTGTTCGTTCGTTCGTCAGCCTTCCTCCACCCTAGATCACCACGAGATGACAAGCCGAAACTCGCCCTTTTATACGAAGACTCAATGTCCAGAGTAAAAGTGAAGCTTCGGGAGCTTGAATTTGCGAATGCACCCGGCACTGGGGACATGGTCAAGCTTGACGAAATTCAGGAACTACAGGGAGAGCTGGAACTTGGAGCGAGCCACATTATTCCAATATCGGGACCCACATGTAAGTTAGAACTGAAATTTGGGAAGAAAAAAATTGGATCGCTAACAGGTGCTAGTTGGTCTTTTGATATTGGGAGAAACTTCCATTTCTTATTACGACGAGACGTTGAACGAAATACACACCAAACCCCTAGATGACGCCACCATATTCGTAGCCTGGGAGCGTATTGATAATCAGAGATTCGTCCTAGCAGATGACTATGGCAAACTGTACCTGCTAATGCTGGTCGTGGACGAGAACAAAAACGTTGCGGACTGGAAAATGGACGTTATTGGCAAAACCACGCGGGCCTCAGTCCTGGTATATTTGGACGGAGGACAGATTTTCGTTGGCGCTCACCAAGGCGACTCCCAGGTAATCAGGATCTCCGAGAAGTCTCTAGAAGTCATTCAAACATTTGCGAACATTGCACCAATCCTAGACTTTACAGTCATGGACATGGGGAACAGGTCAGGCGAAGGCCAAGCCAACGAATACTCTTCCGGACAAGCACGGATCGTGACTGGTAGCGGTGCTTATCAAGACGGAAGCCTTCGCAGCGTGAGAAGCGGGGTGGGCCTTGAAGACCTGGGCCTGCTGGGCGAAATGAAGAACATATTGAATATCTTCAGTCTGAAGTCTTCCTCAACCGCCGAATCCGTGGATACACTTCTAGTCACATTCGTAGACGAGTCGAGGGCATTCTCCTTCGACTCAAATGGAGAAGTAGAAGAAGTGGACAATTTCAGAAGCCTGGCTCTGTCTGAAAACACGCTTTTAGCCTGCAACTTACCCCAGGATCGGATTCTACAAGTAACTGGATCACATGTCCAAGTTTCGGATCTGGAAGGCGGTATGATCATCGCCGAATGGTCCCCTCCCAACGGTCATCCCATTACTGCTGCCTCTGCAAACGACAAGAGCGTTTTACTTTCTTCTGGAGGCGTACTGCTCTTTGTGCTAGATGTCACCAATGGCATCAGGCCTGCAGCAGGAGAGACTGTTTCAGTGAAGTTCGGAGCCGACACTCAGGTGTCGTGTATCGCCCTTCCAACCATAACTCAGAAGCCAATAGCATTCCTTGGGTTCTGGCAACAGGCAAGAGTTTCCATCGTCGATCTAGTTACCCTCGAACCTATTCATACAGTCACTGTGGCGGAAAACTCAGTCCCACGGTCCATGATTCTCACGACCATCTTTCAAGATCAGCCACCAATTTTGTTCATTGCAATGGCTGACGGAAATGTCGTCACGTACTCGATGAACCCGAACACCTATGAGCTGTCAGGGAAAAAGACTATCGTTCTAGGAACGCAGGAGGCAAACTTTCGGGCCTTACCACGAGGAGATGGTACATTCAACATCTTCGCTACATGTGAGCAGCCTAGCTTGATATATGGGTCTGAGAACCGACTGGTATACTCAGCGGTCACTGCTGAAAAGGCTATTTCTGTCTGTTCATTCGACTCGGAAGCCTATCCTGGTGCAATTGCAATCGCAACCTCGGAAGATCTTAGGATCGCAGTAGTCGATGCAGAGCGAACCACACACGTCCAAACACTACACGTTAACGAGACCGTCCGGCGGATAGCCTACTCGCCAGCTTTGAAAGCGTTCGGCTTGGGAACTATCAAGCGAATACTGAAGAACGGAGTCGAGATAATGCAGAGCCATTTCAAGCTCGCTGACGAAGTACTTTTCAAAGAGCTTGATACGTATCCCCTCAACGAAGACGAACTGGTAGAGAGCATTATGAGGTGTGAGTTAGACGATGGAAGCGGAGGTCTCGTTGAAAGATTTGTCATAGGGACCGCGTATCTTGATGATGAGCAAGACACTTCCCAGCGCGGCCGAATAATCGTCTTGGAAGTAACAGCGGATATCAAACTCAAAGAAGTCGGGGAGCTGTCCCTCAGGGGTGGATGCAGGTGTCTAGCTATGATTCAAGGCAAGATTGTCGCGGCGCTCATCAAGACTGTAAGTATCTATAAAAGCCAAGTCTTATGCTTTCTGACTGATTTGGCTTACAGGTCGTTATCTACGCCTTCGAGTACACGACTCCGAGCAAACCCTTTTTCAACAAAGTTGCCAGCTACCGCACTGCAACCGCTCCGATCGACATCACCGTCACCGGCAACGCAATCGTCATTGCAGACCTCATGAAGAGCGTTTCCGTAGTCGAATACAAACGTGGCGAAGCAGGTCTCCCCGACACCTTGACGGAAATCGCCCGCCACTTCCAGACCACCTGGGGAACGGCCGTCGCCGAAGTCGACGAGAACACGTATCTCGAGAGCGACGCAGAGGGCAACCTCATGGTGCTGAAGCGGGACACAAACGCTGTTACTCTTGATGACAAGCGCAGGCTGCAGGTTACTAGCGAGATGCTACTTGGGGAGCTGGTGAACAGGATCCGCCGCATCAACGTCGCAACGAGTCCAAATGCGTTTGTAATTCCCAGGGCTTTTGTCGCAACTGTAAGTTCCTTCGACACACCCCCTCCACTCTCCCTCTCCCTTGAAATGTCACGTGAGATGGAGCATTGCTAATAATGTATGCCCACAGGTCGAAGGCTCCATCTACCTCTTCGCGCTCATCAACAACCAATACCAGAACCTCCTCATTAGCCTGCAGTCCAACCTCGCCGAGCTGATCCAGAGCCCCGGCGACGTCGAGTTCAACTCCTATCGCGCGTTCAAGAACCATGTCCGCGAGTCGAGCGAGCCGGAGCGATTCGTAGATGGCGAGCTTATTGAGCGGTTCTTGGACTGTAGCCCGGAGGTTCAGGAGAAGGTGGTCGAGGGGCTAGGGGACGTAGAGGAGGTTCGAGCGATGGTTGAATCGCTGAGGAGGTTGCATTAGGCGAAGTCGTGATGCTGTACTGTTTGTGTGTAGACGGGTTGAACATGATGGGGTATGATTAGAGCGACAGCATAGTGGGGTGGGTCGTTGGATCCAGCAGCGATGCTAATTTAAGGAATACAATGCGTTTGATCCAGCGCTGACCACTTCCTGGAAGGCCTGTTTCGGCGGTCATGTTGCAAGTACTTACACTACTAGCTACGCCATTGGTCTTCTAACCATATTGATGTGGGGCGCGCTTTTGGTGTATAGTGTATCAGTTGAAGTATCGTCCAACCTCTCTACGCAATTCTGCCTCTTTTATAATTTTACCAATATTTCTCCCATTACTCCCAAATCCAACAACAAAGGGAGCCCTAACTACAACTTTCACCAATGCTGTTGCGAGATTGCGATAAACTCATGACCAGAGACCCAGCCACTATGCCCAGCGCTCGCGCTATTTCTAATACTTTGAAGCAACGTGCACATTTACGGGACATCGATCTCTCAAAGCTATCCTACAACGCGTGTTTATATCAGATATGCTTCCGGTCTAAGATGGACCATTCAGACCAAAAGCGTGGACTTCACCCCCCTCACCCTCTTTAGTCTCTTGCCAGCTACGCTTTCGGTCGAAGATATAACATTTATACCGCAAGCATGACCACACCAGCGTGCCTAAAGCATGTAGTTGCTTTTCCCTCTTCTTGCACCACGGTTTTAGGCGAGGACGTGCTTAAAAAGACCGAAAAATTTGGTGGGTAGAGAACACAGGTCTCCGGAAAGCGTGGGCTTGCAAAGAACGCATCCTGTGCAAGGATTGATAGATTATGCTGCGTGAAGGATTTTCTGGCAGACGCAGAAAGAAGGGGGCCGGGGGGGGGACATTGGAATTAAGGGGAATAGAAGGACGCAGGGGAGGTTGAGGGGGGTGCAGTAAAAATCAAGTCTTCCATTCGGGTATCTCTGAGCTATAGACAAGAAACAGAGCGTATACACACAGAGTCTGTACAATTATGTACACCAATACCTTAGTCTTTCATCGCTTATAAACACCGATACCATCTGTTAGTAGACCAATTGCGCCTCTAGCAGTGGCCCCCAGAACCAAACATTACTCATTATAATCATATATCATCACGGAGATCCACCCTCTCGGCCTCAGATCCAAGAAATTGCGCCAAATCTTGCAGTCCTACAAAGACTCTCTTTGAAATCCCTGCAAAAGCGCGTCTTTTTCTTCCACATCGCCGACCTCTTCCTCGGCATCTTTTCTCCACTTCTTCAAACCAGCATACGTGCCATGCTTGACAATGTCCTTGGTCTCGCCAACAGTGCCAAACGTGCAATGCTCCACCCGGCCCAACGGGCCGTCTCGCCCCTCGCCGTCCTCGAGTAGGACGCCGAACTTCAGTTTCGTCTTCCGCAGCTCGGCCGGGAAGGGGTCGCCGCCAAGGCACGCACCAACGCTGAGGCGGTCAATGGTCGGATTGCGCGTCGTGACCATGATGCGGCTAAAAAGGGTATCGCTTGCCACGCCGTTCTGGAAGATGGACCAAGCGCCGACGAGGAGGAAAACAAAAGCCACGGCTACGGCGATTGCGTAGCCAATCCAGAGGCCCCGGGCCTGGTAAACAAAAGAGTTGATGCTCCGGGTTTTGGAACACGGCACGCCGTCCGTGGACGCTACTATGAGATGGGGATCGCTGAGGAGAGTGACTATCATGTCTTCGAAAAAAGATTGCGTTTGGTTCATTAAGTCCTTGATCGGGTAGGAAGTGCTAACATCGACCAACCGAGTCTCGGAAATGTCCGATTTGGTGACTTGGAAAGTAGTCTCGCGGCTGATTGTGCCGCGAAGGAAATTACGGACGAGAGACCCCATGGCATGGTATGTGGCCGTGAGTTTGTACAGTTGAACATTGTCGTTGGGGCGTACGAAATTGCTGCTGGGAGTGGCAACGACCTGGCTTGCGTTTCTGGCATTTGGCTGTACAGACGTGTCGACAATTGGCGAAATAAAGGTTCTGTTCATGATTGTTGCTGTTTGAATTGCGTCGGTATAGTTCATAAGGATGGTATAGTTCGTATGATATGCTTCGCCTAGAGCCACGGGGTCAGCTTCACATCCTCGCTAGAAATACAGCACTATGCCAAGTCCATGCACACAAATATGCTACTGCTTGAGCGCCACCCTGGAGGCAAGATACCACCGTCAAGATCAATCCCATTGCCACGAAGCTAGCCAGTCCAGAAGCGGCTCAGATTGCGCTGCCCAGAATTTGACATCGCGCCCAGGATTTTGAAACCGAATAGGGGATGCCTCAAGCAGCGGCAAACAAGTGTGCACAGACTTATTACGGCCTGTCACTGTAATGAGATCTGACGATTGCTTTCTTACATTTGAAGATCTTTGATTCATGTACACCACCCCACTTAGCATAATATTCTGAGGACTTGTCATATAACTTGCTAGTGTTGATGGAGTACCCGATCCAAAGGATAGGCTCCGCTTGGAAAACTCCAAGCAAGGGAGGATAAGGTGGTCCGTTGGCAGGCTCTCCTTTGTCGTTGGTTTCGGTCTGTGGATCGGTGTAATCTCCAACATCTACGTTAGCCATGTAAACATTGTTCCCTTGAGGTGCAAGTGCGGTAAGATTGAATGGGGCTCCCTGGTCATTCAACTGCTGCGCATCGGGATTACTGCTATTCGCTATCTCTTCGCAATTGTAGCCCGGACCTTGGAAATGGATGATATATGTGCAGTTCCAGCCATGATCGCAGTTATTTACCGATGCCTGTGGGTCCTGGACTGGCTTCTGTAAGTATGCTGATGTAATTGAGAGGCGCTTGGAGATTTTGCTAGGTTGATCGTAGTAGTCGAACCAGCCGGGTGCCTTGGCATTGACATCTGTCGTGTTGTAGTATATCAATGAGCTTCCAGGGTACGCGGACTCATTCCGGAAATTAAATCTAGACTCATTTGTAAAGTCCAAGGTGCCTACACCTGGACAGAACGTGGAGTTGTGCAAATCCTTCGGCTCCGACGTCAGGGATCCAGGTGACAGAACCGCAGCTATCGGAATCAACTATTATATAATTAGTATGTAGATTACTCAATAGGAGCATAGTTTTATTACCCAACTGGCGATTGCCATCAAAGTCGCCAATTTCGCGTTCCGAATCATCTCGAAGGAACGAAATTGGGTAGGATCTTCTGTGGCTGAGAAGAGACTGTCGATAGCAGAGATTGTCATCGCCTTCTTACGGAACGTGTGCCATATCCTCTGCCTATAGCTTAGGACGACGGTGCCTACGAGCATAGCTTTGACAAAGAAAGCCAGAGCAGTACCATACCGGACCATCTTCAGCTGATTCTCTGCCGGCTTCCCATTCAGGTGTGTGTAGAAGAGATGGTGCCCCACAGCGCCCATGACACCTGCTACGAATAGAACCAGCATGGTGGCCGGTGTCTGCCAATGTACCCTCCATTCTGCGATTTCCCCAGCTCGTCTATCCATTAATGCTTGCGTATCCGGGTCGTTGGTCTTGACGGGGTTGAGGGTCGAGCCGAACGAGTTCAGTGACGCGCCGAAAGTATGTACAGATGCGCCTCCCACAGACTTCCGGGGAGCGTGTGCCGCGGGAGGTATTGGCGCATATCCAGACGAGCTATCTGCACCGTAATCGGATGGTATGGACACGGCGGATCTTGACCTCCTATCGGTGAGAGGGATGTCTGTTGTAGAGCGGCGCCCTCGAGGTTCTTCGGCGGAGCGACGGGTTTCCCAAGAAGGAGTATGGCTTTGCATCTCAATGGGATCTAGTGGGGGGTCGAATGGGTCGTACTGAGGGGGGAATATATCGGGAGAGCGGGCGGGAGAGGAATACCGCGAGTAGGGGCCCCGTGAAGCCATAGCGGCGGGCGTACAATACAATGCTTAAGTGTTAAGTGTGATATGGGGGCAGCGCCCGGAAAGAGAGGTATCCTTGAAATAGGTTCAGAAACATAGTCGGCCGTAAGATCAATGGACGAAGGAAGAGTGGATCGTGCACAGCCAACAGTTCATAGCCGATCTTTGCGGAGCGAAGGGCGTAGCAGAATGAGTGATGAGAGGACGGGGGCTCTCTGGGCTGTGTCAGCAGCGGCAGGACGTACGTGCTATAGTAGAGGAAGAAGTAGGAGGTTTAGTTAGCTGAGCGGAGAGGTCCCCATTGCAAAAGAGGCGGGCACTGGGGCTGGAGAGCGCCAGCACCCTAGCAAAGCCATAGCTAGCATCTAAAAGCATCTAAATATGCAGGCGGTGGGCGAATGAAGGGCTGGATCGAGGCGCTGGGGGTGAAGCTGAACGGAGGAGCCCAGAACGTCGAAGTGGGTAGGGGTGGATGAGGTGGTTGAAGCCCCCTCAGCCAGCCAAAACCTCCCTAGGGCTGACCGACTCCCATGCGGCAATGCTTCACATTTATCCGCTGTCAGCACTCCTTCGTCTCCCGGGGCCACAGGGACGCGTGGTTTCGACCTTACATGCGATTATTAGGGCGTTATGTGCATCACTTCGGGCTTTATATGCAGTACCTCCCGAATCCCAGCCACCGGGACGGTTTCTTGGGACGCTACGGAGAAGCGTATCTAGGAACTAGTCTGGCTCCATCTATGTGCCTAGGTACAAGCTTGTCCTATGATAGCATACGACAAGTGCTGCCACGGCGAAGAACCTAGGATCAAGTCAAAAAAGAGCCACCGGGAATCATCGACCCCATCTGCCTGAATCCTCTCTGCCTGAATCCTATCTGCTTAAGCGACATCTTACCAATATAGCTGCTAAGCCCTCGTGTGCTTACAGTGTACCGGGGTATCAGTTTGCCTCCCGTCTATTGGCCTGTCCTCACCTCTATACCTCGTAAACGTATGTAGATATTACCCGAACCCCTAAGGTCCAGCTCTCTCTGTAGGGAATCAAAGGCGAGTCAAATCTCAGTTCAGTGACCACATTGCATCTCGTTCAAATCGCCTGATAATTCATCGAACCATCCTCAGAGCGCAATTTATCTACGAGTCCACACCTCCAAGCCTCGCCTACAAGCCACACTGCTCGCCTTACGCAATCTTGATGGTGAGCTTGCCGAAGTGCTTCTGATCCCACATGTGCTGGTACGCCTCCTTCGCCTCCTTGAGCTTAAACACCTTTTCGTCCACCACGGGCTTGATATCATTCGCCTCAATCGCCCTGTTCATATCCTCAAACTGCAGCCGGGATCCTACGAGCACGCCGCGGACGGTGCAGATGTTCGTCAAGCAGTCCAAGAACGTCGGCTGGTCCTTCGACATTCCGCCGAGGAACCCAATGATGGAGATGACTCCATCGATCTTGATGGCATTGAGCGACTGTGCCATCGTTGCCGGTCCGCCGACTTCGATGATATGCGTCACGCCCGCTCCGCCAGGCGTCAGGGTCTTGGCTTTCTCGCCCCAGTTCGGCTCGTCTTTGTAGTTAATGACGTGGTCCGCGCCGAGCTTCTTCAGGGTGTCTGCTTTGGCGCTTGAAGATGTCGTGGCAATGACCGTTGCGCCGGCTGCCTTCGCGAACTGGATAGATCCTGTCAATAGACTGATACAGAAAGGGAGCTAAGCATGACCTACCTGCACTGCAAAGATGCTGACGCCTCCAGTACCTTGAGTCAAGACAATATCTCCCGGTTTTAGCGCCCTGCTTTCGAGCCCATACAGCCCATTCCACGCAGTCAACGCCGCACAGCTGAGCGTGCTCGCCTCTTGCCAATTCAGATTCGAAGGAATATGCACCAGTCCCTGCTCATCGAACGCGCCATACTGGCGAAGCGTGCCATCAATCACACCTCCAAGTCCCGTAGCCACGGATACTTGATCCAGAGAACCAGCAATATGGCCTTGATTGAAGAGCGTCGCAACCTTATCGCCAACCTTGAAGCGGGTCACGTGAGCACCGACCGCTTCGACCGTGCCTGCGCCATCGGAACCCGGCACGACGCCGAAGTCCAGCGGGAACGGGTATTGGCCCTGGCTATCGTCAACCACTTTCCTTGTGGGCGTGCGGGGCCTCTCAGAGATTTCTCCTTCTTACCTTCGGGATGATGAGATCTCGGTAGTTCAAAGAAGCCGCGTGAACTGATGATTATTAGCATCTCTGTTGAGGTTGCCGATATTCCGGATACTTACTCTTGACTAGGACATCTCTATCTCCAATTTTCGGCACGGGAGCACTCTCGTTGAGCTTAAGCGAGTCGAAGCCGTCCTTCCCTTCGACCGTCCATTGCTGCATCGTCTGGGGCGCCATTATGTTCGAAGAAAGGATCTGTACAGTTCAAATAGGAGAATGCGTGTATAAAGGTGAGGTGAGGAAAGGTGAGGTGAGGTGAGGCGAGGTGAGGTTCTTGTATCAAAGTCGTGGCGAGGTTAAGAAAGCGGCAAACCCGGATCTCTTATGTATCCATGACGTTCCATCTTTCCACCCCCAATGCCCCCTGTCCATTTGTAAACCTCCCCTACATTTATAAGCCCTATACTCGCAAGCTAAGTAGCGGGGTACGCAAACGCCAACGCTGTTTCCCTTCACATCTTGTCTAAAGTCGTGGCGAGGTTGAAGAAAGCCGGCAAACCCGGATCTTTTATGTATCCATGACGCGTTACCATCTTTCCACCCCTAATGCCCCTTGTCCATTTGTAAACCTCCCCTATATTTCTAAGCCCAATACTCGCAAGCTAAGTAGCGGGGTACGCAACCGCCAACGCTGTTTCCCTTCACATGTTGTCTAAGGTGGAGCAAGAACCCCCCAACCTACCACTCGTGCGATGGAACGGGCAGATAACCCGGGCTAGCCCACCCACACACCACATTAGAGCGGGGGCATATACCTAGGCAGCTAGGATCTTAGAAGAGCAGCTAGGATCTTGGGATGCTAATAACGGTCCGTAGATAACTGCTGCTGACCGCGGTAGAATTCGTGTATAAAAGAAAAAAAATTGTGCCGAACGAGCATTTAAGACCTTCCGCGGCGCTTGATTCGTTCATGACTGACACGACACCCAATGATCTCCCCATCACCACTATGAACCCAGCGCACGCGTACTGAACAATTCTTGAAAGATTCGAGATTTCGGCCTTACTAACCCTGCAGCAAACCCTCGCTGATCCTGACGTTTTCCAATATCGAGTTCTTCGGATTTGGCTCGGGCGTCATCGGGTCTCACCGACTGGCTTGGCGGCAGCAGCAGCTACTTCGTATATCATTTCTGACAAATGCAATTTTCATGTCAAGGAGAAAGTACAGAGATGATTAATACGAGAGAGCTTCACGGATGCTTTGCAATTCAAAGTCTCGAAGGACCAAGCTCGCCTGCCAAAAACAACGCTTGTGGGATGAGAGCGGTGGAAGCAAGACCCCAAAACGACCAGTCCGGCAATAACATTCATCAAGCAGTAGAACAACATGCAGTCACGATGATCCTCCACTGTGAGGGAGCGCTGGAGGGATTCCGTACCAAATGTATGGAATTTGCAATGCTTTCTATATATACAACGCGCCGGTGCTTTCGTCCGCACGGGTCGTGGATCTATTAGAATGCTGGAAGTTGCACGAAAAGGTCATGAACCATCAACTCGCTATGCCTCATGTTTCCCATTCCGGATTCTAGTCGCATCGTTAGCAAGAAGTCTCTCAAACATGGTGCGAGATGTATGAAGTCACTCACCTTCCGTAGGATTACCACGCCCTCCAAGTTGCTGCTCAAGCTGAGGTACTGCTCGTCCTCCAGCTCCGCCCGCTCCCCGTAAGCCAAGAGCACAGGCGTGCTCTGCGTCTGCCAGCCCGTGATCGTCTTCGGGCGGCCTGCTTGCCCGACAATGTCCACCGCCTGACCAACACGCACGTTGACCGTCAGCGGCTTCAGGTCTTCGTCTAAGGTGATGAGGAATCTTGGGGCCATGGCAGTGACCACAAAGTAGAGGAGGTAGTGCGAGTCGCCGAGAATGAAAGACTTTGCGTCAATCAAGGACACAAGTACGGTCAACAGCCCGGCGGCAGCAACTCTGGACAGCACCTGCCGATCTGTGTGGAAGGGATTTACAGATAGGGTACCTTTGCCCATATGCAACAGACCTTGGGCGATGCGCACCATGAACAGCGCATTGGGATCCCGATGATAGTAGCTGGCTAGCTGTCGGAGGAGTTGTGCTAGACGAGCGTTGTTGGTACCAGCACCGACAAGACCCATGGCGAAGATGGCATTGATGGCAACATCGTTGTCGTTGTCGTGACTGTATCTTGACAGCGTGTCATAAACCTTCATCTGTGGATTGCTAGGGCTAATGAGGCCCATTGCAAGGGGAACCGCTTTCCGGATGTTGGCCTCTCCGTAGTGCATAAGATGTCCAAACGTCCGAAGAACCATTTCCTGGCCAACGTCTTCTCCCATGGCAACCAAAGACAATCCGATGACTGCATAGGACTGTAGCAGTTCATCTCCCTTCTTCTCGTCGCTATCCTCTTCAATGTGGTCATTGCAGATGTGGAGGAGTTGCTGTAGCTTCAACACAGCTCCAGTACCGGCCCAGGCGCAAACTTCGGCCAACACAGATGTTGGCTTGGACATGGGATGATCGATGGCCTTCAGGGTTTCCAAAATGACATCCACTTCCTCTTGCTGTCCGAAGTATAGAAGGGCCAGCCCGAGCGCCATGAACCTAGTCCACTTGTCTTTGAGCTGCTTTGTCCGGTCCTCGTCCAAGAATGTCTGGATGATAGCCTCGGACACATCGCTTTGCGCAGAGCCAACGAAGATCAGACCCAGAGATAGTGCGGCCATGGCAGAGAGCTGCATATCGAGGTTGGTGTCAGTGACAATAGGAAGAAGTCGCTCCAGAAGTTCTTCCTTGTTCGACCCTGCGTAGGCAAGACCCAGACCCATGATCGATGCTACTCGGACGTTGATGTTCTTGTTGGCCAAGTTGGTATCCTCGCCAAGTAGAGCCAGAGCAGGATCTGCGTCCATCCGCACTCCAGAGTTGATTATTCCTGTCGCAAGGAAAGCACCCGCCTTGATATAATCATCATTGTGGTCGGTGTAAGGATCGATCTTATCAAGACCCATCTCAACGTCCCATTGCATGAGCATACCCAAAGAGGCGGCTGTCGACATCATTCCCTCGTCCTTGGTCTTCCACACCCAGCTGTGCTTGTTGTCTTCCGTCAGCATTAATTTGTCGTTACCAAACCCAGCGTTGACGAAGGCGTTAACAAAAGCGCTGGCAAGATTGTGCCTAGCGGAGTCGGTGTTGGTCAGACCTGCAGTCCGACTGCTCTCAAGATGTGTCTTGTAGATGTCATCTGGTGTTTTCGGGTCCAGTATGTTGAGCTCTTTTGCAAGAGCCTTGAAGTGATCCGGCAGCCTCGTGTTGTTTAGGCACTCTTGCAACTCGGGGTCTTCGTCCTCCGAGACATCCAGACCTATCCGTTGGCGTGCAATAAGGAAGGCCATTTGTCGCCGGATGGACTTGTCATCTGTCGAGTTGAAGGCCTCCTCTATTAGCTCTTGGTCGTTGAGACGAATAGCTAGCACTATCGCCTGCGTATACTGCTTATACCTTCGGTATATCTTGTATGCGGTGCGGAGGAATCGGTCGTTGTCAGGATAGGTGAGGAGGGACACCGTGCTGGTGCCATCAGTAATTATCTTAGACCGAGCTGGAAGGAGGGCGCGTACCTGATCATGTATAAACACACCCTGGAGTAGATGTTCTCGTCCAAATGCTGCTCTATTTGCTCAATCATCTCCAACTCGCTGAGGATATCGACCGCATCTGCCTCGGCGTTATGCTTAAGGAAGAAGGGCACCAGAGTTAGAGCAAGATCTGTAACATCGTCTGTGGCCTTGTCATCATTCAAGCGGCTCTGGAATTCCCGGCCAATCTCCAGGGCCAGATGCCGCATGTATTCGTGTCCCCAGGAGTCCAGATCTGTCGAGGGTGCCTGAAGCCTATACTTCAAGCAGTCCAGCCGGTCTTCGTCCGAGTAGGTCATTCCGAGGACAGACAGCATGTCCGCAAATGAAGTCTTGTGTCCCGTCAGTATGTAGACTTGATACTTGCCGTGATGTTCCATACCTTGTTGTCCCCAGCCGGCCATGATTCGTATGCCTTCTCCAACTTCTCGTAGTGCGGCCGTAGAAATTTGAGCGGTTTCGGTACTGCGGTCATCGATGAAGTCGACGTCTTGATGAAGCTCTTGATAGCTTCCAGCGCGGGCTTGTACAGGCTCGTATCCGATTCCTGCATCAAAGTCGAGTAAGTTTCTGTGACCTTGCGAGACATATATGCTCGAGAAACGTACCAGTATTCGCTCGACTAGCATGTCAAGCTCGCTCTTGAGCTGTTGGTCCTCCTCGCTGAGCTCTTCTATGAAACAAATACTCGGTCAGCTCGAGCTGGAGACAAGCCCGAAAGGCCAGCTCTGGGAGCGAACATACCAGCAGGGAGACCGCCTTTCTGTCCATCCTTTATGATCTTGCCGTCTTTGTCCTTTTCTGGGGCGCTCGCTCCATCAACTGTATCTGAGGCTTTCCCCTTGCCCTTGTCCACAGGAGTGGGCTTCTCGTCTTCCTTCGCCATGGCGTACGTGGAGGATGGCTAGGTCGGAGGCGGCGAGCTCGTGAACTGCGTGTAACGCACGGAGATCTGTCCCCAAAGTCGTAGCTCTAGGACGTTTCGGAAACAAATAGCGGACGGCGGAGGGAGGAGAAGGGCGAGTTAGCTGAGGTATGAGCGTCGTAAGTGAGGTTAATGGGTGCTGTTGATGCGCGTAGTTGGAGCTAGGGCTCTGGTAATCCATCGCCGCGCCAAGCCGCTAAGCTCCGAGCTGTGAATTTCCGCGAGTCCACGGGCATCTATGACCGTCTAAACTGCACTGCGACACAGATTTTGAGTGTGGAGACTCAACAGCAGGCATGCTGCAACGGCCTCTCATACAGCACGAGTTCAAGCTTGATGACAAGCTTAAGTGGATTTGGATGCTTGCAAAATGAATACTTCGTCATGAACAACATCACCAACGCAGTAGAACCTGTGTAGAGGTGCGGACCATATCATTCACGACGTGTATCGAAACTAGCTATCCCGCTGATACTTGACCCTAGACCTAGAACCATTTTTGCCGCTTAATGACCTTTCCGCAAATGCCCTCCGACCCTATCCCACATTCGTGAGCTGTCGCTTTTCACATGACGCATTGCTGCAATAGTCTGTAATCCATCCATCTCTCAGAAGGAGACGATCCCAAAGTGTCGAATGAATGAAAAGAAGAAGACCATCAATGATTGCCACTTCTTCCATCCATCGCAACGAAAACAAAACATAAACTCAAGGGGGAAGTGTTGGGTAGAATGAAAACTTTGATGGGTGATTGAAGAAGGGAAAGGAATTAGTGCAAGTTGTGAAAAGAGCTGTGATGATGCAAGGAAATTAAATGCACAGTGGATGGAGTGGATCCTCAAAGCCAGATGTTTGAGTTGAAGTTGTATGCTGGAAAGGCTCCCAAAATGATGCTGCTCCTGAGCCGGGCGGTTGATCATACTGAGATGAAATGAGGTTCGCAAAGGATATCGCTTCGGTGTATCCATGTTGACGGTAAGGGCGATACTTTTGGTTATGAGGACCCGTGGACGTCCGTAGTGCCAAACCAAAGCTGAAAGGATGAGGAGGATGGATGCCGGCAAGTAATGCTGAGCGTCAGGACAAACGTAGCAAATGTAAGCGGCGGATGACGTCGGTGAATCTAGTCGTGGCGGGTAGATCCATGGCTAGAGCTGGAGGCATCTTCGGCGGACGCCTTGACCGGTGTAGCCGGAGTGGTCTTCGCGTCGCCGTCGTGATCCGAGCTGGATCCATCGCCCTCGACCTTGACAATCGACGGAACGCTGGACTGCGACATCGGATGCATCGTGGAGCGCTGCATGCCCAGATTGGAGGTGACGGGAGGCACCCAGGCGCGGACGCGAGGCGGCTGCGGAGCGTAGGATTGTGGGTGTTGACTGGAGAACTTGTTAGCTGTGACATTGCGAAAGCAGCGCAGTCTAACTCACTTCTGCTGAGCTTGAAGGAAGACCTCGAACTCGTTGGCAGCGTCTTGTTCGGTCGCGGAGAGGTGGGAGAATCGCTGCTCAGTCGGGAACATGGTCTGACGAGCGACAGCAACGCCCATATCATATTCGGCGGCCCTGAACTGGCGGCCTGCTGCGGTCTGCTGCTTGAGCAACTTCTGCTCGTGGGTGTCCGAATAGCGGATCTGGATGAGGTGTTCTTCGCCTCCGGGCTTCGACACCGGGGTGTTGTTGAAGTTGCGGATGATCTCCTCACAAATCTCGCGGGTTTCGAAACTATTGGAAGCTTGTCAGTGACGGAACGACTCGATCGAATCCAGATGATGGAGAGGCATACCGAGCGAAGCCAACACCGCGGCCATTGCCGCTGCTGTCACGGAGGATCCTGCTCGAGCAGACCTTGTGGGGAGCAAAGATCGAACCGAGCTCCTACGGAGATGTCAGCAAGCAGTCGTCCAAGTCGGAATGATGAGGGCACATACATGTTCGTTCATGTTGCGTGGGATGTTGGAAACATAGAGGTTCGTGTTGTTCTCATCAGCGAACTTCTTGAGCTTAGCATAGAAAGACTCCTGAAGGCGCTGGTCAGCATGAATGCATGGTTGATAGAGAAGAGAGGAGGCGTACCCTAGCGAAGCTGACTTCGTAGCCCAGGTAGTGGAAGCCGCGGATGCAGTCCTCGGCGTCGGCGAAGTTGTGGTACTTGATGAAGCCGAATCTGAGAAAGCGAGTTAGCGGTGGTCAGGCAAAGAGGAAGAGGGTGACTCACCCTTTGCAAAGATTGGTCTTCAGGTCGATGATAGACTTGGAGCTCTGAATATCGCCAAAACGGGAGCCCCAAGCATGAAGCATCTCGTCGGTGGTCTCTGGCAGAAGGCCTCGAATGTAGACGTTGGTCTCGCCGTTCTTGTTCTCCAAGCTACGGTCCAGAGGCTTCAAGGGAGACTGCGGAGCTGGGATGGCTCGCGGAATTGCCGGCTCCTGTTGAAGGAGGATCATCAGGTGGGGCGGCAGAGTCGTCAAGGGCTGAGCCTTGCCCATCTGAGCCAGAGCATATGAGTGCGACATCTGGGAAGGCGAAGGAGTCGCACTGTGGGTGAAGACGCCACTCGGAGAACGGTCCATGACAGTCGCGCCATTGCGATAGACGCCGTAGCCAGTATAGGGTGTTCCTGGGAGGTCGTTTTCGTTTGAGGAGATCGAGTCACGACGGGGGGTCATCAAGGCTGGCATCTCGCCAGAGGAGACTCGGCTGGCCCAGGTCGGTCCCATGGGGCTGTTCTCAGCCATGGCATGGTGGCCATACTGATAGCTGGCCTGCTGCATGTACGGAGTGTACAGTCCCGGCGAATGAGGCAAACCTGTCTGCTGTTGAGCACCCTGTGGCATAACATTGTACATGCCCGAAAGAACATGTTGATTGGGGATCCATAGACCTTGGTGATGCGCAAGGGGAACACCGCCATACTCGGAAGAAGCGGCGGAGACTTGAGAGCCGTTCTTACTAGCGGCGGAAGAGTTGAAGCTGGAGTGAAGGCTCATGCCGCCCATTCCGTTGGCCAAGGTTGACATGTTGGTGTCGGCCATGTGGTGGGCCATGCCTTGAACACCGCGAGGGAGGTAGCCTGCAGCACCGTGGTTCTGGCTGGCGGCGCTGTAGTGAGTCGGCATTGCCGGGCCCTTGTAAGCAGCGGAGCCGTTGGCGTAGATGTTGCGTCGCTGAGAATCCATCTTGCTCGAATGTAACCTGAGATCGTCGCTCGTCAGCTCTTGCTCAAAACACGCGTGGGCAGGCAGCTCCAGCACTGTGGCGAGGAGAGAACGCGAGGAAGACTCGGGATCGTGCGGAGCTGGATTGGAGGGAATGGAAGAGGGGGCGAAGTGCTGGCGGGAGTTGGAGCAGCAGCGGGCAAAGCTGGTGGAGGAGTGCCAGAGCGGCTGAGCAGGGAAAGAGAAGGGGAACGAACCGTACAGAGATTTGAGGATCGTCTGTAGTGATGTTGTAAGGCGGAAGAGACTGTTGCTGCTTCGAGTGTCAGCTGCGGTGTCCCGCCCAATGTAGTCAGAGCGACGAGCGGGTGACGGAGGGGAAGAGGCCGGGCAGTCCCTCGACTCGCCGGAGTGACGGCTGGGACGGCTGAGGCAGGTGAAGTGACGGACGAGGCCGGGGAAGCGGTGCAGGACGAGATGAGGTGGGAGAGGAGCGGGAACTGACCTTCGCAATAGACTCAACTTTGAGAGCTGGGACAAAGTATGAGGGACAGAAGCAAGCTGCGAGGAAGTCAGTAGCGGGCTCGGCGGTGATGAGCTCGGGATGGTGCAGGCTGACCTCTGGAAAGCTACGAAGAATGTCGGTCTCTGAGCAGATGGTGGAAGAAGGTGGAGAGAAGAGGAGAGGCAGCTCGGCGGGTAGAAGAAGATATGGCCGGCTCGCTTAGGGTGAAGATGTAGAAGGAGCTGCGGAGACGTCAGGTCACAAGTAAACAGACCAGGGCCAGCAACCACCGTCGCCCTCGCCCACTGCAGCGCCCTCTCTCTCCATGACTGCAAGAGTCGCCCTCGAGCACGCCCCGTGAAGCAGCAGCGACAGTCCGCGCGGGGGACGGCAGGCCCGCACCAGATGCACGCACCTTTCGATGTTCTCGTCGCCGTCGACGCTGGGGGTCCCTAATTATACTGACGGAAAGCTGTCTCGATAGCAATGTCCTCGCTGCCCGCGTGCGGTATGTGTGCGTTTCCCAGGCGTCCGTGAAGGGTGAGACGCTGCTCTTATATGCACGGCGCAGCGTTGGGGCGGCCGTCGCGCCAAGGGGGTCGCGCTGCGGGTGAATGCCCAGGGACAGACCGGCTGGGGCAGCTCGTCTTGTGCTCTTGATCACGCCCGCTCTGCTACCGTTTGAGACGCCTCTGCCGTTTTGGAGTCTGGCAGCCGCTTGCCTGCAGCGGCCCAGCGGCAATGCGCTGCCTCGAAGTTTGTCTCGATCGACACGCTGCAGCCCTTGCTATAGGGCTAGGGGAGCCCGCGCTGCCATTGTCTACGCCAACCGCGGCAGGTCTTTCAGGCCGACGTTCAGGGGCTGCCTCTTGAGCATCTGGTCCCGCGTCACGTTAGCCCTACGCAGCTTCTATAAGTCTACGACCTGTCACATACGAGGCCGTGACCTGCCGTGGCAGCCGTCCTATCACGGCAGCGTCGACCTGGATTTGACGTCAATTGAGTTTGCCGGGATGCTTCAGTGTTACATCTACAACGTCCGATTCTTGCAATGGGGATGGGGGCGCGTCACCGCAGACACAGAGTCTGTGCAGAGCTTGAAATAGCCTCGTGGGGTGCAGCAGCAGCGCTTGTGCCCGGAGCCCCATGTTGAAGGTTAATCTACTACATCAGCTATTTGTATACTGGACCAACACTTCCCCACTTCGCCACTACTATACAAGAACCCACACAGCTGGTGCTTTCCATCAGGTGATGGGACAGAATTAAGAACTTACCAGGCTCTCAGCTACACCATCCATTCGCCTTCGCTAGGGGCCACGAACGACTCGACGAGCCATTCCGTTCGCTGCGGCACAGTGCATGAAGCAAGGGCAGATTCCGATGGCCTACAGCTAATGCCCTGGGCGCCCTGTTAATTGGCAAGAAACGTTACGACAATCAGAGACAGCAACTTGTAGGACCACAGTTAGCACAGCACAGATATACAAGAGCGGGAGAGGCAAGAGAGGCAAGAAAGGCAAGAAAGGCAAGAAACGGCCACGCTGTGCGAATCGATTCGAGAACGACAGTAGCTCACGGTGACGGTGGAGGCTGGAGGCAGTTCGCTAACCACGCCTGTCTCTTCTCCGGTCGGCGGCACTGCAGAGAACCGTATCCAGGCGCCGCCCAGGGTAGCGTGCGACGATATTTGGCTCGATAGGGATTCTACTACTGCGCGGGCGTGCTGCGTGGGCGTAATGCCCCGTGATCCGTGTGCTGAGGCGAAACCATGGCGGCGGTCTCGGCAGATGGGTCGCTGCTGAAACAGGGACGGGTAATGTAAACGGGCTTCTAGAAGCTGAAACTTTTTCAATCTGACATGTCGTTTGTGACGGAGACGAGGCGTTGCTGGCGGTGATCGGCTTCGCACTTCCGCGCACGTTGAACGGAGGATTTTCGAATAAATCACACGGAGATGCTGAACCGGGTCATCAGACGGTGGTTGACGGCTTGATGTTGTGGAGCGTTGGCGCCGTGCATCTCCCGCACAGATGCTAGTGCAAACCTGGATGGAGAGACTCAGAGCAGACGCTCCATGGATCGACACCACCTGCGGGTCATCCGAGGCTGTTAAACCGGACCTGCAACCGGGACGCCGGGACGGTCAGCTCAAATTGAACTTCAGGCGCAGATGGGTGTTGCTACGAGGACTGTGTGCAATTGCATTACTGACGAGGCGAGAAAGGCAACGGTATGAGAGACTAGGCCTGCGTGCGCTTTGGCAGACGAATGAGAGGCTACTGCAGGCTCCCACCGATATTCTAGAGTGCATACAGATTAGCAGGGTTCGTGATGCATGTCCAGAGAGCGCGAAGACATCCGTGTGACAGCAGGCCTCGCGGGTATCGGTGGTCGTACAGACAGCCAAGAGAACGATACTGCAGACCGTAAAGCCTCGAGGAGTTTTGTACGAAAGCCGGACGGCGCAGGGGCAGATGTGGACAACGCGCAGAGTGTTGTGTTTATCGGACAGATCACCTGGAGTCGAGGTTGAGTGAGGTCGAATCCCTTTCATTAGTAAGCATGATGTTATGTGCGCAGGGCATAGTCCCAGATATGCTTCCAGGTTGGCGCAGTAACCTTCATTGAATTTCTCTTATCTTCAGGTAGGTCTTATGGAAGGCCTTATCTAGCCAGGCCGAAGTCACAGGATTGGGTATAGGAAGGTTTATCCTGGTTTGGTTTGGTTCTATATATTGAATCGCGCTTAGACAAGAATGCTTATGCTATGCTAGCAGCACCCAGACACCTCTAACAAGACCGTCAAGCTCGTCAAACCACGGGCCAACGCCAGCCGCGGAGCTGAAAGCGGCGAAAAACACAAATGCGAGATAATATGGATAAGAAGCTCATGACCAGACATCTTCCTGGTACTGGTTGGACGCCCTCATTGCCTTCACGATGTCCTCTGCCTTGGACTCTGGAACACCCCGCTGCTTAGAGATGATCTTTGCTAATAGCACGTTGACTTCTCGTGCCATGTTGGCTGCATCACCGCAGACATAGAAGTAGGCCTTTTGCTGGAGGAGCTTGTCTAGCTCCTCGGCGTACTCCTCGATCTTGTGCTGTACGTAGACCTTCTTAGGCCCATCTCTGGAGAAAGCAACATGCAACACAAAGTTTTCCCCCAAGTCTTTTTCGTATTGCTGAAGTGAAAGTTAGAACGGTGTTTCTCGGAGGTTGGATCTTTCGACTTACCTGCCACTCATTTTGATACAAGAAGTCTTCTTCCTTCCTCCGGCATCCGAAGAAGAGCACAGTCTTACCAACGGCTTGGCCAGCGCGAGCCTGGGACGCACGTTCTTGGACGAAAGCCCTGAACGGAGCAACGCCGGTGCCTGGACCGACCATAATGATCGGCTTTGTGGGGTCCGACGGAAGTTTGAAGTTCGAGTGGCGTACATGGACGGGTACGTGAATGCCGTCGTACTTATTTCGCGGTCCAGTAAGAGCGTAGTTCAGGCCATGAGGATCTGGTTCGGCAGCACCGTGCTGTTTCTGTTTCAGAGCGAGGAGATAGTTTGTGGTGACACCCTTGAGGACATGTGGCGAGTTTGGTTTCACCGAGGATTCAACCACGGCTGTGATGGAAATCTTATCCTTTTGCACTAGCGAAGATGAAGAAATGGAGTAAAAGCGGGGTTGAATCTTGATCAAGCCTTCGATCATCAGAGAGAACGGTACCTTTTCCCAGGGTTGTCCGTCTGAAAGTTGTTCGAGAAGCTGAGCAATGTTGAGGCTGCGATCAATTACCTTCTCGTGGAAATAGTCTTTGTCGCCACCAAGCTTTGTCATTTCAGCCTTGGCATCTTCGGTAGGAGCAAAGGCAGAGATCGTCGATACGAATTGACGTGATACAGGAGCGCAGATTTCCATGTGGTAACGGATAGCTGCGTCGTAGGTGGTAGGGGCCGGGAACGGAACCTTGGCAGTAGGGTCCAGGCCCTTGACACCAATGACCATGTGGCGCTTGGATCCAAGACCGAGGATGTTGATGAAACGGTCTACTTCTTTGCCGGCATTGGTTGGCCAAATTGCAATATGATCGCCGGTCGTGTACGACAAGTTGGACCCGGAGATGTCAATTTCCATATGCAAGCAGTTCCGGTCTTTGGCTGTGAAGAGCTCCTGTGATTCGGCGATGGGAGCAATGAAGGGATTGTTGGCGTTGAACGGGCCTTTCTGGTTGCCCTCGAGATGGTTCTTGTTAGGTTCTCCCAAGTAGACCTCATCCTCGTCAGCATCCATATCAGGCTTCTCGGTAATCTCGAAAACTGGCTCGTAGACGGCTTCCCGCTCTTCCAAGCCCATCTTCTCGCAAACAGCGACCCACATGGGCTCTTTCCAAGCCAAAAAGTCTTCCTCCATTGTTCCAGCACCGTCGTCTCCCTCGCCGGCAGTTCCGAATCTCGTGGCGCCCAAGCGGGTGAGGGCTTTGTCGACGTTGCGGACCATGGAATTATAGTGCTCATAGGTGTTGTTGCCCAGACCGAAAGTAACGTACTTCAAGGACGAAAGTGGCTTGTCCTCAGCCGAGACACCCTCACTGAACGAAACATCCTCAGCACTGATGAATTCGTAGAACTCGACGGCATTGTCCGTAGGCTCGCCCTCGCCGTAGGTGGCCAGGACGAATACGGCGAGCTTGTCTTCGGGGAACTGGTCGAGGTTTTCGTAGTCGTAGTCTTCCAGATCAGCGACCATGGTGCTCAGACCGAACCTCGAATGGCCCTCCTTGGCCAATCTCGAGGCATAGTCCTCTGCGGTTCCAGTCTGACTTCCATAGAACACGACGCAGTTCTTGCCACTCTCGTCCAACTTCTCGACGATGTTTCGCGACTTGCCGGACTTGGCGGCGCCGTTCGGCACAGCAACATTGCCGTATGGATCTCCGTACACAGCCCAGTATGTGCCTTTGGTGAAGTATGCGATGGTGCCGATCAGAAGCGCCGCGAGGACGACAATGTCCAAGGTGTCCAGTTGAGCCATATCTGCAGTGCGGCGGTGAGCGAGGGCGAGAGGCGGGGAGAGAGGCGGGGAGAGAGGCGGGATGGGTGATGCTTACTGGAAGGAGTGCGGTCGCGGAACAACAGCAGCGGATGCGCCGGTATATTTAACAAGCGGCTTCGGAGCGCGGAAGTAGGTAGGGAATGCTACGTTGCCTTATCGTTAGCCGGAGACGCTGTCGGGCGACGATGGAGGTGGCCGAGGAGGGTCCCGCCGCAAAATAACGGTGCCGGAAGAGTGCGCGAGCGTGCCGGTGAATGGTCCCTGCGGCGGGCTTGTCTTGTTACAGCGTGCACGAGGGGACAATTGTGCCGGCCGAGCTGAAGTGTCCAGGACTGAGGCTGCACGGAGGATCTGTCGAGGGCGGAATCGACTTCGCACGAGCTACAATACGTATCCTCGGTAGTGTGGGCGCGAGCGACACTGTTCCGTCTTCTGCCTGGTGGCGCCACTAGGTCGACTGCCACCCCAGCGAGTGTGGGGACTAGCCAGCAGTTGTCGTCACGGGTAGCAGCAACGGCTGTCTCAACGAGCTCGGTGTGCGCATGTGCAGCGGCATGGACGGCGGAGTCAGCATCAGCATGCGCTCTGCAAACGCGTCCAGTGGTGGCAGGGAGTAGCACAATGGATGGAGCCAGCTGCGTCGCCCCTTTTCCACCCCGGAATGCACGTAGGGCTGAGCCATGACCGGGCATTGGGAGTCGGCTCCGCACACTGTACCTGGCCCGCATCATTCGACCGTAGAGATTTCCTTTGCCATCTTGGCCTTTGGGCTGGATGGGCCAGCATGGATATGAACATTTCGTCTTACAGGATAGCCCCTGTGCCGCTGCTAGGAGCGATATCTTCGCTGCCCTGGGATTGAGCAATAAAGCCGCAGTCAAGACGGACTGGCCGGAAACCGGGCAGATGGCGGGGTGGGAGGCCCAGCTGGTCTTGGCATCAATCGGCGTGTGGGGAGCTAGCGGGGTGGGTGTCAGATGATCCCTAAACCTTATTATTACGAATCTCGGGGGAATACAAGCATGCAGACATCGCGCCTCCGGGCTTCAGTCGTTCACGCTGGTGTCGAGCCTGGGTCCCTTCGGAATAAAAAAAAAAAGCAACCTGATCGGTTCAGATTAGAGGCGCTCTATCATGATGGGATCATCGCTAACTTAGGTGCCAGAATCATGGACCATCGCCAGGTGTCAGAATCATGGGGAGAACATAGCTCGCAAATATACCACCTAGTGGAAATTTTGGCATGTCAACCCGAACACGAAGTGCTCCTCAGGCCATACGGGCGTAAACAATCACTCTGAGCTCCGCATTTTGATAGGCTGAGCACATGAGGGCGTAAATACAAAGCATCGCGGCCCGTGATAGCGTGTCAGCCCCGCCCATCATTCCCAGTGCCTCCCACAATGCCACCCCCAGTAGTAAGCTCCCAAATCACGCCTCAACGTTAAAAAGACTGCGCTTACCTGCTCTAGACGCCTTCTCCCCACCGTTTCCTGCCACCACGCGAACCGCGCGTTCCCAAACCCTCCGCCCTACGAAATGGCATCCAGGCCCAGCAACAAACTCCAGCTCAAGCGCGTGGATTCGCGCCTATAGCGCACGCAGAACACGTGACTCCAGCGCGCCGCTTTACTTTCGCATCCCGGTCAGCTAGCAATAGCGAGAAATCAGCAGCTGAGCCAACGCAACAAGGCCGGACACAAACACCAAGACCCACACGCAAGCTCAAGCGAGTAGAGAGCATTGATGACGCGTCTCAGGGGACAACAGCTGGCGATTCTGATGAGGAGCAGTACAATGGGGTAGATAAGAACCCTCAAGAAGAAGACGAAGACGAAAACGAGCTCTTGTTCGGTCCATCGCAGCATAAACGGCGACGCCTCTCCCTCGCCCAAGCGTCTATCGAGAACATCATCAACACTCCAACAGCTCACCCTCCCTCAACACCAGCGCTGGCATCCTACCGCTTCCTCCCACAGCGAACACCTGTCCCCGCAGCCGATCCTACAACTCCGGTAGCCGCACGGCCAACCTTCCTCTTACCATCTCATACCTCATCGAGTCCGCCTTCACATCCTCTGCCAGAGGCATTTTCTCCGCAGCGCCGAGGCCAGAAGTATGTTCCTGGTGGGCTAGCAAGCACCGCCCGGAATTGGATCATGGAGGTTGCGCATACCACGAATAGCTCCGCCAAATCTGGCGCTGGGGATGGATACCGGGTCAAGCTACGTGTCTCAGACTTAAGCACAGGGAATGATCCAGCTAGACTCGATAGTGAGCATGTTGTGGAGAATAGTCATGGAGGCATGCTACTCATCCAGGGCGCTCTCGAGCCGGAGCGAGATTATGGGACTGGAACGGAGGCACGAGCGATTCTCGCTAGACATAGTGGGCGGAAGTCTGCTCCTTTGCGAGTAAGGCTTGGTAGTATAGTAGGTATAAGAGCGCCGTGGTGGGACGTGGAGATAAGAGGGAAGAAGTGGATCGTCGTAGCTGACTGGGGCGTGGTCTGAGCATTCTTTTACAACGTCATGCTTTGCTGATTATACTGCGTGAGTTAGATCCCGTTTAGTATGTCTCGAAGATAGGTTCTCATGTCACATTTCGGTTTTCCAATACATGAACAACATGAGGACCATCACGCTGTCAGCTCAGGTATGTGTGCAGACACGACTGTTGTCACAATATTCGCTCTGAATTAGATGAGACTCTCCATACGACTTCCCCAGTTCTCTTTCATTCTTCCTCGCCCTTCTTGACCCTTTTCACGGGCGCCGGCTTATGGGCCGCATCCACTGCATACTTCTCGCGCAACGCATTCTCCTTATCAACAAAATTGGTCACATGATCCGGGACCTTCTTGGCACGGTTGTAAGGTCCAACTTGCGGCTCACCCAGCTTCTCATACACGGGGATAACACCCGTCCAGACAGAGTCCAGCACGTCCTCCCTCTTCATGTCCTTCCTCTCGTCATTCGGCACCCCCTCCCTCACCTTCCCACTCGCGCCCGTAATCGTCAGCTTCAGAATCCGCGTCGACTGCATCTCCGCACCGTCAGGGGGCACGCGCGTGTTCTCATACCGCTCCGGAACCACGGAATTCGTAATCAGCTGCATCGCCCAGAGCTTCTCGTCTGCGTCGTCCACGATGGTCGCGAAGCCCTGTAGTACCGCGGAGCGGTAGTTGTAGTTGTGCGAGTTGGGCGTGAGGGTCAGCACAAAGCCGTCAACTTTGGTTGCGGCGACGCAGAGCGGGAGACCTGGCTCCCCGAGCTTGATGGCCGCGTCGGCGAGGTTCATCAGCCGCGAGCTGACGTAGCCGTGGAGGTAGCATTTCCAGTCTTCGTCTGGGGATCCCGGGAAGAGGCCCATTTGCCCGATCATCGGGAGCACGATGGGCATGGGGGTCGTGGGGTCGGGCACGAAGGAGACGTGGAGCACGGGGGTGCTATTGACGATTGAGTGGATGGTTTCTACATCGTAGGTTGCTGCGGGTGTCTGTTATATTGTAACTCAAGCTAAGCTAGGTCCGTTCGTACCTTGATGTTTGTATCTGTTTACGGTATTGGCTTTCGTCTTGGGGTAGGTGGTTGAATCGGTCGCCATGGTGTGCTAACTACAGATGAGAGATGATTATATGAGACGGAGGGTTTTCGTAAGTGTGTTCTTCCAAGGTGAGAGAGAGACTTCATCACGATAAAAGCTCCAGCTTATGCTTCGTATATCGGGGTCCATGTCCTAGCCTTATCGGCGTTTGCAAGCGCGAGGTGTTCTTGATAGCCAACGGCTCATGCATGCTTCACCAATCACGACATATCACTAGCCCTCCTTAGGAAAGTCGATGCGAGCCTTACCTCCCCTCATTGATCCGTGATCTGAGTGTTGAGGTTTTCAACATTGTATTTTGATTACTATATGACAGCTAGGGCACCACAGACGGCGCTATAATCATGGCAAAACAGCAGTCTATTGTGTTAGGATTGACAGCACATGCATCTCCACTAGCATATCAAGACTGAAATTAGATCACCTTGAATAGGCACGTGATCTGAACATTGAGGTTTTTGATATCGTATTTTTATTGCTCTAGGACAGCTAGACCACCACAGAAGGTGGTATAACAATGGCAAAACAGCAGTCTATTGTGTTAGGAGTTAGAATTAAGAGCACTTGCATCTCTACCAGCATATCAAGACTAAAATTAGATCACCTTGAATTGGCACGTGATCTGAACATTGAGGTTTTTGACATCGTATTTTTATTGCTCTAGGACAGCTGGACCACCATAGACGGTGGTATAACGATGGCAAAACAGCAGTCTATTGCGTTAGTATTAAAAGCACAGGTACCCCCACTACCTAAGTAGTCACAATGAACTTTGGAAGCAAGAACATGATATATGCAAGGACTTACTGGTTTTGAGAGTGAAGATGATTATGCCGATCTATGGTCCGTACCACGAATTTATCCAGCTGAAGGAGCAATCTACCATGGCCTGCTAGAACCTAGAAAATGATTTGTTTTAGACAATGCGACGCGATTATTCCAAGCTTGGCTAATTCGCGCCCAGGTGGCCTATCATATATAGGCAATCTTCTTTATCAAGTTTCTCAGCTACTTCTTTATTCCCACCACCACGAGGTTCCTCGGGCTCATTTTGTAATCAAACACGGGCTCCACCCACGCATGTTGTACTTCCTTTTGCTCCTTCAACCACAGCCATCGATCCACCACGATCACCGCCTCCACGACACCAGCACTGAATGCCATCAGGCTCCACATCACACTAAGCTCCTTCTTTCGCTCAGAGTACCGCTTTTCGTAGTCCAGAATGTTCTCATCGGTCAAACCGTCCATCTTTTCGGAGATGAAGGCAGGGTCAACCGCACAAAATGAGTTTGGCGTGGTGAGCTTTGTCAAAGCTCCGCGCACGTACGAGACAAAGTTTTCGTAGCAGAATCGCCGTAGCGTGCCGATGGTGAGGGGCATTGTGCCGCCATCGGGCCCAATACCAGGTCCAAATCCGTTAGGTGGTGTCCAGTTTACTTTACTGGTATGTCCAGCTGCAGAGGCTGTCCCACCGACAACATCTCCATCATCAACCGGCGCAGATACAACGCCGCGATCAAGGAAGATGCGTTGAAGGAGGGCACGGTAGAAATGACGAGTGAAGAAGAGATCGCTGTCTTCCTTGCCCCAGTTTTGGGGTGCTTGAACTGCCATCATCCTGGAAGTAATGTTGAGTCGGATACCCCTTCCTCCATTGCTGTTCAGGTCGTGGGCAGAATCAGGGGTATGAAGGGGATAATTGACTAGACGCTCTGACATAGGGAATCCGTGAGGATCGAAAGCTGTTGAAGTCGAAACGAGACGAGGATGGCTGGCTCGCAGAGTTGGGAGTTTGTAAGTTGGTGGCCCGAGACGCTCGGTGAGAAGATTGTAGCAGCATCCGACCATAGCAACAGCTGTGACGGAGGGATTGAGAAGGAGAGAGCGGAGTCCATGGTGGACGAGATTGCCGCAGGAGTGCAGTGATATAACCATAAGACTGGGCTCGGTGGACTTTGGGAGGTTTTGCGGATCACTAAGCTGAGCGACCACGCTCGGTTGAGATGAGACTGGCGCACCTTGAACTCGAGATGTATCTATGACCTGTTCCACGACAGGGCGTAGATTACCATCTGATATACGATGCTCTACATACTGAACGCTACCTTGGCCTTCGGTGTAGACTTGTAAAGTGGTGGTCGCGGCCTTCTGCTCAGCCACATCCTTTCCTTCGTCATTATCTTCCGCGGCGGTCGTCGTTGACCGGGATCCATTACTTGAAGGGGTACTGGGAGAGCTCGTACAGTCATCAGAGTCGCATTTCTGGCCTTCGTCGTTGCTGCTCAAGAGACCTGCGCGGTATTCTTTTTTGTTGCGCATTATCAGCGGCTTATCTACTAACTTGGCTAGGACGTCCATGTGTTTTGCACCTTCAATGTTGTGCTGCTTGCTCTCCACTGCTACAATGTGCTTGGAGTAAGGCTCGGCTGCAAGTGCGCGGCCGAGGTAATTCTGCCCCGAACCAAAGTCAACCAGATGAGATATCTCGCGATCACCAGAGCTCGCTATATATGATATCAGTCTATCCACGTAACGTGAAAAGTTGTCGACCTCGTGGACTTTTTTGACCTTCATTCCGACTGCGACATGGCGTGCAATACTGCTCTTCTGCACCGTCAATCCAGAGCTTGGCGGAGGAAATCGCCGGTCCAGAAGATGCGCCCGAACGTCCTTGATGTACTGCAACAGGCCCTGTGGCGGCGGTGCGCCATCACGCCATGCTGAACTCGTAGATGGAATACAGTCCGGTCCTGCGGAACTTTGCTCATCGAATTGCGTGAGATCTTCTCTCATAAAAAGATCCAAAATGTCCACCATACTCCTGCTCTGAAACCAGTCCCTCCATTCTTTTGATAGAAGAGACGAGTAAAGATCCTCAGTTCGTGTGAAGAAGTCCAAGATGTGAACTCCCCCACAGAGTGTTTGAAGCAGCCATGAAGATGTTGCGAAATTCAAAAGCGAGTCCACGTAGGCGTCCACATCGGTAAACTCAGCCGGCAGAGGAAGAGCTTGGTCGGGTCCCATGACGATTTCGGGTTGAATTGTCCAGATCCATATAGAAAGATTTTCAGCTGAAGGGCGAGTAGTGCGAGCGAAGGCGGCAAAGGGTGGATGCTGTTAGTGGCTGGAGCCATCACGTGCTCTTGGCGTGCATCGGCATTAACGGCGCTGCGTCTTCGACCAGGCGTTCATATTCAACGCATGAAGCCACTTGGTATCCTTATACAACACTTTTGATCTGAAGACGTTGTCACAGCCGCGCATTTCCCCTCAAAATGATGTCCACATCGAATGACGACGACCCCTTTCTCCAGGTACAGGCGTAAGCTCAAGTCCTCGCAACACAACGCATGGAATAGCTCTACTAACTGCGCATAGGGATGTCTTGTCTGCCCTCAATACCACACGGCCCTTGTTTGCCTCATACCTCCGCATACGCTCTTCTGCATCCTCGGCACGCTCCCCGGAACTCGTAGAAGCTCGGCATGAGCTTGAACAAACGTTGCAAGACCTCAACACCGACCTCCACGATTTGATCGAGAGCGTCCAGGCCGTCGAGCATGACCCATACCGATTTGGCCTCGAGATCGATGAAGTGGAACGACGGAGGCGCTTGGTCAAGGAGGTCGGGGACGAGGTGGAGAACATGCGGGAGGAACTGCTCAAAACGGTCCACGATGCTCAGAGCAAGGGCAAAGTCGCTGTGAACGGGGACGTGCTACCCGACCCGGACTCTTTCGGCGACCCAGATGAATATGCGGCATTCGAACAAGAGCAACAAATGCAGATGATGCATGAGCAGGATGAGGCTCTCGACGGTGTCTTCCGCACAGTCGGGAACCTTCGTCAACAAGCTGATGATATGGGTCGAGAGCTAGAAGAACAAGGCGAGCTGCTCAACGACGTTGACAATGTTGCCGATCGTGTGGGAGGCAAGCTGCAGACCGGCCTGAAGAAGGTCGGCTGGGTGATCAGGAAGAACGAAGGTTAGTCTTAGCCTCCCGTCCATTGACCGCTGTTGCTAACAATGAGTCTGCCAAATAGACAAGATGTCCAGCTGTTGTATAGGCGTGCTGATATTTGTGTTGATACTACTACTTGTTCTCCTCCTTGTTCTTTGAACTTGCCACAGAGTTCAAGTCCCCAACATACCAACCCAAAACGCGTCTCTTGGGAAGCTCACGATGCGGGGATGTCGAGAAGAATAGACCCAAGTATTCTCGCAAACCTAGATTTGCTTCGATCTATTGGTCCGGAGCCATGCCACATCCTTTGAAGGCTTTGAAAATCGCTCCAGGAAGATTGGACATGGTCTCCCTGCACAGGTCTCTGAGTGGTCGGCTCCAATCATTCGAATCCAGCGACTTTAGCCTCGTTCGGAATGCAAGACATCGCCCTGGCGATACCACTCTGTACAACAGAGAACGCGTACTTCAAAGCCGATTCACTCGGATGCTAGGGATGAGACGCAGGTACACTTTTCAAGAAACCCCATCGGCACGTGGCAGGTCAGTAATTGCGTTGCTAAATTAATCATCGCACGATCGTCTCGTAAAAGTCACAACAGGCTATAAATATAAGAGAAGTGCTATAGTTGACAGCCAACCATTCGCATTCGTTTGGCAATTCTGTTTCGTATGCAGATTTTTCGCGATGTCTTAGAACACCATGATTCTGCAAACGACATGCCTCGCTTCGCCCTTTTGCGTAACGTTCCTTACATCTTCCCCACTGAAATTACCAACCGCGTTGCTGGAATGCATTCAATGCCTTCTTATATTTGCAGGGCCAGCCAGCGTTGACACCATGCCTGAGACGCGGTTGGTCTGAGAATTCGTTCAGGCTCGATTGACCTTCCTACCAGCCCTCTGTCGGAATCTTCGTTGCCAGCCGCTCCTTGCGAATTCCAGTCGCGTTCAACAATCCAGAAGGCAGGTGGAAGTCTACTTGCAGCTTCGCGATGAGCCTCTCTTTGTCTCCTTCCACATCTGCCAGCCTAATCTGTCATCATCTGTCACTCTTGTTCACATCCTGCAAACAATTTGACTTCTTTACTTGACTGAGATACACACACATTCGTTCGATGGCCCGTTCCGAGGGCAGCAGTGGTGGAGCGAGTCAACTACCTAAATCAGAAGCTATAACAATCACGTTCACTCCAGCAAAGCGACAAATTCCGCGGCGCAAAAAGACTTTAATTGCAATCACCGTGTGCCTTAATGTTTTACTTTGGGCATCGGTCTCTGCTCTCATATCTACTTCCTATTTGATCGCCGCCGATCCCGGCGACGTCACCAATCTCCCTTCGGAAATCTTGATCATTACATCAGTAAGTCTTCAATGAAACATCGTGATCGCAGCTAACAGAGTTTACAGTCTCTTGTATCAATAGCCTACATAATGCTTCATTCAGTTGTCGCCCGAAGACAGACATCATGGTCTGAAGCAAGACTACGAAGGTCTGCACTAAGCAAGACCTACCTCGCAATAAGATTAGCTGTGACGCTCGCCGTACTTTGGCTGTGTACCTCTGGTTGGAATATGATCATTGCTGCCAGGCAACCAGTATGTCTTGCTAAGAGCTCATCTCTTCCTGGATGGGCGGCTGGACCTACTTGCCTCGTGGGTCGCATAGCCATTGCGATGTCACTTTTCGCGTTGTAAGCTCAACCGCTCCTCATGAAAAAGTGTCACGCTCTAACACTCAAGAAAGAATTGCTTCATGCGTACTCTTTGGCATACTCGCTATCGCGCGGCGACCATTCGAGGCAACTTTGTTCAGGCATATGTACGCCAAACCCACCGTCTATCCGGCCACCCCTAAGCCTTCGAATCGCCCATCACGAAGCGTATCCTTTTCCTCCAAGTCCTCCCACTCACACTTGTCTGTTCATACTACATCGCTCTCACACCTCTCAAACGCCGATGTGGACACATTAGATCTTGAAGCTGCCTCTCCACTGTCTACCGAGTCGCAGTCCCCAGTACGCTCTATCGGCTCCATCGGCCTCGGCATCTCCATATCCCAAGGCCAACCCCCTCCTTTACCACCTCTTTCCCTCCAAAAGCGATCAAGCTCCCTCACGCCTTCTCGAGCCACATCTCTAATAAGAGTCCCGCGACCAATACACCACCCTTCCACCAGCTACCAACACCTCACCATATCTTGCCCCTCGTCCGTTGTCAGCTTCCACCTCGCTCGAAACTCCTCCGCGCCCCACCTCACAGACCCAGGCTCCATCCTCCTCCCCCTACCCCCAACCATCGCCGACTCCGCCTGGCGCGCCATCCATCCACCCATGCCAGCCGCCTCCCGCTCTTTCTCCCACCTCCCCCTCCCAACCTCCCACCCGCCCAACTTCAGCTACTCAAACCGCTACTCCCGCTCCGTCGTCACCCTCTCGCGCCCCCAGCGCCTCAGCTCCGCCCCCGTCCCCGGTGTCGCGCGCTCGAACCGCAGCTCGCGCAGCGGCCAGAGTGGCAGCGTTAGCGGCAGCGGGACCGGCAGCGACGACTGCCCCTACTTGAGTGCGAGGGAGAGCAGGCGGTCTAGCGCGCCGGACGTCGATCCGTTACACCCGACGCTCAACCCGACGCCGATTCTGCTGCCGCCGTCGGTGGGGAGGAGGAGCAAGGCGTGGCGGCCAAGGCTGGAGGGGCAGGAGGAGGGGTTTGAGGGGTTGCCTGTTAAGATTCCGGTTACGTTCTTGCAGGATCCGGGCAAAGAGGAAAAGAGACTTGGAGATAGGAGCGTGCTCGGGTTTGAGGAGGAGATGAATTTGAGGCTGGGGCTTGAGTTGGGCGTGAGGAAGACGAGGAGTATGAGCCCACTGCGGAGCTCAGAGAGGGTGGGGAGATTGGAGCGGGCGACAACGGTGCAGGTGGGGAGGGATGAGGGGGCGGGAGGGGGCGGGAGGGGTGACGTTGGAGGAGAGGGAGAAGGTAGGGACGGTGGAAAGGAGTTAAGAGGATATCAGGGACTGGGAGGATAGAGAAATCGTACCCAAACTGGGGTTTCTCATTTATAAAGTATAGTAGCCCCAACAGCATTTGGCATTAGGTAGATGAGCTGAATAGACTTTCGATTGCATCAATCATATGATGAAGCTTCGTGCAGATCAGGGACTGGGGGACAGGCGCCATTGAACAATTACCTTACTATCATGAGTTTGAGGACATGCTTTCATTGCTATGTATCCAGAACACTACTGCCAATATCACGCTGGAGGTGTTCCTGAACTTTCAGCACACCCAACCCGTACCCAAATGATACTCCCAAACAGCTAATCTATCCAGAGTTCTCGGTTGTCTGCTTGTCCTGGGCACATTCTACCACGACATCTACGGCCATAGTGCCGGCATCTTGCTTGCTAACCTGTACCGAAACACCCGTCGGCTTCGCACTGCTCTGGATGAAGATACTCGTAGAACCGTCCTTCGAAGCACTCGAAGGGACCATCCTGCTCATTGCCCGGAAAGTAGCTTCATTGGGAGGCGCGACCCTGCTCGCCGGAGGAACTGTATTCTGCTCATCGCCCTCCCGGAACTCGTTCTGCACCGCCACAGACGTCGACTTGACAAGGTTGCTCGAATCAAGACGCAAGGTCTCCTTGACGACAATGGACAACTCATTGATGACGGTGTGGTTGACATCGATCACGCAGTCCACAATTCTGCTCATGATATACTTGCACTCCTGACAATAGAATAGCTCGTCTTGGTTGACCTGTCCGTACTTCTGCAGACACTGCACATGGTAGCGTCCGAAGCGGCAGTACTTGAACGCGCATTCCAATACATTGCCCAAGTCCTCGTTCTCGGAGACGCCGCAGTAGCAGATCTCACCCTCTATCCGGCCCTTGGATTTGGGTAGATCCTCGTAGCGTACTTGTCGGTTGTCTCCCAACTTAGCAGCACGGTCGGAGAGACGATTGAACTCGGTCCACTGGCGCATACGCGGTCCATCGGCGCTGTAGCTATCTTTCTCGAGTTGGAGCTTGTATGGCATGGCTGCGTTCTCGTATTGCCCATATTGGAGCCAGTGGGCGATATCGACTTCGACCATCATCGCGCAGCGGGCGGTTGGGGGGTGCTCCTCAAGGCGCTTCAGAAAAGCGCCAGCTCGGAGACGATTGAATGGACCAGTACTGAAGGTGAAAAATGAACACGATCCGGGTATTATTACGTACACCAGATCCATGAGGGGATCAGTAAGCCCGACGGCGGTCCCGTGGCAGGGGCAGGTTGGGGATTGGGTACAGCTGCATCCAGAGGTTGTTGCTTCTGGAGAAACAGAGGGCTCGGAGAGAGAATCGGGAGCAAAATACTTGGCGTACTTCAGCCAGTCCAGGTGATAAGTTGGAGAAGTAAAGTTAGGACGAACATTAACTTTGAGTGAGGTAGCAGGCTTCGCCGGGTTGGCCTTGGATACGGCTACTTTGGCTTGAGAGACCTTCACTGGGGCCTTGGGTCGAGCCGCTTCAGGTGAAATAGCTTTCGTCGAGGAAGATACTTGGCTAGTTGAAGCCTTCGTCGTGTCACGTACAGTCTCTGCTGTTTGGTCTGCTTGAGGAGCCGGAACGACAGTATCGTCGTTCGGGGCGAGAGCATCTACGAGCTCAGCCGATGCAGCAATATCTGGCAAGTTGCTTACCGCCAGAAGTAGAAGTGACTTAGGAATTGTAGGCAGACTGAGCTCCCTCTCTTTTCCTTCATCTATCGTGGCCTCAGGACTCGAAGACAAGTCAAGAACCTCTGAATCGATCTCGTCTAACTTCGGAGAGCAGTCATGGGATACTGGCAGTGTCTCTGGAGAACCCGGGAAATCGAAACATGACGATGAGTGGTCTCTCATCCGGTCATCTTTTCCGTCTCCATGATCAGAGCAAGCCGTCTCGGAGTAACAATGACTGTCATCTACACCTAAATCCGTCCCAGCTCGCGAAATCTCATGATCGTGGGCAGAATATCGCATATAATCTTCGTGAGACCATTCGAAACCGGGAGGTGGAGGGTGAGCTTCATCGTATGCCGCTTCGATATCTTCAGCCTCGACTTGTTCCTCGACTCGGTCAACCGCTAAGAGTTCTTCCGCATCCTCGACGTGGTCTTCCTCGTCGTCGTCGCTCCGAATCTTCTCCCCAGTCGTCCAGCTGATCACCTGCATTCTTTTAGTGTCGACGTGTGGAAATGGAGGCACAGTAATGGACATACCTCATGTCGCTTTTGCAAAGCCTCGAAGCTCTGACGGTTGACATATCTCAAGAACCCCCCTCGTCTCATTCTGCATTCAAGACCTTCCTTCTTTACCTGAACCAGATCCTCGATGACAAAGGTCTTGAATTCCTTGACAAGGTTCTGAAACGTCCTCATATCTTTCCCTGTCAATCCTCGATTCCGACTGTTCAGCTTGATGAGCTCTGCGATACGGAAGACGTAGTAGATTCTCGTCATCTCTGACTCAAAGTCTACATTTTCGTCTGCATACTGGACCAAATCCTTGACGAGCGACCTCGGCATTCCAGTAATGTAACAATTGGCATTATACCGAAGATTTCTCTCGATCTCCTCAATCTCTTCGTCGTTTGATGGTCCTTCGTCGTAGTCCTTGCCGTCTTGCTTTGGATGCAGGACATTGCCAACGTAGTCAATCTCTTCGCCGGTGAGTACCTTCGGTCTCTCGTCAGCTTTGGCAGCTTTTTTCGCATTCTTCTTATCTCGCTTCTTCACTTTGGTGACTCCGGTGGCGAGCGGTAGATTCTGCTTCAAGACGCGGTCATGGCCTCTTGGGAGGGCGGCAGGGGCTGACGCTAGTGGAGGCGGTATCAGCGAGATATACAGTCCAGAGGCCTCGTAGATGTAGCGAAGAACTTGAGCAATCTCACGATGGCGCTGTAGATGCGCCGTGTTCTGGCTTACGCATGCAGCACATTGGTGGGATCGGCCTTATCACAGTGTCAGCCTAGTGAATGTGTATGAGGGAAGTACAGTAATGAGACAAGGAAGATGTCAAAGGCACAGTCATCTAGAAACATACCGGGCATGAACATGCACTGATGGAAACGTGCACATGGCTCGGCATGGTGGCCGAAACACACTGTTTTTGCTCGGGGACGTGATAACGGTCGCGAACAGACTCCACAATGGTGCTCTAGTACATCTTGTTAGTGGAATAATGAAATAGGGCCGCTTGTTCAGGAATGGCGAGAAGTTTCGCGTCGACCACTACCTGCAAGACGCGCGGTTTCGTGGTGGTGGCGCGACGAGAAGACGCGAGTTGTTTGCTGGAGGGACAAACAAGAGACGAACAAGAACGCGAAGAGACGTGTTTATGTACGTACCGAGGGCCGGGCCTTCCTCCCACTTGAACAAGATACCGTTCGACGGCATTACAGAGATCCTAACTGGGTAGTGGGTTAGTTGACGGTGGATTAATGACGGTGGATTAATGACGGCGACAGCGACGGCGACGGCGACGGTCGTAGGCGTTTGCAAGTGGAAGCCTTGCCCGCCTCGGCAAATATCCGCTCGAGGTTGCAGACGGGTGCCTACAGAAACGTCTAGAAAGCGGGTTGTGGTGTGGAGGTTTAGAGAGCGTTGGAGGCGGAGCAGAGACGCGAGTTCTGGTGAGCAATTTAAGTTAGAGATTGCGCCGGGACATTATCGGAGCAAAGTATCTACGGCTGCCGAAATCATTCCCACGGTTAATGTGTAGTTTCTTGAGTGTTCCAAATAGATTTTTACTGGGGCTTTATGTTAACAAGAATGGCATGGTAGCGAGTCTGCTTCCGCAACGAAAGTGCGGTTAGGGCTCCGCAGCACTGTGAGAGCTCGGTATGCAGAAAAAGAAAAAGTATTATAAATGAACGAAGAGATATGGTTCGTGGAGCGGACTATTGGGGATGGTGTAGCTGTCTAGGCCGTGAGAGGAAACATACACGGAAGCTACTGAGTAATCGGCTACGCAGGAAGGGGCCAACGGCACTCACACAATTGATCTTAACAGCACTAGTCTTAGGGCTTGAATTTTCATTGTACCTGATTTGAGGACATCACGGGAATTCAACGACAGTACACGTCTCATCTTCGATACCCCTTTACCTTTCCACCCTTGCCAAACGAGAGACTCCACATCAACAGTACCAGATCGCGTGAGAGAACTACAGAACGGGCAGAACTTGAAAGCATAATACCATATGCTTTACCTTTCCGTGCATGTCCATCGACACTCGTAGCTGAAGTGCACGTAGTAGTGACATCTAGACTAGATGTCGCGCACGAGGCGAGCACCAGCCCAAGGATAGGGATAGTTACGCTGGTACCAGTTCACGAATGTCTTGCGTCCCGCAATTCGCTATTGAGAGGAGTTAGAAAGCATCATCGTGAGCTTCTCTCGACTTACAGGATGAGTTGCCCAAGATCCTCCAAGGACAACGTTGTAACTGCCGTTGAAGAAGTCGGCTGCGTTGAGTCAGAGGACTGCTAAGTGGGCACAAGAGGTCTAGACGTACCGGTGTAACCTTCGTACGAGCTCATTGGCTCGAAGTCTTCATGTCTCTCCAACACAGAGCTAGTCCATTCCCACACTCCGCCGAAATCACATTGGCCGGCAAGAGTGTTGCCATTCTGGATCACGGGAGTTGGGTGCCAATGCTTGAAGCCAACATTCTTCCCTTCGAGATCGATGAAGAGATCATGCGGTGAGGCGGGGCTAGCGACGGCTGTGATGGAGGAGCCGTTGGACAAACCACGTGATGGTGGCGATTCCTCAACACCGTCGTTGGACATTTGACTACTTCAGGTCAGATATTTTTTTGTAGTTACGCTGGAAAACATACCCATTGACTGCTGGGATCATCTCTCCGTGAGCATTTTGAACTTCTTTAGCCCTCGTACGCTCGACGTATGCATAGATACTGCGGGTTTCCTCTGCCGTCGGAATGCGCCCTCCCATCCATTTAGCGCATCCAGCAAGCTCGTCATACGAAGCCATGACAGGCCAGTCCAAAGCATACTCTAGCTCGATTGCTCCGTATACCGTGCGCACATATTTATCTTTGACGGCATTGGTGCTCCCGTTGACACCATTCGTGTAGCCGTTGGCGCCATTAGTGCCGGTGTTAACACCATTCGAAGTCGGGGTTTGCTGACCCTCATATGGAGTATCGCTCCATGAAGCTGGAATAGTTGTTCTGCCCGTGTTCTGCAAATACTCGAAATATTCGCGGTTCGTGATGGGCCTAGCCTGGGCAGAGAACGAATGGACATGAACAGAGCGACTCGGTTTCTCGTTGTCCCAGCCAAAGTAGCGATCCACGCGAGACTCTCCTTCAGGGTCGTCGAGTCCAAGGGAGATATCAGCTTCCGGAATTGTGAACCATTTGTTTGGGACCTTCTCTGCCAGAGCCTGGCTTGCCAATGCCACAAAATCTGGCTTCCGGGTGTTTGGAGGAGGCGTGGTGTTCTCGCTTTGTAGTAGCATGTACAGTAGAGTCTCGACGTGCATGGCTTCATGCTCAAATGTAAGCCAAAGGCTGCGAGCGACCCGGCCGTCGTGACGAGCTGCTTCGGATTCAGTGATACTGCGGACGCGAGCACGAACAGATTCTTGAAACTTGAGCACGTCCTCCAGTGGCGGCCATGTGTCTGGAACTTCGCTATGCGGATGAACTTGGGTCGGATCGTTGACGTCAGGGTCGATGCCACGCTCGAAGATGTTACGGAAGTATTTCGGCTCGGTGGGAGGGCTATCCGTTGGGCGGGAAAGATGAACGTCCTGGAAAGTCGGGATATGCCCGAGATAGAAGAGGCAGGGATGTCGGAGATCGATCGGCTTGGAGAGGAGATGCTCTTTCGGGATCATGCCCCGGCTAATGGCATCCCAGGTTTTCCAGAGCTCGTCCCATTCTGTTTGGCTGGGAACTGGCCCAGCCGCGTATTTCTTAGGGTTTGTCGGAAACATTATTCGCGGTTTGGAAACAAGGTGGAGCGCTGTGACTTTAAGTTAGCCCGCCCTCCAGAAGAAGTCGCTATGCCGCAAGTGGCGGAGAGTGGGGGAGCAAAGTAAGCGCGAAAGAGCAGGGATGGACCGTGTGAGCTTAGGAATCTGCTGTGCTGCGAGTTGGTCGACGACGACGAGCCAGGAAAGATCACGGGGTGGCAACGTCTCAAAACAAAACATGAAGGGAACCTGGCCAGTGCATGCATATGAAATCAGGTGATAGAATGCGTACCATAATCTCCTCTTTTGGTGGACCAACTGCCTTCTTGAGCGAGCCCTGTGACGTGAAACAAGTTGGACGTCTCATCCGCGGAGTACTTGTGACTTTCCTCGATGCGAATTTTCTCCCCTTTGCGAATCGAGATCCCATTGACTCTGACGTCTCGTACTGGCGATAGAAAAGCTTGGTGGCAGTCGTCAACATTGTTGAATTCTCCGATAACTTTCCAGTCTTCGAGGTTGAAGATGTTGCTTTGTCCGAGGATCCGGTTGGCGTGCACGAGGCCATTCAAGATAAAGCGATGAGTCACTTCTTGCTTATCATTGTACGCATGATACACCCTGCTTGGATCTTTGCAGGCATCTATGCCAATCAGCATGAGGTCACCCTCTTCTAGAGCATCCTGATACCCTTTCAGGAAGGACTTCGCCTCGTCTCGTCTGAAGTTTCCAATGCTGGACCCGAGCCACAGTATCGTCTTAGCCTTGCCTCTGGCGTGCGGAGATTTCAGCCACTCCAATCCGTCATCGTAGGTCCCGTGGAGGCCGAAGCACTTGACATGCTTGTAGCCAGTCGCTGGAATTGCAGAGAAGGTTCTCTTCAACTCGTCAAGATCAAGATCTAGCGCGTAGTACTCGATAGCCTTCTCGAGGCGCTCAATTGCTTGCAACAGGATGTTCACCTTCCGAAGGTTGCTGCACATGCATTAGTACAGATGGCTAACAACGCCGCAATTTCTTCATTGGTTGCGGAGCAGGCTCCTCCTACCCGCTGCCGAGCTCCACGAGGATGGATCCAGGCTGAATGCAATCGGCAATCTGACTCGCATATGTCTCCAACACCTCAATTTCGGAATTCGTCAGGTAGTATTCGTCGAGGTACGTGATCTTCTCGAAGAGGCGCAGGCCGGCCTCATCGTACAGCAAAAGGGTTGGCAAAGTCTTTTGAGCGCCAGATTTGGGGCGAAGACCTTGCTTGATGTCCTCGAGAATGTCAAGCTTCTCGGTATCGCGTCGAATGTCGAGGATCTCGATTTCTTGGGAGTGGTCTGGGTGGGCGGGAGATCTAAGCTTGTTGCGGGAGGATACGTCAACACCAGACACGACACCCCCTGGTAAAGCTGTATCAATGGCCATGGTTGCAAACAATTGCGTGCTTTTTGGGGCGGATCTCTCGGCTGCTCCTCCCTACTTATAAGAAGGCAGTCCGCACTGGAAAGTCCTATAACTCGGGCAGTGTTCGGAAGCAGAAAGTAAGTCTTGGCCCAGTACTACGTCAAGAGAACATCAGAGAGCTATATCTAAGCAAATTAGCCCAACAGGATGCGGGCACAGGCGGTAATCCGGTCGTACCTTTGAACTGATGCTTGCAAAGGGCCAGTCTCCACCACCAGCCCACACTTGGACCATCTGGACGGACGCGGATAGCAGCATCTAGCAGGCATCGGGTGCGGCGGGCCGCCGTGAGCTGCATGGCAAGAGCTGTTGGTGACGTTGATGACTGAAAGGCGTCGACTAACTGCGTTACTGCGCAGGCGGCGTCGGAGGGGGACTCAACAAAGAAACCTTGTGAACGGAGAGCTCCACACCACGGCTGTGCGCCCAATGCAAGGGCAGACAAGGGCAGCTGGCTAGCTTACACGGCCAGAATCTTCGAATAGGCTAAGACGAAGGCATTCGGGGTACATCGTACGGCTTCGACGGCTACTAGAGTGCTAGAGGCGACGCGAACCCTCTCAGTGCATGTTGCGGGGTTGGATGGCGTAGAGGCGCCCAGAAACATGGCACGGCGCATCATGACGGTGCCGAGCTAGACGTAGTCACTGTCGTGCGATCAGACGGCGTACAGCTAGGAGGGAGGACATGTCGTCGGTAAGCAGCCGCGTGTGGCTGCGAGGCGCGTGGAATCGGGACTCGCATCTCGCGGTTGTGAGGTTGTGCTGCCCACCTGGACCCGCCCGACATGCTGCGGTATCGAAGCGGTGGAGAAAGCGCCCGAGTGCATTAAATCTGCCCGTTTTAGAGAGGGGTGTTGCTTTGGGGACTCGAGCGCGCAACAGAAGTGGCGTTGTGAAACTTCTTCCAAGCATCACACCCCGTTGCTTACGGTAATGAAACGGACTAGCCTGCGTGAGCGCGGACCTCAGCTTCATCAGACCTCATGCCTTGGAGCACTCAACACTAAGCTAAGCCATCGCGAGATGACTCAACGCCATCATCGTCCGCTAGAAACGGGGAGAACGGGCAGCACGACGCCACTAAAAGGCCCTGCCGCCACCGTGGATGCACAAGCCCGCCGTTCGCAAAGCTCTGCCTCTTCTGGCAAGATGATTTGGAAACTCGGTCAGCCGCGTCGCCGACTCACTCCTCAGTCGTTCTACTTCTGAAGCTCCGGCGCCATATTTAGGACCCATTTCTGCATTCAGCAATTCTCATCTGGAATCTCCCGCTCTCATCCGCCTTGATTCGTCATCACTCAGCGAGGCTACTTCATCGACTATAAGCATTCTTAGCAATCATGAATCGTGGTGGAGCTCGCCGTTCCGAATGACTACTAGGCATCTACCGCTGTGCGGGCAGCTACTTCAGTGAGCTCCCCACGTCATAGCATCGATCCTGATGCGTTTGCGTTCCAGCCATTTTATGTACCTACATGTCCTGCAGAGAGTAGGAGGTTCGCCAATAGATGGTGGCCGGTGAGATCTCGACAGCTGAGACGTTGAAAATCGTAGGTCGGGGCTTTGTCTTTACCGTTTGCTTCTTCGAACGCGGAAGAGCCTCGTCGCCTTTTCTCATTCGTCTGCCTCATTCCACGAAGCAGGGCTAGGTAGACCTACGCAAGTGCCTCGTATCTGTGAAATCGCACAAGCTGAAGTTTGTCACGTTTAGCACTATTGACTTAGTTACCCCCTTTTCTTTTGTCGGCATTCTACCAAAGAGATCGGCTACGATGTCCACAGCACTTAAATTCTTTGATATTTAAGTTCACTCCTTCCCAGACTGTTCCCTCCCAGTGATGTTCTAGAAGGGTGCGTCTGCCCGATTCACCGCCAAGACAAAGAAAGTTGGACAGAAAGGAATCCTAACCGAAGCTTTGATCCAATGTGTCGGTATCCGCCACTTGGACTGTCAATACACTACCTTGTACCGTCGACGTAAAGCAACAGTTCTTGGTTTTGCTCGATTTCTCGTTGAATGGAGCGTTGCAAATTCTCGTGCCCCCAACTCTGTGGCAAGCGGGAAGTTCATCTAAGCAGCTTGATCCTTTCATTCGTACTAAACTATTCTCTATTCTCTGTTGTTCTACGAACTAGGCTCTTTGTTTGGCGCACGCGGGAGTATACTGCACTTCTCGTACTCCGCACTTCCTTATCCAGGTTCACCACATGGAGTTACTCAAAGGAATTAGAGGGTGGCTTCTCCCGTTTTCCGTCAGTGCGTCAGCTTCTCCCTGGTCATGCTAACAGCACAATATGAGCGGCCCCTTGCTCCAGATTTTTAAGAGGTAAGCCAAGGTATCCTTTGATCAAACCCTGCTCTTAGGGGATATAGATCAGGAAGGTATGTACTGCATGGCGTACACTCTCTACCCGTAACGTCTCTCACCAGATACCGGTCCTAGGCGATGTTCCATTTCCAAGAAACACATCCCGACTTCATCAACGGCTGGATGTCAGCGATCAACATGCAACTTGTGTGGACGCCTGACACGGCAAGACTCCAAAATCAGAAGACCTATCTCGAAGACCTTTTGTCAAAGACGGCCACGACGCTCCACACTCTCCGAGAGAAGCAGACACGCACAGACCGGATTCTGGCCACTGGACCTTCTCCGCGGACTAAGAAAAAGAGGATTATGCAGACACGATGGCGGACGGGCAAGACGATTAAGACATGTGAGAATGAAGAAAGGGTGATATTGGATTGCCTTAAAGTTTGCAACAACAATCTTCAGGCTTTGCAGACTCTGGAAGCATGCAATTATCCTGCATTGAGCGAGCCGAATTTCACACCTCTCTCATGGTACACGAACGCTACTCCAGACACCCCAGGGGTTGACTTATGGAATGGGTTCGGGGACCAATGTTCTCCCTTCCAGAAACAGTCTCAATACATGACAGCTCAGGATGTCGAGGTTGCACCACATCTCACCTACGAAGAAGCGGTGCTCGAAACCCTCCAACCCTCGGCCCACACGCTGGTGCAGTTTCCCGTACCTAGTGCTCGACGACAGGCATTCAGACAGTCCCAACCGTCTCTTTTGAGCCCATTGGCGACGACGTTCCAGCCAGACGAGGAAAAGCATGGCACATCCCCCGTCAAAGACAAGCTCACGCTGGCCGGGCTGCTCTCGTCCAACCGTGTCCGGCAGCTGCGGTCGCTGCCAAAGCGACGATTCTCGGATGCTGCTGTGGGCCACCTTTTCAGATGCCTGTCTCAGCCCAGGTTCGATAAGGAGGTCAAGTATGCCAGCTGGAGCCCTGGACCGAGTTCGGAGAGTACAGATGAAGAGGACACGATTATGGCGATCAGACGGAAGACGCGGCTTCGTTCGACGGCATTCTGACGTGCTGGCTATATCCTACCCGCCCCGGCTTGTACATGATGCACGGTGTTGTGTTTAGCGGCGGGGAAGCGTGAGTTGCAGACAATACCTTGTTATGTATTGTCATAGTATTGAAACCTTCGTTCTGTCCTTGTCGATCTCCTCGAGTCGGAAACGGTCTTTACGGGTTCTCGTACTCAGCTTTCGAAGTCTTGGTTCTGGCGTTGCGACACGGGTGGTTACAGGTAGTACGCCGCAGTAGATCCCAATGCTGTCCCCGTCGTTATGTAACAGTAAAAGCCAAACGCGACGGGCTGCGACTGAGTGATTTATTAGCTGCATGGCACCAACATGGCGTCATTATTGCCTGTGAACATGCCGACGTATGGCGGACCTCTGGGCACGGTATGGGACCGTCGATTGGCCGGCGAGGTCAAAGAGAGGGTTGGCCCCTCCCCAGCAGGGCTTGCTGTGGGGCTCGACAGTTTCGCTTCTCTCTCAACACCACACTCTGCGCCTCCCCTGCACAAGAAAAGCGCTCCATGGCTGCATCGCACCCCAGCGGCTCTCCCTCATTGTACATTCGACCCAGAAGAAAGTGGATCACGCGGCCCGCCTGAGCTTTCCGCCCGAACCGCTCATACCGCCCACGTTGCTCGCTCAAAGCTGTGCGACCCCGACGCCCTTCGCTGGCAGCACACCCACCCCACCCTCGCTTTTCAGCACTCCGCGGTTGCCCTGCTCCCCTCGAGAACACCTCAATTGAACTCGGACGGTCTTGTCATGGCAGACTTCGAGAGCAGACCGGCCGTCGCGGGCAACGAGCTCAGAGAACGCGCCTCGCAGGCCCCTCCGACGACGCACCCACGAGACTCGTCCCAGGACGCGAGAGCGAAGATGCTCGAGCTCAATGCCGCTGACGATACCGAAGGGGACTATCACAAGGGCAAGAGGACATACGGCAGGACCCCCGACGGCGTAGGTGAGTCTCGAGCGTCTCTCCAATCCCAGCACTGCCCAAAGCGACCAGGCAAAGCTCGCATCTCCGCATGTTTTCAGACGGCAAATCTCGAATACCGTGATGGCTGTGCACTTATGCAGCGCGCTGCGCCGTGTCGCTAGCTCCAGCGGAACGGGACGATGCCGTGACCAGACTGACGGGCCTTGACCCAGCGCTGTGTTCTCCTCGCCGAGAACTTGCTTCAGTCATTATCAGCGCTGTTCGCGGAAGATCCTCCCTCACCGTCTACCCCGGCTGTATGCGATTCGCTGACTTGGTGGCTGCTAATGTAGTATTCACTGTTCCACAGACCCATGACATGGTCTCGCAGCTCCTCTCGCCCAGGCAATCAAAGAACAAATCCGATATTGCAGTCCTCCTCATTCTCGCGACCATGGTCTTAACCCTCTACTGGCTGCCGTCCAAGCTCCGGATTCCCGCATTCGCCGTTATTTTCATGTTCTGGCGAGCGTCGTACAATGCTGGAATTGGATACCTGCTTCAGATACAGTCGAATGACCGCAGGCTAGTCACATGGGCTCGGAAGTCAAAAATCTTTGAGCACCCCTCTACCGGCAAAAATCCGCATCCGAAGCTGTATGCGCTTCTAAAGAGCGAGATGGAAACCAAAATCCCCAAGGACTACAACTTTGACGAAGCTCCAATCGAGTACAATACATGGTTGGTATTTAGACGCTTCGTAGACTTGATCCTTATGTGCGACTTCGTTTCTTACTGCCTGTTCGCTCTGGCATGTGCTACTAGACCTGCGGAGGAGGGCGTGGCAATGGCCATCGCTCGTTGGACGGCCGGCATAATACTCTTTCTCTTCAATCTGTGGGTCAAGCTTGATGCACATCGGGTGGTCAAGGACTATGCTTGGTACTGGGGAGACTTCTTCTATCTCGTCGATCAGGATCTCACCTTTGACGGCGTCTTCGAGATGGCGCCCCATCCAATGTACTCTGTTGGCTATGCCGGATACTACGGTATCTCGTTGATGGCAGCCAGTTACAAAGTCCTGTTCATTTCCATCCTCGCCCATGCAGCTCAATTTGCTTTCTTGACCTTTGTTGAGAACCCACATATCGAGAAGACTTATAATACGCCACCGCCCAGGAAGCGCCACGCGGTAGATGCCCAAACGCACGAGGAACGTCCAAGCTCATCACAGTCCAACCAGGGCTTTGCGGACAGCTACCCCTCTATCGAGTCTGTCACTCAACCCTCGCAGATTCACAAGATCATTGGAATACAAAACGTAGACTTTCATCGGCTGATTGACATTGTCGTTGTCCTTTTTCAGTTATATCTCTTCAGTTTCGCCGTCATGACACCATCGACCCGCCTCTATCAGACCTTCTTCGTTGCTAATGCTGTCATCTGGCGACTCTGGTACTCCGTCGGTATTGGTTATATCCTGGACCGTCAATCGAACAAGAAAAGTTGGACTCGGCATTTCATAAAATACGGGGATAGCTCCGCCGAAGCCTGGCGGCAGTGGAAAAGTTTGTACCATCTTAGCATGACCCTGTGTCACACAAGCTTCCTCTGTGCTGCTTGGAAGATGTACGCTTTGCCCCCGAATTGGGAGTACGGCATGGCTCTCCTTCGGCACATAATTGGCGCCGCTATGGCTGCCTTGCAGCTGTGGACCATCATCAGCATCTACGAGTCTCTTGGGGAGTTTGGCTGGTTCTTCGGTGACTTCTTCTTCGATCAATCGCCAAGCAAGCTCACTTATAGTGGCATTTATCGATTTTTAAACAACCCAGAGCGCATCCTGGGATTGGCTGGTGTGTGGGGCATCGCCATCATCACATGGAGCAAGACGGTCTTCTTCCTTGCGCTGCTAAGTCACAGTCTTACGCTTGCTTTTATTCAGCTTGTCGAGCGCCCTCATATGCAGAAACTCTATGGTCAATCCCTTCGGCAGAAATCCGGCCTTTCCAAGAGTATTGACCGATCATTACCCTCCCCGATTCGCCAATGGCGTGGAGGAGTTGATCGAGTGCTCGGGGAAGCGGTCGAATTTGTTGAAGAGCTTCTTGATTCGGCAAGGCCGAAACTGGCTGCTGGTGTTGGCACTTTCGTCAAGGATTCAACTGCGCTCTTTAGGTCATACCCTGCCCGTATTAGCATCACTCGTTTGGCGGAAGACCTTGCCGGTTTTGACCCGAAAGACTACTCGATCAAAATTGAGGGCACACCCGTGTCGGGCATGGTTGAGAAAGACAAGAGCAGCGGCCGTGAGAGTGAAATGGCACGAGCACCTGCTTTACGGACCAGCGAGTTTCGCACTCTCACGTATGAATATGGCGCTCCCATCAAAGTCCGCTGGACAGCGCCGCTCAATCATAGCAAGAAGGACTGGGTTGGGCTGTACATGGTGGCCGACAATGCATCGAGAGATGTAACGCGGGTTGCGTCCAACGGCCGTTGGGTGGCAACGAACCCTAATGTCTACGATTCAGCTAGACCTGCGGAAGGCATTCTGGTCAGTGACAAGCTGATTGTTGGAGGTGAAAGGCCAGATGGCGATATCTCAGACTACTTTTCCGGCGAGATGGTGTTTTCCGGTGACAAGATCTGGTGGACAACGGGCGTCTTTGAATTTAGATACCATCACGATGGGAAACACAATGTCATGGCCATCTCCCTCCCGTTCGAGATACGGATCCCGAGATTTGATGAGGAAGATGCAGAGGTCGATGCCAATGGGCTCATAAGACCAGCTGTGGAAACTACGCTGCTTCCGGTTGTTCAGAACTGTTTTGACCGGGACCCAGAGATTGCACCTAGCAATGTCGATGAGTCTTTCGGAAGCCTCGTTGAGAGGGACGGGAAGTATGCGAAAAGAGTCGTGTTTGCTGTACACCAAATGTGAGTTGTCCCCTCCTGCTAGACGCAAATGGTGTTATTAACGTGCATTAGGTTCGGCATCGAGCTCGCGGCTGAGGTGGTGCAGGCTGACGGGAATGTCAAGAACCTCGCGTGGAGAATATGCAACGCGAAGAAGGTCTTGCAACCGTATAGCATGTCACCATCGAAAGGGAGAGGCACGCCCACAGGTCATGGGTTCTGATACGTTGAAGTCCTACTAACATGGGTTGACATTCTTAGATTGTACTTGTTTTGTATTCGACGAGGACGATCTGGGGACGTCTCCGACTTCTCATCACCATCGGACGACTTCTCACACCTCCATTCCATTACCTTTCGTACCTTCCGAAGTCAACCTTTCCATCTAAGAGCAATGTTGGTTTCCGGGCCTATTTAGATCAAGGAAAACAAGAGTTGCTTCGATTGCCAATCTTTGTCAAAGCACGCATACGTCCTGTTTTTCCTTCTTGGCACCGTTTACACCAGTTCTCAGGATAAGTCAAGACCACCATCGCTATATGGGTAAAAGTACTGCGCTTGCATTTCCGGGAGGTTTGGTAGCATAATTTGGTTTGCAGCATACGGTGGCATTTGGATTGGGGTGCGTGGATATTATAAGGGAAGCCCAATAGCACTTTATCTGCCCAAGGCACGAAGATACTCTCTCATGAGTACCTACATACCAAACAATGCGTGATCTTTATATGCATGCTTTCGAGAAGCTACGAGTTCGTTCGAGACGGTGCTTACTCTCCATGGCACCAATCACGAGCCGGCGTGGTCCCTTAACCTCGGCGCCCATATGACGACGAGTGCATCTTCTAGAATCGCGACTCTCCGCTTCCCCATATCCAACCCACCCCCCCTCGTCCCATCGTGCTTCAGCTCGTGCTTTCTCTGTACGCAGCGCGCCACGTACCTATCTCCATCGCCAGCCTCCTTACTGAACGGACCCCAAAAAACACCCACCTCTGTTGCCACCCATCAACCCTCACCTCACGCCCGCGAACCCTTATCCGCGTGCACCACTCACACTCCACCGCACCATCACAAACTCGTCACAAAAATGGGCAAAGCGCCCTCCCATACCGACGCGCGCGTCCTCCCCCTCATCCCCCTTGCAGCCGGCTCTGTCCTCCTCCCCGGCACGACCCTGCGCATCCCGATCGCGAACCGCGGCGACGTGGCAGCCATCCTTGCGAAGATATATGCCCGAGCCGAGACGGCCGCCAAAGATGCACAGATACTGGTGGGCTGTGTGCCGCTGGGCTCGAGCCTGGTGTCCAAGGACGGCAATCTGCTGATTGAGGGGAAGGGGAAGAGCGGGAAGAGCAACATCGAGCAGGACCCTGTGCTGGCGACAGCGAAGGATGTGTTTGGAGTCGGATGCGTGGGAAAGGTGTCTGGTGTGCAGGGGCGGAGGCAGGGGGAGCTGAGTTTAGTGGTCGAGGGGTTGGAGAGGTTTAGGGTGAAGGAGGTGTTACAAGAGAGGCCGTTCTTCGAAGGAGTTGTCGTCGATGTTGAGGATATAGGTAAGTTGGGTCCATTTCCTTGTTGTCTATGTGTAAAGATGGCGTGGTATATATGGAAACGGTGCTGACTTGAAAACAGTAAATATCTCCAATGCCGAAGTTGCGGAGCTGTTCCAGCATCTCAAGCAGCTCTCCCGAGAGCTCCTTGCCCTCGTCCGACTCTCCTCTATCCTTCCTCGCGCCCCCTCTATCTCGCTCTCCCCAATAGCAGCACGCCGACTGGAGCTGTACATTGCACGCAAGACTATCGACGAAGCAGGATCCCTAGCAGATTTCATGGCCAATGTGGTCGACTGCACACATGAAGAGAGGTTGCGGATACTGGCCTCGTTTGACGTCAAGGAACGGCTCGAGCGCGTTATCGAGGTCTTACAGAAGCAAATTCGAGGGATTCAGGGAAGCACGCGAATCACAGTCACATCGACTGCGACCCCAAGCAGCGGGATGTTTGATATGGACGCCTTGAGAAGACTACAACAAGAGGCAATCCGGAGAAGGTCAGGAGGCGGCGCTCCCGGAAACATGCCGCCTGGGTTCCCCGGGTTTCCAGGTGGTAGGCAAGGTGGCGGAGAGGAAGAGGCGAATGAGCTAGACGAACTCAAGAAGCGTTTGGATGATGCCGGATTGAGTCCCGAGGCAGACAAGGTTGCACAACGGGAGTTGCAACGTCTGCAGAAGATGAACCCAGCACAGGCCGAGTACCAGGTCTGCCGGAACTACCTTGAGAATCTTGCGGAAATCCCGTGGACGAAGATGACTGAAGATAACTTGGACGCGGCGACATTGTCCAAGGCGAAGAAGCAACTCGACGATGATCATTACGGTCTCGACAAGATTAAAAAGAGGCTATTGGAGTACCTAGCCGTGCTTAAGCTGAAGCAGGCTGCGAATGCGGACATAGATGTCCAAATCAAGCAGCTGAGCGATACTGCTAACGTAACACCTGACGCGAAGGAGGAAGAGAAGGAAGAGGTGGAGAAGAAAGAGCCCAAAGTGGTTAGTGATGCCGAGTTGAGGCTCATCGAGAGGAAGCGTATGGTCGACAAATCACCTATTCTCCTGCTTGTTGGTCCACCAGGAACCGGGAAGACAAGTCTTGCAAAGTCTGTTGCAACGGCTTTAGGTCGAAAGTTCCATCGCATCTCCCTCGGTGGTGTTCGAGATGAAGCAGAGATTCGAGGACACCGAAGGACTTATGTGGCTGCCATGCCCGGTCTTCTTGTCAGCGGTCTCAAGAAAGTCGGCGTCGCTAATCCGGTAATTCTTCTGGATGAGATTGACAAGCTGGGTCAAAGCAACTTCCATGGCGACCCAAGTGCAGCCATGTTGGAGGTCTTGGATCCAGAGCAGAACCACACCTTCACAGATCACTACGTCAACATCCCCATCGACCTCAGCAAGGTTCTTTTCATCGCTACAGCCAACTCTCTCGACACCATTCCTCCCCCCCTCCTTGACCGTATGGAAACTATTCAACTCTCCGGCTACACCACCCTCGAAAAACGACACATTGCCACCCGTCACCTTCTCCCCAAACAAATCACCACTAACGGCCTCGCCTCCGACCTCGTCCAACTCACACCCGAGGTTCTAGACAAGATCATCGCCGCCTACACCCGCGAATCCGGTGTACGCAACCTTGAGCGAGAAATCGGCTCCGTCTGCCGCTCCAAAGCCGTCGAGTACGCCAACGCCAAAGACGCAAACTCCCTCCCGACCTACAACCCCACCGTCTCCCTCGACGACCTTGACACCATCCTCGGCATCGAGCGCTTCGCCGAAGAACTCGCCGAGCAGCATGCCCGTCCCGGCGTCGTCACCGGTCTCGTCGCCTACTCCACCGGTGGCCAGGGCAGCATCCTCTTCATCGAGGTCGCCGACATGCCGGGCACCGGGCGCGTACAGCTGACCGGCAAGCTCGGCGATGTGCTCAAGGAGAGTGTCGAGGTCGCACTGACGTGGGTGAAAGCGCACGCGTTTGAGCTCGCGTTGACGCACGCACCTGAAGAGGATATCATGAAGAACCGCAGCATCCACGTGCATTGCCCGTCTGGCGCTATCCCGAAGGACGGGCCGAGTGCAGGGCTCGCGCATACGGTGGCGTTGATTTCGCTGTTCTCGGGGAAGGCGGTGCCGCCGAGCTTGGCGATGACTGGCGAGGTGAGCTTGAGAGGGCGTGTGCTTCCGGTTGGGGGCATCAAGGAGAAGCTGATTGGGGCGTTGCGGGCGGGTGTAGAGAGGGTGTTGCTGCCGGAGGGGAATAGGAAAGATGTCAGGGACTTGCCGACCGAAGTGCTGGAGGGCTTGAGGATCGACCATGTCAGTCATATCTGGGAGGCGTTGAAGTTTGTGTGGCCCGAGTCGAGCTGGCCGGGGGAGAGGAGGTGGGGAGCGGGTGGGTTTGAGAGTAGATTGTAAATTGTGGGATTTGGACGTGGGTGTTTTGGGTTCATAGGAGCTGGATGGGGGATGAGCATGTGGCATGTAATTAGTTTGAGCGCTCTCAATTCAGCTCCTTGATGTTAATATTGACGACTTGTAGCTGGTCCGCTGGCGTCTTGAGATTGAGATTTTCTAGGTTTTGTGTCGACTAATTCTAAGAGATATGCACTTTCCTTACAAGTAAGACTTTTATCACGGATTTCATACACCCCTCTGCAAAACTCCTCAACGTTGGGCCCCTGCCATAATCCCGATCCAGTCTTCTCCACACCACCCCCCTCCCCCCGGATCAATCCACCTCAGAATCGCCCGCACCGCATCATCGCGCGACGGCTCCCTGCCTCCTCTCTGCGCCTCTAGTAGCTCGTGCGGCGCGAGCTCGCAGGACCTATGCCTCTCAAGAGTGCCCGAATGCGGGTGGCCTTGCCGCCCGCGAGCCGCGATGGTATTGGGGCTCGGAAAATACCAGATAGCATACGCGCGGATATGGGGGCGTGTTAGCGAGGAAATTCGCAAGTGGGCGAACTCGCGCGCGCCCAGTCCCTCGGTCTCGGCTTTTCGCGTGAGGCAGACGACGAAGGAAGGCATCGAGCTGCGGGTCGGCGATTGAGGAGGAAGGCGAGGAAGGGTGGGGGGAAGTGGCAGGAAATGCTGCTAGCGTGGCTTTCGGGCCGATGTGGGCGACGGGGAGGAGGCAGAGGGATTTAATGGCGAGTGATTTGCGAGGAGGCCCTGTTGGTGGTTAGTTTGTGCGGAGGCTTTGTGAGCTTGTCTTGTGGTTTTTTTTTCTTTGTTTTAGGAGAATTCAATCTGAACATATCAGACAGCTGTTTTGCTCCTGCCATGGCCAGCAGTCCTCTAAGAAATTTACATGTCAAAAACCTCGCCATGTAGATCAAGAGCCCATTCGAGGCGATCTGACTTTAGCCTCAATATAATAGTGAAGATGCAGGTGCTCTCGATTCTAAAACATTAGACGACTGTTTTGTCATCACCATAGCACCGTTTGTGGCACCCTAACAGTCGTTCAGCAGTCAAGACAAGATGTCAAAAGCCTTAGTATGTATATTAGGATAGATCATGATAGATTCCCGCCATTCTTATTTCTCACCTCGCATGGAGAGATACGAAAGCAAAACACCCAACCGTCCCACCGTCCAGCCTCGACCTCTGACAAGCGAGGGAATGCAGATGCAAATGCAATGATGAAAGACCCATAGCACGGCCTGACGCTAAAATAATAATCGCTAGAACAAAGGAAATCCTACTAAAGGCCATAGTTTGGCGTAAAAGGGGTGCTCAAAAAGCAGTGAATATATATAAAAAAGATATACAGTAGAAAAGAAGTACGTGAAGCAACTGAAGCAACAAATGAAAAGCTCTCGAGAACAGCGACCACCAAGCCCTTGCTGGTCTCTTTCTATGAAGGAGCCAGGGACTTGTAAGAAGGTGCCGACTTCATCATGCTCCCCAGTCAGCGGCGCTGTTTTCTTCCAACTCTCTGTCTTTCTACACTGATAGCATGTGTACGTCGCCATCGGCCTGTGGCCGGGCGGGGAAGCTGTTCTTGCGTCCCTTTGCTGCGAGACCCATGCCCATCTCGCGCATTCTTTCGGCACCGCGCCCAGGCGCTGGACGCTTCTCTTTCTCTTTGATTGTTTTGCGATGCAGCTTTTGATACAGCTTTTCCCTCCGTCGGAGTCGCTTGCGCTCGAGGCCGAGCTTGATATCAATTGCACCACGAGTAGGAAACTCGTTGGTGTTGTCCTCGTCATCGTCAAAGAGCTGAGGGGGTTTGGCTGTGGCGGGGGTCCGTGGGAGAGAAGAGGATTCAGTGATAGGAGGTCGTTCCGCGAGTCCAGTGAATCGGACTGCCATGCGGTTTGGTGACGTGATGAGAGATGTGCGGCGAGTAGGTGGAGGGGACCGGAGGCGCAATGGCGCAGGAGGAGAGCGAAGACGCTTAGGGGAGTGATTAAAGAGTTTACGAGGAGGCGGGGACCTGCATCGTTTCATGGGCGGTGGTGACCGGAGGCGTTTTGGTGATTGAGCCGGAGATCGCTTCTTAGGCTGAGTTTTGCGACGACCGCGAAGCTCGTTCTCTTCCTCTGCATCCATCTGGCCATGCACCATGAGATGCTGGTCGCTCTCATCTTCGGCCTCCTCCAGCTCTTCGTTTTCATCTTCCTCTTCCATCTCAGGATCGGATTGCGGAAAGGTTGGATCGATATCTTGAGGGCACGCTTTGTGCTTTGCTGCGCGGCGCCGTTCAAGACACGACATATAGGCATCCTCCAAGGGCCGGTCCTCGTCGAGCGTTCCGCAAACAAAGTCGGTGCTATCGGGCAGTTCTGGGCTCGGTGCTCGGATGGCGAGAGGGTGAGAAGATTTCCTGCGCTTTGATGGCTTGGTAACCGCAGTCTGTTTCTCAGAGCTCGATGCGCTGTCAATTGACCCAATCGAAGACTCTGAAACAGTCCTGTGCCCGACTGGTCGGATGTGCTCAATATGGTCCATCGAAGTTGCTGCAGTCGACTGTCCAGGAGCCCACCAACGATAGTCAGATCCATTATCGCTCTCTTCACCCGACCCGTATCCCTTTTCATCATCTGAGTGAAATCCGTCGTCTGAAACCGAATCGTAGCTAGCTCCTTCCTCTTCATCGTCATCATCGTTATCTCCATCTTCGTCGTCCTGCATGTCTTCCTCGTCTTCGTCCTCTAACACTTCCTCTTCAATCTCCTCGCCAAGCTGTCGGAGAGTGTTTTCAACTTTGAGAGTGTCGTGGACAGTGAGACGAGTCCGATGGCAGGTAGACTCCTGTGTCCATTCATCTGCCTCGTCTTCGGAACTAGCAAATTCGTGGAAACGGAAAGCTTCAGACTTTGCAAGGTCTGAATTGAGGCTCAGCTTACGCTGCCTTGAGGCTAAGTGGGGTTTGCGGAGACTTCGAGGTGATTCATTTCGGACGGTCGAGTCAGAATCACGGTGTGATTTCGGGGACGTTGTTTTTGGGGATTCTTTGAGTCTCCGGGGCATCGGGGCCGGACTCACATGCCGAGTACGAGGCTTCGGGCTGTTCGTGGGAGCTTGGGTGAAAACTTTAGAAGGGCATGCAAATTTGATAGTGCAGACTCGCTTGGGAGCTTCTGGCGCTGCCTGCACGGGAGCTGGCGTCGGTTGCACCTTTGGGGTGTCTTTCCGCCCACACGCAAAGGTGATGCAGCGCTTGCGACCTAGATTTGCTTCCACGAGGTTCTCAGTCAAGGCGGATATAGGCTTCTGAAGTGGCCCGATGTGTTCTTCATCGTGGCGAACGATGGAGACGTGTTGTTCGAATGGTTTCTGTTTGAAGACTGGGCCCATCCTGTGGAAAGAGCCCGATGGAAGTGGGGGACTTGGTGTGCTTGTCCTCGTTCCTGGACTAGTGCAACCTCCATCGCTTGTGAGCTCTGCGGTTGATGCAGCGCTCCGGTCACTCCACGTCGATGCGGACGACAATCCTCGCGAAAAGGTGGTTTCTGGAGCGTCTTCCACGACAGGTGATTGTGCCGAGTTCAAAGCACTTGTTAAGAGTGACTCCTTGCGCTGGTTAGGTGGAGGTGTCGTTTTCGAAAAGGTACTCGTAGGGATTCTAGACGCGAAGGGACGAGGGGTGTTTTGTAGGTCGGGAGGTTCGTCGGCTTCGGCCAGAATCTCCTCGTCGGAAGAGGTAGAGGCCATTGTCGTTGGCAGGTTCTGGAGGGCACGGTTCTCTTGCGCACCGTGCAGCCGATGGTGGTCCTGGTGTAGTGCCATTACTAGGGCACGGTTAGGCGAAAGGAGGGAAAAGATGCTGTTGATGGCGGCCGTCTATTAAGCAGGTGGTGCAGTGACGGAGTAGTCGCAATACGAATGGTAGATATGTAGCCAAGTGGACGAAGACGTAATGCGTCCTCGCCGGATAGCAGTAGTCAGAGGATTCTTGGACGTGTGATCAATGTCTGGGCGTGTTCAAAGAGTGGCAGTGAATCGGAAACACGTAGGATGGAGTAGGATGGTGTTGGACGAGCGGATATGCGGCGTCGGCGTGTGGGTGGAGGAGTGTCCCTAGGGACCGACGTGTTATAATATGGTCAGAGACATGGCGGAGGATTAGGAGCGTTGCTGAAACGGCATTCGAGGATGCGCTGCAGTGGAGTTTAGTCGGGCTCTTGGCTTCCTGAGCAATAGGAAGGAAGTACCTTGCGGGCTGCGGCAATGGGTGGTGATGCGCTACGGACGAGTGGCAAGGCCTTGGCTGCACCACACACGTCGACGGGGACGCGCAAGAGGCGTTCGGGAGTGGGCGGACGCGGTGGTCTGCTGCGCGCGACACGCACAACGGCGAGGGCTCAGAGGAGGAGTTGTGTTGGTGTGGGCGGCAGAGATTTTGGCACTGACTGTGGGCGCTGGACGGGGCGCGCTTGGAGGCGGTGGGTGGGGCCTTTGTAATGGTGACAGAAACGCTGGAGCAGCTGCGAGCCCTGGGAGAGCGCCGGCGGGTAAGCCGAGCCAGGAATGCAGCCTTCAAGCGCGTGGCCTCAGTAATTTTCGGGTGCACACCGCAGATGAGGATCTCCCGCGCACAGAGGCAATACGCGATAAATAGGGCCAGCGAGCTGGGCACTCTGGGCGCCGCGGCTTGTTCTGGAGGGCACCGCCGGCTGACCACAGCTTGACGCTGTTCTTGTCATCCTTCTTTGATGCGCAGCACATTCCTTTCACCTCTCGCGCCCCGAGCAAAACTCGGCCATTTGTTGCCCCCCGTTTGGTCAGCGCCCAGTAGTCCGTTTCCAGCCTGTTCGGTACGCTGCTGCTGCTGACTATGCCCTCGGCCGCACTGCCGGTATCGAGCTGGAATCCTGCTTCGGCTCCTCACGTCACTCTGTCAGGGCTCTCCCACACCGTCAAGACCCTGATAGACAACCCGGAGAGACATGCCGGACCGCACTGGCAGAGCATGAAGCAGCTCCCAGCTCCCGAGGCACGCGGCCTCTGCCCGTCGTGATGCCCGTCTCCCTCCGGCCGCTGCAACGCCAGCTCGAGCGCCGCTGCTGCAACGATAAGAAAGCGAGGCCAACCACTTCAGCCCGCGTCCAGAAGCGGCAGCTGGACGCCGGTCCACACGATCCCCTTGTACAGCTGCCCCCGCGCAGCTTTTGATATATGCGCGCCAGCTGCGCGTCGCCGCACTCAAGCCTCAGTTGCATGAAGACCATGGCGATTTGCAACCATGGGCCGTTTGCGTGTCTCACCAGCTGCAGGGCAATCTGTCGCCTCCCAGTCCCCTCATGTCTTGACGGTTTGCTCTTCTGTGTGCAGAGAGTGCCGGAGCTCGCGCTGTGGACCTTCGCGTCGCCCTTCCCTCTCCGCCTCACACCGCTCCTTATGTCGCTCACGACAGATGCAGCCCGTCTTCTGGCCCCTCTACGGACGCTGTCATCTGACAGCCACACGAAGGCGCCATCCCTCGACGCCATCGCTGCCGCCCGCCATTTTCATCCCGCCGGTGCCCTAGCCGTTGTTTCGTCGCTGTCCATCTCTCCACATGTGCGCGATTCATGCTTCACCCGAGTGCCAGGGCTGCTTCACTCGCTCCCAGCGCACTCAGCGACCCTAGCGCCCTAATTCCCCAGCTCAGAAGCGCCGCAACCGGCAAATCGTGGGCCACTCCTTGCAAGTGCGGGGAACTCTCTGCATCGCACCACTGCCCCGCCAAATGTTTGGTGTTTGGAGGGCCCTTTGTTCCGAACCTCTTACGAGCTTTTGTTCTTTCTCGAAGTGCGCTGATGGCCTGATTTGCCTTTCCATTTTTTCTTCTTCTTCCGCGGCGCGCCGCGTTCCGCACCAAGAGGCCAACGCAGACGTCGTGACAGATAATACGCCGGGAATAACCACTCGGCACCTGCTAGCACGAGGCCAGCATGTGTTGTTCCATCTGTCGGTGAAGTGGCAGCTAAGTGCCTCCGAGATCTGTCCGACACCTTTGGCCCTGGTGGTATCCTTCTACGATGACGTCGTTGAGCGTGACTAGAGGTACGGACTACGGAAGACGGAACGGTCCCGACGACTATTCCGGCTGCCAAGTCACGGTCTGCGCTGCAAAATGCTTGGGGGCACCAAGGTAGGTGGTGAGGCTGCGATGCTGGTCTGTATAGAAAGCTACTCGTCAATTTAATTGCTGCTTCAATCTTTCGCGGATATATCAGTGTTACACAGCTTCGTCAGCAACATCTGCATCCGTAAATAGCTTCATTCCTCGTTCTTGGTATCTACTATTTTGTCGGACACCGAGTATAAGAGCACAGAGCAAGCCTCAAATTCTCTCTTAACATCTCCATCTTGGCTCTTGGCTTGCACTGTGACGCCGAAACGGCACGCTCCGGTCCCGTCGCGGCTCCGCTCGGTCTTTCGCCGCCAAGCGTGCCAGGAACCAACTGCAGACGTCGAAAGAAAGACATGTGGTCGAGCCAAGACGTTTAGCAGTCTGCCGTGCATCTACAACACCGTTTCCTCGTGCTACAGACCAAGAGACCCCCTTATGGCTCAGCGGCTCCGGAAGCACGGGTGCGACGGAGCCAAGACATTGCCTAGACATTCCGCTGATCTTAAGAAGAACCTTGCGTGAGAATTGTTCGAATCGGCCGCGGGTAGTGCCGTGATTGTGAGATGCAGCATGTGTGCGTTATGGACTTAGCGAAAGCATCAACAACTCATCTTCTAGACACCAGCGATTGTGAGTCCGCTTTCTCTACCACAGCGTATCACTGTATGCTTGGCACGATGAGGCAGTGCACTGTCTTACCTTCCTGTCACGCTGTGTTTCTGCTCCTGAATCTGCCGATCGACGGATTCGTATCTTGCTTGCGCGTCGTCGCGCCCTCATCACGTCGTGTATCAAGTCCACGCTGGGCATGTCTTGGCGTCCCAGATAGGTGCGCAGGAGGGTTGCCGGCAGCGCAATACGACGCGTAAGTTCCGGACAGTGCGATTTGAGGAGATTTGGATAGCGTGAGGGAAGATCCAAGGTCGCTATGGTCTCGGTCTTCCTTGCCCACAATCTCACGCCGAAGGCAAATCTAGGACGGTGAAAGGCTTTGAAAATGACTCTCCTTAGCTCTAGTCGTATGCTCAGCCTACAAGATTGCCCAATCCGGTCTAATTGTCCATTTCCGCTGCCAACACGCCTTCCACTTCTTCAAGCAAAACTCTCCACATAATACGAAATTGACAAATCCGCCACGGTAAAACGTGTCGCATACCTTTCTTCTGTCAATCTGCCGAGTCAAGGTGACCAGGGAGGGCATTGTTGAATTTACATGAATTAATTTAGATCGCGACTGCGAAGCTCTCTGGCTTCCACGCTTTTGAGGTCGGAGGCTTCAGATGAAACCGAAAGAGGAAAGCGTGGAGGGAGGGGCCTCGAGGTAAGCGAGGTTCCGGGTGCAGGAGATATCGCTGGAAGTCTAGGTCTGTGTAGGCTGTGAATTGTATCATATCTTTTGCTTATTCTCTTTTGTCACATTCTCTAGCAGTTCAGGCAGCAGCTTTCAAATGGACAACATGTACATACAGTCTCGTCTCGGTCGATATCACCACGTTGCAAGATGGCTGTAGCATCTAGGCTGCAACGTTTCGCGGCACAGTATAACTTCATGATCCTTCAACCGCCCTAGGTCTCCAAATTTCGCTGCAAATTCCTACCCAAATATTCCAAAATGTGGTTCTTAAATTGGTGTACGTGGGCCCAGACTATTCGTTGAGTTTCCAATATATGCAACCTCTTTCCACCCCCTCCACTCTAAGCAACGCATCATCCCCATTTCGTGTTTCTCCAGATTTCAAATTACTCAAGATGATCCTACGAAGGTTTCAAGTACCCCGTTGACTTGTTTTGTGGTTCTAGTCTGGGATGCGCTCGCTAGCCTAGGGCTATGGAATAGACACGCCGTACGTTTGCATTATCGCGCTCATCAAACTATATTTTATCCAGCCCAGACTCTAGTATAACCCTTCTAGTGTAATTGGATTTGGGAATGGAGCTGTAAGACGAAGCTCGTGCTAATTGCTAGTCGATACTTAGAAAATCTTGTTCCTAGGCCTTGATAATGCTGGGAAGACGACGCTCTTCCATATGTTGAAGGTAAAGCCCTCTATCAAGGCTCTTTCTAGGAGCGACAAGTTTCGTGAATTCTGTATGCAAGCTAACGGTCACCAGACTGATCGACTGTACGTGTCCCTACAAATCAGCGACCCTTACTCCGTCCACACGCCTTAGACACCGTAAAAGTGCTAGAGCTGCGCCCCGTCCTTTCGAACCCAATCCATCCGCTAGAACTACTTCGTAATGCGATGCTTGACCGAATCCCTCGCTAATCCATCACCCGTACGCTACAGAGCAATCCACCAGCCAACCTCACAGCCCAGTGAGCCCATCCTCCGCATCTCTCCAAACACTCACCAATCCAATCAGACAACGAAGAACTCCGCATCGGCAACTGTGTCTTCAAGGCCTTCGACCTCGGCGGTGCGCTCCCTTTCCCTCCCACCGCATCCCTCTCCACATCACTAAAAGAACCACAGGCCACACCCAAGCGCGGCGGATCTGGAAATATGTGCGACACTCCCGTTCATCGGATGCTCGAACAAGTGACTTTCGTCCTGCTAACTAGAAAGCGAAACGTAGTATTTCCCCGACGTCTCCGGTATACCCACCGACGTAGTACGCATTTTTGATAGATAACCGATTTTGACGTGGACAGGCATCGTCTTCCTCGTCGACGCAGTCGACCGCGCGCGCTTTGAGGAGAGCGGGGAGACGCTTGACAGCCGTTTGTTCTCCTATCCCACGTCTCGAGTTCTCTCTTAGCTGACTGGGGTCGTAGTCCTGACGACGCAAGAGCTTTCGCATGTCCCGGTTCTGGTCCTGGGGAACAAGATCGATGGTATGTCGCTTCCACCTTCGCGGAATGTACGGTCCTGTGGCATAAGTTTGGACACACTCTCTTACCACTTGCTTGGGATACCCCTCTAAGCTTTCAAAACTCCCCAACACAATGTTAATAACGATGGAGTGGAGATTGGGTGGTCTTTTGACTGGCCGGCTGCATGCTAGCTGAGCTATTTCTTACAGTGGTGTCGAGCGATCAAGAGTGGAACCCGTGCAGTGGCATATCCGAGTGCCCAAACTTGTGACCTAGTGCTGTATGTGAAGGAGTTAGCTGATAAAGGGTAGTTCCGGGCGCGGTATCCGAGCCACAGCTTGTAAGTCCAGTGCCTAGCTTTATCTGTGTTTCGAGTGTCGGGTATTGATATTGCATAGCGCGATGAGCTGAAGCTCTCGTATACGACAGGCAAAGCGGGGATTCCGCTTGCTGGGACGAGGCCGGTTGAGGTGTTTAGTAAGTCGTAGACATGAACAAGGGGAGTGAGAAGGGGTCATGCTGAGTTACTGTAGTGTGTAGTATCGTCCTCCGGCAGGGCTTTGGGGAGGGGATCAGGTGGCTGTAAGTTCGTTTAACACGGTTGATGGGATGCGTGCTTACTCCTTGTAGGTCACAGTACGTATGAGTGCCAGCGTTTGGGATGCTGAGAAATGCCGGTGTTATTTTGTGGACTGCGAGAGCACCACAGACGGCGCCACAGTGACGACAAACAACGTCCTGATGCGGTAGGATCGAGAGCACATGGAATTTTACTATCATATTAAGACCAATGTTAGAACACGCTGAATGGACACTTGATCTATATTGTCTTGATCGCTAAATGACTGCTAGAGCACCACAGATGGCGCTACAGTGATGTCAAAACAGCAGTCTAATGCTTTAGGATCGAGAGCTCATGCATCTTCACTATTATATCAAGGCCGCAATCATATCACCTTGAATGGGTACTTGTTTATTCTGATATCATGCGCAGTCCTTCTGCTATCATTCTGTGTTAGATTGCCTCAATCCTCGCAGGTTCATATAGGACCCCGGCCAGTTAAGAGGCTCGGCCTATTCACCGAAAGGTTTTCGCTTGAGTCTTCCTTATACTTTGCTCTTCTATTTCCCACGGACTAGAAGGAGTACGCGTTATTTGTGGAAAGACACAAGCTTGTCATTGAATTAATTTAATTAGGGCGTTTTAAAGCGACATGTTTCAAGGATGAGCCGTGAGCCGGTCTCGAAGATTCGTTTGGCCAAAGCTTCTGTACCCTGACGAGGATCACAACGTCAAACAAATTCCCACGTATGGGCTCCATTGCCGGCACACTATTCTCCGAAACGGCATTGTGCCGTGATTGATAGAAGACCACGTTTGAGCCGTCTAGACCATTCCGGCGCCGCGTTTAGGGCCCTGAAACCGCCAACTATACACGAAATAAACTCGGAAGGAAGCCGGGAACGCCGCCGAGATGAATAGGATGGGAACCTCACGCCGTGTCTCCACTTTCCCTATCATTGTGCAAGCGAAGGGGTAGCCTACAGCGTGGAGGTATAGACATGAGAATATTTCCTATAATACAGTGGCTTGCGACTTAATGTTCTCATAGCTCTCTTTCTACTTTTCTCAGCAATACTAGTGTGTTTTATTCTTTCAACATGCATTTAACTTCTTGCCTTGTCGCTCTTTCTATCCTGCCTGCCCTGGTGGTGGGTCAATTGTCAGGCTCTGTTGGGCCTCTAACTTCACATGCAACCAAGACAGCAAAGAAAACTTGCAACGTCCTCAACTACGGCGCAGTAGCTGACAAAACTACCGACCTCGGACCCCCTCTCGCCTCCGCATGGGCTGCCTGCAAGACAGGCGGCACCGTCGTCATCCCATCCGGCGACTATGCCCTCTCGACGTGGGTAACATTGAACGGTGGTTCAGCATGGGCGTTGCAGCTCGACGGCATCATCTACCGCACCGGTACCGCAGGCGGCAACATGATCTTCATCAGGAACACGGACGACTTCGAGCTTTTTAGCAGCACCTCTAAGGGCGCTATACAGGGATTTGGTTACGAGTTCCATAAGGATAAGCTTTATGGGGCTCGCATCTTGAGACTGTATAAAATCACGGACTTCTCGGTGCATGATGTTGCGCTCGTCGACGCACCAGCATTCCATTTCTCCTTAGATACGTGTACGAATGGGGAGGTGTACAATATGGCTATTCGTGGAGGCAATGAGGGCGGCCTTGACGGGATCGATGTGTGGAGCAACAATATCTGGATACACGACGTTTGAAGCCTTTCTGTCATATACTTTTAGTCTCACCCTAACACTATCTAGGTCATGGTAACCAACAAGGACGAGTGTGTGACCGTCAAGGTAAGATCTCTCTATACCGCTCTCCACCCACAGCACTAACACCGCTCAGAGTCCCTCAAAGAATATCCTTATCGAGAACATCTACTGCAATTGGAGTGGAGGTTGTGCATTGGGCTCACTCGGCGCCGACACCGCCATCTCCGACGTAACCTACAAGAACGTCTACACGTGGTCCAGCAACCAAATGATGATGATCAAAAGCAACGGCGGAAGTGGGAGTGTCTCAAACGTAGTCTTCGAAAACTTCATCGGCCACGGCAACGCCTACTCGCTAGACATTGATCAATACTGGGCTAGCATGAGTGCTGTGGCTGGAGATGGTGTCCAGCTTTCGGATGTCACATTCAAGGTTCGTTCAGATTTTTACCATATCAACTATAGCCTCCATGTCGACCCTGTCTTACTCAACAACCACCACAGAACTGGAAAGGGACTTGCGCGTCTGGCACTTCGCGAGGCCCCATCAAAGTCATCTGCGCCGACGGCGCCCCCTGCAGCGGCGTCACCATCAGCGACTTCGCCATGTGGACCGAGTCTGGGTCAAAGGAATGGTACTCTTGCCGCAGCGCGTTCGGCTCCGGAGGCTGTCTGCGGTCCGGCTCTTCACACACTTCGTATTCTGTCAGCACAACGACTTTGAGCGCGGCGCCGAGCGGGTACTCGGCTGCGTCGATGAAGGAAAACCTGCAGACGGCGTTTGGGACTACGGCGAGCATTCCGATTCCTACCATCCCGACGAGCTTCTATCCGGGCGCGACGCCGTATAGTAAGTTGGCGGGTGCTTGAGGTGAAAACATGTTATGAATGCGGTACAGCCTGATTCTTGTGCGTACTTCATCTTGTTTTCTTAGGATGATTACTCTCATTGACAGAGACTTCGCCATCTGCACAAGAATGGCCTTTGAGCATGTCGTACTTACGATGGCCTTCCTGACTTCCTTTCTTGTTTATCTTTACTTCGCGTAAATATTTTAGTGTCGCTGATATATCTTTTCGGTCCGATGGAAGATAAACATACCAAGTGTACAACACAGTATCGAGTGAGCAGTGTAGTGAACTAGTACACAAACATACGTATACAAGAGTACGTGTAAGATACTTGCTAAATAGTCACTCATCTTGTAATGAAGCAGTTCGTTCCGAAGCTTGGAGGAGTCACAATGGCACTGAAAGCCATGCACTTTCTCGTACATCGTGTTCCAGACCGGTGTTCGAAGACTCTTGAACGAGCCATTGGTCAATTGAGCCACTTTACAATTGCTAACTTATAGGGAAAATAGGGCCTAGACCTGATCTGGATTAGCGGCTGGAGATTCGGCTGGCCTTCAATACACCTCGAAGTCGCATCATCTTTGCCAACCTACACAACAGTCCATTTTCCCCCTAGTCTTATCAAGCCTTGGTCAAAATCAGCAGGCGAATGTCCCAGACCGTGGTGCCAGTCTTCAATGTCTTAATCAGGACCCACCATATCACGTCCCGCAAAAAGGTCGCGAAGCTGGTCAAGGCGACAGACAAATATGCTTGCTATGTTCTTTTGCGTAGTGGCGGGTCTCCAGGGATAATTTACTGCGAGGGCGACGAAGAAGGCGTCAAGAGTTGGGTTTCCACCGTTCAGGTATATGAAATGCTACTCTCTTCACTGATAAAACTCACATATGGTCCAGAAACTTCGGTACAAGGACTACCAGCTGGTGTCCCGACCCAATACTCTTGTACTGGAGAAGATGGACGCCAAGGAGAGGCCTGAAAGGGGCCATCTTCATGAAGTTGTAGCCGTCAAAGAATTCGGCGCCAGAATGGAGTCTCTTGGCATTTGGGAGTGGTGGAGACATGCCATGGGATATACCCCCTGATGGAATTGAATTCCCAGCATTTGAATATCTTCCACGGCTTGCAATTCCATTTTGCTTCAGTTCGGCTGGCCATATTGATTCGACGGGTTCCCTATGGCGATGCAGTAATCAGAGTGGGGATCAATCAATCAATCAACTTTGACGTCTCCAAGTTGATTGATTGCTTCGTTGAACAGGCTGTGATTGATTTGATTTGATTTGATTAATTTCTGAGATGCTCAAGTTGAGTTGATGAGATTGATACTTTTTGACCCCCAAGTTGAATTGATTGGTTTGATTGATAGATTGATTGATAAGTTGATTACTACTTAGGAGGTTTAATGCCAATTCGACGCCAGGAGCGTATAGATTGCAGAACACTAAGTAACTCAGGCTTTATATTAAGGCGTCGTACGCCCAGGAGATCGCCAAGTTCGCTGAAAATTCTCTCACAATCAGCTAAGGAGGCTGGGATGGAGTAGATATCAAGGGCTAGCTGGCCTAGAATAGGATAGCGATCTCTTGTGATAACCTAGTACTGAATAGGGTCCTTTGCTAGTAGGTTGTCCTGTTTCAGAGTTGGCTCGCGCTTCCACCTCTCGTACTCGTCGTCAACAGTTTCCTCCATCTCCTGCTTGCCCTCCTCCATAGAGTTCCTAAGGAAGTCTGCTCAGTTGTTTGTAGGGCTTATTCAACAGTGTTTTGCAGGCCTTACATTAGGAGACGAGGTAGGAGATGCTGCGCCAGCAGCCTTTGCAGCCACCTTATCCTTATATGCCTGCCACAGCAGCCGGAAGGAGCTATAGCTATTTAAAAGCCAGTTCTTGTACGGATGTGGCCCATCGCGCTTTGTATTGTGATCCTTCGGCACCTTCCATAGCCCCTTAAGCGCGTGTTTGTATGCTGGATGAAGTATTATAGCTGTAAAATAGATAGGGGTGTCTTCTGTCTTCCTGTAGTAATCCGCGAGCTTCTTATGGGCGGCGTTGACATTAATAACTAAGTGATCTTCGGGTGCATCTGGATCCTCGTAGTCAATAGCCTCAAGCCTCTACTTCTGCTCCTCAAGGGCCGAGAGTAGCCATTCGAATGTGATGAGAACTTCCCAAATAGCTCCGTGGCTACCAGCTGAACCTCTGCCCTGTAGCCACGTTGTTGCATCCTTGAACGGCTTAAGCAGCTGCTTATACTCTGTAATTGTTGCCCAATTACCTGCGTTTAGCCCTCGCTCCTCGATAAAGCACCGCGGTTTCTCCTTCTT